TTTTTTATAAACGTACATCTGGTTCAGATATTCATCTGTAACTTCTTCTGGAGTTGATTCATGGAGCCTAGTTTTAAAGAAGAATTCAGATATCATACATACAAAACTTGCAACTAATTATGTGGTTGGCATTTTTTGTATCACCCTGTATGTAAAACTTTCAATTTTTTCGAGGATATATGATATTATATTTTTGAAGCAAATGCTCCATAGTTTTGTAATGATTTGAAGTGCAACACAGGATATATTTTGCTCTCGATATTCTGTATTGGCACTCGACTTTGTCTTGTTCCAATACAGTATTTCTCGAGCAGAATATATCCTGTATTGCACTTCAAATCATTCAATAACTTATAATGTCACCACCAGAAGGGGTGACATATTGTTATAGTCTCAAACTTTTTTTTAGTTTTTAGTTTTTTTGATTGGTGTTTGGTAGTCAGTGTTTGGTATCTGTACAAATTGCAGGTGGTGCCATTTTGTATGTTAATGCCTTGTCTACTATATGCTCCTATTAGGGACCTGAGTTGAAGTTTGATGGAAAAGATTTTTATCTAGGTCAAGTTCAAAGGCTCAGAATTAAGGTCTTTTTAAGTCGCTCGAAACTTGACACTTTACTTCAATATTTTTTCTTGGATATCATCATACAAATAGGTATTAGTACATGTACTAGTATACTATAAGTGGTAACCTTTTGCGGCCTACACATTTTGCCTGGATTTAGAGATATGAATGTCTGAAAAGGCTCAGTGTAAATCTGACCTTAGATTTAAGATTTGACCTTTGGACTTTCAGTTACCTTTCGAAAGGTCAAAAAAGTTTTTTGATTCAAATTTAGGTCAGCTTAATCACTAAACACCTTCATGTACTTAGGTTTAAAAAAGTAACTTTTCAAATCAATATTTTTGGCTGAACTTTTATATACTGATAGATATTAATATTCTATAAGTGATAGCCTTTTGCTGTTTGGAGGAATTTTTCCCATATTTTGAGATATTGAAAGGTAAATAAAGGTAAAAAAGAAGCCTTTTCAACTTGCTTTGGGGAAATCTACTAGGTCTTAGGAGTTCAAGTCTGACTTTAAATTTGAAAATTGACCTCTGGTTGACCTTTGGTAACCTTTGAAAATTCAAAAGGTTGATTTTTCAAATTGAACAAATCTTTAGGGGGCCTTTTTATTTAAGAATCTTTATGTCGTTTTATATTATGTACTCTTACAGTAGGAACCACAATTTAATATTACTAAGTTGTATTGTGACTTGCGAAGAAAAGATGGTTGGTCGTAAACCAGAGAAATATCTAATCATGAAGTAAACAACTTCCCACATGTTTTCTGGGATGTTAATAGGAAACCTATGAAATGAGCTTAATTAGGTTTCAGGTACCGCATATGTGGGAGTAAATGTTATGTATTTGGAATCATGTTGCCATGAAAGGCACCCAGAGGGGGCTTCAACAAGGTGCTAAGAGGGGTTTCATGGTGTGGTGACGAAGGCATATTCCTTTGAGGGCCATTTGAATTTGATAGGAACTCTAGATAAGGTGTCTGCATTGCTCAAGTTTTTCTGTTTTATTTGGAAAATTCCTTGATCCTATCTTGCTCCCCCAATCTTTGATGCAATGAGTATTCCAGGCTTTATTTTCCAAGATAATTTTTGATGGACATGAATTCCTGAGATAATTTCACCAAAAGACATTTGCTTATATTAATAGTATTGGTATGGTTTGAAACAACAAGTTCTTGGAAATTTTGTCATACATGTAGATCTCAGTCAGTGAATTTTTTAGATCTACAAGTTCACAAAAATAAAGCATGCATCTAATTAAATTAAGGTATATGATACTCTCCTCATCTGATTTGTCTTCTGGGTCTGGTTGACAAAAAAGTATCATAACATAAAAATAAATTGTATTGTCCTTCGCAATGTCACCAGCCGTGCCCCTCTGATTGCTTAGTATTTATCTATCCTTCGGGGAAATAAGATGTCTACATGCTCTTCATTTAATGAGTAAAAATGGTTTAAAATGTAAAGGCAATCATATATAAGGTTTATATTTAAGTCTAATTTCCGCACCGCCTTCTAGCTATTCGATTCTTAAACAGTTTTAATGTTGATAATATCTTAAAAGTAGATTTCATGACTTTTATGAATGTGAAAGGGAAATGAAATTAGTTACTTATAGGAAATGAAGCCTCATTATTTTCTATATATACTTATTAGACATAGATCAAAATTTATTTAAAATAAAAGGTTATATAAGAGAAAGTCAAGCTCGTCAAGGTTAGTTCGGAAGTCTCGATTAACATGTACATTTAAATTAATGATTCCAGAAAAAATATGTGGGAGGCTTTTGTATTACTTAGACAGAATTCCAAGTATCCACTCACCTAAGGTGGGACGAAATATGAGAAAAACAATATCAGAGACAGTATCAGGGTATGTAATGATCTCATTCAGCTCATTTCAAAGGAGCCTGTAGGTTATCGCAAACAATTTCATATGATATTCTAATTTGAATTATGAATGTTTGAATGTTATGAATGAATGTATGAACATATGGATATACTTTTTAGACACATTCAATATCTCCAAGTAAAGTACATCTAATGACAATGAGGTTAATCAGACAGGTGATATTCAAGGGGCAATGGACCAATCAACATACTTTTTCAAAAGTTATGACCTAATTTTCACTAAAAGTGCAATCTTTTTATTTATATTGTTGAATGCACAATTAGAAATAAATGATACTGAATTAAGATGACCAAATGAGCTGAAACCAATGGAAAGCATGAGTTTTTTCAACGGAGATATAACACGGGTAACAGTTATCTTAAGGAATTCAATTTTCCTTTCCTTTCAAGAACTAATTGATATATCTAAACAAAGAATATTGATCTATTTAACATTGTAAAAAATGATTGCAGCTGAGGTCAACATCTTTGAAAAAGTATGTTGATGGGTTGATTGCTAAAGCTAGCTCTGAGTCTGATTGACTTTATTATCATTGTGTGTATTTCTCTTTGAGATAATGAATGGATTTAAATGATGTTCCTGCCTCTGTTGTCAGAAAATAGTCATAATCCGAGATCTGAAATTGTTTGCGATAACCTACCTGAACCTTTGCATAATGTTTCTTGATTTGACAAACTAGAACAGATTGGTCTTTGGGCATGCTGTGGAAATAAAGATGGATGTTTTGGATTTATCATTTTTGAATCTTTTCTGGAATATCTTTAGTGCTATATATTTGCACCAAACTGTTTCAGCAATATACATCAACTTTTCATGTACTTTTCTTGATGATAATCTAGAACTTATAAATTTTTTGGCATGTTAGGTAAATTCTAAGGTTGCCATTTTGTTTTCTGTCTTAAAATCTTGTATGTTTAGTCTTATTAAGGCATTTTCAGCCAAATCCATCAAAGATTCATTTTTTAAAATTTTAAGGAATATTTCTTGAAAATTTAGAATCAATCACAACCTTTATTGATATTCTAACCAAATCTACAATATTGTTCACCCTGTGGCTTGTTCATAGTTATATCTGGATATTTACATGTTATGGTAGAGTGCATATATAATCCGAAATAAAATGGTTTTTCAAATTATGTTGCATTACATTTCCTACTTTTTCAAATTTTTCTTAACTCTACCCTTGGATTATGCATTTACCGGTTCAGTAAGTTTGCGAAAAAATGTGCTCATTTCAATTTTTTAATATTTTTCATAAAATTTTCACAAAGTCAAAGTTTTAAATGTAATCTTAAAATTTGCATTTTGCAAGAACATTTTTTCTGAAGTTTACTATATAATACTATCAATGGTGTTGTTAATTATACTCTGAATTAATATAATCTCATCATCTTAGGCCATCTTCATTTCACTTGTTCTGACTCATTTAGCATTATTTATCAATGCTTTTTGAGGTTGGGTATGGAACAACACATTTGTAATTGAGTTAATATAAACATAAACAGAGGCACCAGGCTCATGACCTCAAACAATGACAGAGAGCAATAAAAATGGTGACATTGCTCATTGTTGGGCTGTATGGCTCGGCTTGAGCAACTCCTGTGGTGAAATGATTGCTCGATTGATAAATAAATGTCACTTGTAAGAGAGGTTACACTCTAGCCAGACACCTACGTTTATGTAAGTTTATATAGCAAACAATATGGGAGTAATAATCATCTGTTATGTCGCAACCTATGAAACAAAGAAGCTCTTAATAAAAGTCACATCTATTAACCTTTCCACAAATTAATTAGTTACTCATCTCTGATGATTATGTATGTATATTGAATTTCATCATTATCCCACCCTATGTTAGCCTAGGAGATACCAATTTATTGAGGTGTTGATCATTCGCTTTCATACCTTTCTCAAGGATTTCTTGGTTTCAATTGACTTTACTGATCCTTGCATCAAATTCATATGTACATGAGTATGCAATGAATAGCATAGACAAATATTGATTGAAACTGTTCTTTCATTTATTATCTAGGTTGAAAAATCGAGTTAAAAAAGCAATCAATATTGCGATGAATTGACTCCCACGCAGTGCATAAAATCTCGCCGCCAACAATGACATATCAGTCATCCAATTTCACGGTATCCTTAAGGCCGGAATAAGTTAGCTTAAAGGTTGTCTTCACTTGTCTGAGCCAATCTGCAGGGCTAGGGTTATTAAACTTAGAAGTATTACAATTTTGTTATTAATTGATCAGATTAAGCACTTATGGAGCACAACTACATAGGCCAGTATAAAACAGGTATATTCAAATACATGCAGATGGTTTGTTTTGACTGGATCAAATGAAAAATATACAAACATTTCTGAATGATTTATGATTTTGGATTTGAAAAATGATTTGAATGAAAATATATGGTCAAAATAAAAAATCACTATCTATTGATATTTTCTATTTTATTTCAGAGTTTAAAATAAATAAGACGGCTACTTTGTAATGATTGAATTTGTATTTTTATTTGAAGGTGTGTGAAAAAACATTGGATCTTATGGAGAACAACCTGATCGCATATCTAAGAAAATCGAGGTTCTTTGAGAAGACACATTCATCAAGAAATCGAGATTGAAGATGCTAACTAAATAATGAACATTAATCTAAGAAAAACACAAAAGTGAATAGACATTAATGAGTGTTCAGAGACATATTATTTACGAATAGACTCTTCAGACATGAAGACAGTCAGAAACCTTGAGGAAATTACTGGAAAAAATAGATGTAGAAATGTATGATCGACATGGGAATTGGTGACTTCTAGCAAAGGCCACAGCGTTTGATCCTGAGAGCTTGGGTTTTACAGGAAGGAAGGAGCTTAGAGACCTGCAACATGTGGCTGCTATACCTGTCTGGTGAAGTTCAGTGAACTACGCAAACTATGGGGTAATGAACTTAACCTAATTCATCAGTTTAATTATCTATAGGCTAATAATATTCTAGCGTTGTTTTTTTAAGAGTATTCTAAGGCACTATTTCCTCAGAGACATCGTCTTTTTAAGGTCAGTGACCTTTGGTGATTGTAATACAGAAGTCAAAAAAGCCAAGCGTCCCTTAGAGTATTAAGTTATTTTAAGATTACCTAAATTAACAAGATACGAAAAGAAATAAACTTGATTTTCATGATGGATTATTCAAAGCTACCATTATCAAGTAAAATATAATTTTTGGCTATAACTTCAACATTTCACACTCATTTACCAATTTGTGTTCTCGTTTGAAATATATATGAGTTTATAATCTCTTGTCTTGAAATAATTCCAAAATGGCCTCTCAATTTAAATTCCCCAAAACATCATATCATAGTACATGTATTATGAACCCATCAGGATTGCTTGATAAATGAGACACACCTCTTTCTAATATCTTACTGCATCACTATTTCCCAAAATCGTCCATGAAGATAACTAGTATAACAAGAAGACACTTTATGGAAAGGTATTAATTGAGCTAGCAAAACAAATAGTGCAGCTAATTTAGACCGTGAGGTCAATAATATCATTAGTAAGGTGGAAATTATGACGTTGTTAAAACAGATGATGAATATGCTCTCGGTGTCTTGACAGATGCTTCAACATTGCTTCATTTTCTAAATTCTTTTCCATTATCATCATCATCATTATCATCATCATCATATCATCATATTTAATGCATTAGACTGATGTAATATATGTCTGTATCAGCAATGTCTGACCATACTATCATATAAGATAATGATATGGAAACAAGGAAAATGATTTAGAGAGAATGTGAAATCAATTCATGCATGAGAGAGCGATGAGATTAAATAAGGTATTTTCTAATGAAATATTGAATAAGTCGAGGTGACCATTCCAAGTTTCAGCCCTAAAATAGGCTGTAATTGCTCGTCTCAATTCGCAATTTGCAATCTCAGTCAAGTCAGATTGGAAAGATAACTTATTATTTCATGACTCTCTATCTTGGATTTCAGCTGGAAAGAGACCGTGATGGTCTCCTGACTTGAAATAAATGCTTATGACTTGAGAATGAATGAGAATAAAGGCCACTTGACTTAAGAATAAAGGCCTCTTGTCTTGAGAATGAAGGCCTCTTGTCTTGAGAATAAAGGCCTCTTGTCTTGAGAATAAAGGCCTCTTGTCTTGAGAATGAAGGCCTCTTGTCTTGGGAATTATGCCTTTTAGCTTGAGAATAAAGGCCCTTTGGCTTGAGAATAAAGGCCACTTGACTTGAGAATAAAGGCCCTTTAGCTTGAGAACAGATGCCTCTTGGCTAGAGAATTAAGGCCTATTGGCATGAGAATGAAGGCCTCTTGTCTTGAGAATAAAGGCCTCTTGTCTTGAGAATAAAGGCCCTTTAGCTTGAGAACAGATGCCTCTTGGCTAGAGAATTAAGGCCTCTTGGCATGAGAATGAAGGCCTCTTGTCTTGAGAATAAAGGCCTCTTGTCTTGAGAATGAAGGCCTCTTGTCTTGGGAATAAAGGCCCTTTAGCTTGAGAATAAAGGCCCTTTGGCTTGAGAATGAAGGCCTCTTTGCTTGGGAATAAAGGCTCAAGGCCTCTTGATTTGAGAATGAAGGCCTCTTGGCTTGGGAATGAAGGCCTCTTGATTTGAGAATGTAGGCTTATAGCTTGTGAGCTAAGGCCTCTTGACTTGAGAATAATGAAGGCCTTATTATTTGAAAAAGAAGGCACCTGGACAAGAATATTAAGAAAGCCTCTTGACATTTGAATGACAGGAGATGCCATGGTTTATCATGATATCATGATGATATCATGATGTTATTTCAAACCCCTCCAACACCACACTGTAGTTGGGTTTTAATCCTCTTTACATTTTCTAGATATTCCATATTTTCATAAAGCAATGACACACACAATCTCAACAGTAGGTGTAAATATACAAACAGTTCATTTTCCAGCAATCAGTTCACATCATCCTACTCACATGATTTCATGTTGCTTTATGAATCTTTCACATTTCTGATAAATCAGATAAACAGAAATACATCTTAGTATGAATCTTGCATAAGATAATCAGTTGTGTCTCATATTATCCCTATTTCTCTTCTTACCAATTTATTTATGGCAAAATTATGAATGGATTGGATTTCTTTTTTTAGATGACAAATATGATACTCTTTACAAGAATGATGCCCTTTCAAAGAATGATTCTCTATAAAAATGACACCCTCGACAATAATGATACTATTTATGAATATGATACCCTCGACAATAATGATACTATTTATGAATATGATACCCTCGACAAGAATGATACCCTTAACAAGAATGACATTTTTAACATTTTATCAATTTTAAATTGCATTTATAATCTACAGAACATAGATATCATCATTTGTAGTATATATCAATAAGATAATTGGAGCTTTGATTTTGATATCTATGAATCATTGTTTAAATATTTTTAAGCATGACACATGATATGATAAAAAAATCAATTATTTTGCTTCCAATGTCAAGTTCCAATGATGCATCGATTCATTATGGTCTTGTGACAGTCCTATTGCCAAAGTTCAATATCAATCGCACATGACTACTTATAACAAGACAGCATTTGCTAATTAAGGCACTTAGAGGCACTCAAAAGGTTTGAAATAAATTCTACACATTTCATGTTTAAATTGGTGTTTTAAATTGAATTGACACAATATCCAAGATTTAGGAGACATAGAATGAATGTGATCGATGAAATCATTTATAAAGCCACAACTTAATAACCCAGATGCCAGTAGGGAGTTACCAGTTTCATCACCAGGTGGCTAAGTGGGTTCAGATATAGCAATAGAAAGTTAATAAACTTGAATATTCATCAGTTTAAGTGGATATTTCTTAATGGGGTCTTAGGGGAATCTCCCCGACTTAGAAGTCACATAGTTAATAAATAATTTTTAAACCACATATCTTGATTAACATGATATCACTTTGACTAAATTTTGAATATTTAATGATATGAATCAAGATTATTTTTTCTGCTCAAATCTAGTCTATTTGACATTGATGGTCAGAGAAATAAAAACGAACCCTAAAGACAATTGCAAATCTGCTCAATGATGCCTAAAGTGAAATATGCACAAAACATTGAAAAGAAAAAAATTGATTATCAAATTATATACATGCACCTTCATCATATTTGCATCTACCATTTAAAACTAAATTTGGTTTCCGCATGATATGGCATTATTCAACAAGATTGTGTTAATGAAATTTTATTTACATCATCTTTTATATATTTTTAATTCAGAATAATATTTTTTTTATAATTACATGTTCAAGTTTATAAGTGGCTCCATTTTTGATTAATCAAATTATATACATGCACCTTCATCATATTTGCATCTACCTTTCAAAACTAAATTTGGTTTCCGCATGATATGGCATTATTCAACAAGATTGTGTTAATGAAATTATATTTACATCATCTTTCATGACATGGGACTCATTTTCTTTGAATTTCCAAGATCTTGCAATTCCCCACCCCTAAGTAGTATCATTTTGATAAGTTTTAGTTCCTGTCATGAAGTATTAACATTGATTAAACAAAACTATATCATATACCATAACATATGAAGTGAGCCAAATGGAAATGATTACAGATTGAAAGACAATTGAAAATCATGAATCAAGAATCATGGCATATAGTATGACCTCTTTGTTAGCTTTTCAATGGTAAATACAGTAAAACCTGTCTAAGTGGAACACTTTTGGTACATCTAAAAAGTGTTCCACTTGGGAGGTGTTCCACTTATAGAGGCTCATTTAACATTAAGTCAGTCAGTCTTGAGTCTCTAAAAAATGTACTAACAGAGGTGTTCTACTTCTAGAGGTGTTCCACTTTACTGGTTTCCTATAAGCTATATTAATTCTTTTCTACTTTAAATCATTCTTCTAATTTAATAAAAGAGTTGTTATTCATAATTTATTTATATATTTTCAGCTACTCTAGAATATTGGCACACTACCCGTATGTTGTGATAGGTGGTGTGATAGTTTTAGCCGCCACATGTCTCGTTGTCACAATCACCACAGGGGAGATGCCAGATTTCTCTGACCCTCAGGCAGTGAGTATACCTTGTTGTAGTTATTGTACCTTATAGTTATCCAACCGAACTAAGTTTGAATAGGGATATAGAGAAGCCATCTGTCTGTCTATTTTTGACCATCCATATGTCTGACCGGCAATTAACTCAAATACCAGTTAATTGATTTGGTTCAGACTTTATAAGCTGATATTTGCTCAAAAATTTCCGATAAAACATCAAGATTTGGTTGAGAAGCAATTTGATTTAAAATATGTTTTTTGGGAGGGATTTGCCACTCTGGGGGCAGTGTGTGTGCTGAAACCTTACTATACTTTATAATTATTTACCTTGATTATTTGATTGATACAAATTGATTGTTGACAATTTATAATCATAGTTAGGGATAAGTTCCCTGAATGCAATGAATGTATTTTAGGATGACATCATAATATTGGTTTGTCCTTTAATAAGCTTTGGTTTGAGCAAAGTATTTTCCTGAATAACTACAGTATTTAAGAGTGATATAACACTTCTTCACTTTCCATTGCTATCGGGGTTTGGGTTAAGTATGAAACCAGCATCTGTATTAATATAATTAGTCTCAAACCCAAAATCCTTCAGCATCTCCTTGGTCCCTTCGTGCGTCTCCCCGTATACATTCACATAAACACTCTCACAGAGTGACTCCATCTTGCCAATAATACTCTTGGCCTCTGGTGCACCTAGGTGATTCACTAGAGCACTGTTGCTACCACAAATCTCTGTCAACTCTATGATGTCATCATGTTCTGTTGCTGCCATTGTAAGAATGTCAGCTTTCGCCATCTTGACAAGTTCATCAATCTGGGATTTCACATCTTCCCTGTGTTTTGTCTTCATGATGAAGTCCACCATTGTTGGTTTTTGATCACTAAGGGAATCTTTGAATATTGCATTAGGGTGAAGGATATACCCCTTGGCAATATTAGGCATCTTATCAACTCCAAATGGCTTGAGGATATCCAACACGTCCTGGTTGTTATCAAGGTTAGTGCCAAAGATGTTCTTGTCAAAGCGTGTGAGGTTGGCTGGGGCTAGGTTTGTGGTCAAGAGGTCCATTGCTTCAGGTGTTAAGTGATTTACAAATGACTCCGGACTTCCATATACCTGCAGTAAAAAGAATTCAAATAAAAGTCTGTATTTATTACATGTATATTATCACAGGAAATAATCAAACAGCTCTCTCCTGCAAAATCTTAAATACTTCGATTATTGAACTCTAAATACAAAATAAACAGAATGTTGAATACCTCAATGCACTGAACCCTTTACAAACAGAATGTTGAATACCTCAATGCACTGAACCCTTTACAAACAGAATGTTGAATACCTCAATGCACTGAACCCTTTACAAACAGAATGTTGAATACCTCAATGCACTGAACCCTTTACAAACAGAATGTTGAATACCTCAATGCACTGAACCCTTTACAAACAGAATGTTGAATACCTCAATGTACTGAACCCTTTACAAACAGAATGTTGAATACCTCAATGTACTGAACCCTTTACAAACAGAATGTTGAATACCTCAATGCACTGAACCCTTTACAAACAGAATGTTGAATACCTCAATGTACTGAACCCTTTACAAACAGAATGTTGAATACCTCAATGCACTGAACCCTTTACAAACAGAATGTTGAATACCTCAATGTACTGAACTCTGTATGGATCATTTGGGTCAGGCCTTGCAAAGTGGTAGGTGATGAGACCATTGTGTTCTCCGTTTAGCATGTTAGCCTCCAGCACAGCTAGCATGTCCAGTTGTAGCTTCAGTGTATCTGCCCCTGTACTGGTGATATCATTCTTCACAAACACAGCCATGTCAATCTATAGAAGACAAGAAATGATGTAAAAGTATCATTTTGTGGAAAACAATATGTATAATTCTCTTAACTCAATAGCCTTACGCAATATTGTCAAAGCAACATCGTGAAAGCCAAATAAAATATTGTGATCTTCAATATTTGAGTTACACCGTCCTATTTGTCAGACTAGGATGCTTTTGTCATGATATCATATGGCTTCATCAGACAACAAACATGTTGGGTCTATTGTAGGACACCCACTTGTTGCCCAGTTGTATAAACCTACTGTAAAAGTTCCAAGTTATTAAGCGAGCTTAGTCATTCTACTCTGCCTACCCTGAAGTCAAGACCCCTTTCAATTTCTACTTAGCTCTTATTGGAATCAATGAACTACAACCCTAGATTTTATGACAAGATTTATCCATTTAGATTAAAAAGCTCTCTTCCATGATGTTCCAGTGGAGGTTGATTTGTCTGTTGTCAAGTTGTCTTTGATTTTTGTTTTATTCAACTCTTGAGTTGTTTGTGAAGTCGGAAAATCATTTTTATGTAAGAGAGGTAATAATTAAAGGTTTCATTGATACCAGATTTTGTCCCACTTTATGAAGTTATGTACAATAGATGTGAAAGAGTTAATAAGCATTGATTTGAGAGAGTTACTGCACAAGAGCGAATATGCACGTAGATGTGAGAGTAGAAGTGAAAGAGTAAGTTGCAAATATATATAGATGTGAAAAAGTTAATAAAAGAATAATTGCCTTGGAACACTTACATATGTAAATGTGAAACAGTTAATAACCATGAAGATATTAAAGAATAAGTTGTGAGAGGTGATAAACATGAAGATGGGAAAGTTAATGTCAACGAGTTTATATATTCCCCTGTAGGGAATTCGTTAATGGTCGTGAAAGGTGACTTTATCGATATTTAGCAATCAGATAAGAGGATTCAACTCATTTGGATAACATTCTCGGAATCGCCCTATGGCAAATACTAGCTTCGAGAGAATGCTGTTAGAAGATTGCGACAGACTAAAAGGAACTTATCATCTTTCTTCTGAAATCTACATTTTAAGCATGTAATTTTATCTGACATTCAAAACGCTTCCTTACGCCTCTTTTCGCTCATTTAATCACTATCTATTTGCATCACTATTAGCATCTAGATTAAGATTTCATGGATTAGTCCTAATATAATACATACAAGTTCATGATTAATTTTGCTTCTTGCCATATTATTTGCCTCCCTAAGAAATAGATTATAAATAAGTTGGTTGGGGACACTTTTGGAATTCTCTTAAAGATTCTCGCAATCTTTATCCAATCAGCGTTTGCGAGTGTGTCGGCTCACGTATAAAAGGCGAATCCAACTCAAATCCATGCAGGGGTGTATGAGGTACTCGAATGGGAAAGAGCTCATGAAATCTGAATTTATATGCACATGGTCAATGTTTACACATGTTTGGAGTTATCGAAGAAAATGTGATATGGGTGTGGTTCCGAATTTGAAGTCATTGCTGGAAAATATGATTTTAATACGTGAAATTATATCTATAAATACAGCACTAAAAATAACAGTACACATGAAGTACATGTATGATTGTGTTCAGAAATGTTTGAAACCCTTACGGATTCTGTCTGCATTTTGTCACCATTGCTCTTTCTTCCCGCATTCTAGAGCTGTTTGAATGAATATATTAATTAATGTATCTCTAACTAAAATATATCACTTTTTTTTATAAACCACAAACATTTAGGTCATAAAAAAATTATTCAATACTTGAGTGAGCACGATATGCAAGGGTTACTAAGTTGACACAGTAAATGACCACTGATATTGTGTTAGTCCATGCACACAGCGTACACCCCTCACTTTCATAGTGAAGTGACTAATTGGTTTATGTTTACGTTTTAATGTGTTTTGGGTTCCTTGTTACAGCAAGGAGGGCCAGTAAAGTAGACTAACATGTTTGCATGGCAAATTTTGATCGAATATGTGAGACACTTTAAAATACACAGAATTTTTCGAATTCAAAATATATAGATTTTTTATCATAATTTCCAATTTGTTCTACAAACTAAAACTGTTGGGCATTATAACATGTATGATATACCTCATTTGATAAACTAGTACAGAAATTGCGTTTTAAGAATGTACATACCTTTAGTTCTCCTGTTGAATGTCATAAAGTCAAATACAAAATTAAGCATGTCAAAACATCTGGGTCAAGGGTTTACTTGTCACTTATCACTAAACATTTGCTTGACCCAGGACTTCATCTCTTTGAGCCCTTAATTATAAAACAATGCCTCAAGTACACATCTAGCCTTGAAAGATAACATGTATGGCACACACACTAGTAAACAAGTAGATCATTACTTTTTGAGTCTTTTCTTTGGGCTGTATTTCTATCAAAAAACTTCAAAATGACAAGGGATTTGGTAAAATATGTTATGTTCTGTTTGATTTGCTAATCCCCTGAGGTTCTGTTTTTATATAGCCTGATACTTTGACAAAATATATTTGTTGATGGCCAAGTGATAGGTGAAACCAAACTCCCATGGCAGTGTCTTGGAATAGGCATGTTGGCTGGTAGATGGATAAATAGTCAAAATTTGTTGGAAATAGCTTTATAAAACGCCACAGTAGAAACTAGTCTACAGTGGTATGTTGAAGACTAATTGCACTGCCATGGAGTATGAGATGAAATACTTAATCTGTACTTAGTTCAAAGATATTATCAAGTCAAAAGCCAGTTGCTTCCTTTAAATGTGGAACATCGGGATCTGATGATAATTATAAATATCTGTTGAGGAATTCAAATGACCTTGCATCATCACGTGTCCAAGTTTCATAATCTGTTAACAATTGAAAAAAGCCTATGGAAAATCATCTCCAATTATCACCTAACTTACTATTGATAATAAGTTGAAAGTTAGGTGTAAAAATTCACATGCAAATGAGCTAATTATCAACTTAATTAACGCTTAATTTGCAACTTAATTAACGATTAACTACCATCAATATGCAAATGAGCTATTTACGTAAATTAGTTGAAAGTTAGTTGTAAGTTTGATGTAAGTTAATCTCTAATTATCACCTAACTTACTATTGATAATTAGTTGAAAGTTAGGTTTAAGTCAGATTTGTGACATCTCAAAAATGACTCGCTTCTTTTTTGCTTCCCTTCACTCGGAGATTTTTGCTTCATCTTGAACTATTTTGTGACGGAATATTCATCTTAATTAAGATCTTTCAGAACAGACAACACTGAACTTGAACTATTGAAATTTCACAGCAAGAGGAGGGAAAACCCCATGATTCAATTGATGACATAAGATTTCCTCCTTCGCACACCTCCTTTTGTCGAAAACGTACCCTCCATCTTGGTTTTTAAAGTTTTCAAATTGACCTAGATTTAAACCAATCAATGATCGACTCGATAAACCAATCAGCGACGATTTTATCTCAATACAGATTTACATTATAAGCATATGTCATCTTTGAACCCTGGGGTTTCTCCCCCTCTTTTTTAATTCTATTTTGCAAATTTTTAAGATTCATGAAAAGCATGTGAAAACATCATTATTGCCATATACAACTAAAATCAGAACACAAACATTAGACTATAATGTTACATAATAAGGACGTAACAGATATAATCAAAAATATGTTTTGAAATGTCTTTGATCTAACAATCATTATTTAGAAGAGCACATTTGGATTACTTGTGAAATATAGGTAACCCATGTTAGTACCTAAATTGCATTCTAGGATTAATATTATGTGATCTGATTCAAAAAGATTTTTAAATTCATAAACATTTCAGACAGAAGTGTGAATAAGATTTAACATACATTGTATTCATGTTCTACATACCCTTATAATAATGTTGACCAAATTTCATGGTAGTATACGCACCATTCACGTTGTAATTCTCAATTTTATGAGAGAAATATCTCTCACATGTTTTCTTTTTCCACCATCTTGAAATTAAATTTAGGGGGTTTGTATTTCTAAATCATGGGCCTAATTTACAACTAATTATCATTATAATCATCCTATATGTTAACTATCAACCAATTATCTACTTCAGACCAAAAACGTTTTAATTTACCACTTACTATCACCCTCAAACATTTCATATCTTAATTATCAACTAAAAATCATAAATCAGCATTATTGTAAGTTAATTTACGTTGAACTTGCTACTGATAATTAGGCCATAATTATCATTGATTTAATTAACGCTTAACTTTAATTCCAATTGCCAGCAGAATTGTTGATAATTAGTTGTAAATTAGTTGGTAATAAGTTGGTAATTAGTTTTATTTTTCAATTGGGATGATATATGAGAAACTCCAGGATTGCATCAAATCGAAAGCCATCACTTCCTTTGACAGTGAAACATCCGGTGACAATTATTAATTAATGCTGAGATGTTCAATAAACCTAGCATCAGATGTCCACGTTTCGTAATTTGTTTTTCTAATACTAAAGAGACTTCAGCAGTTTAAAGAAATTAGATTGAAGAAGATATAAAATGATCAGATTGCAGGCATGTAATTTAATAATTAATTTGACATGTTGATAGGTCAATTTACTGTCATGTAATTGAACATAAGAGGTCATGAAAAAGGGTCAGTGAATCAAAAGTCAGTAAAATGTATGCATTTCCAAGTTTTAGTATAAAGATATTGATCTACTTATATAGACAAACATATAGACAAACTTAGATAATAGCTTTTGTGACCCTAATTTGATGACCTTGACCTTCAACATTTTACATGTTTGTATACCTCTATATCAGTATGTCTTTTATGACTTTATGTCTTTTAACACTGAAACAATCCCTTATAAAAATCAACCTTGGAAGTCAGATGCTCTCTCCTGTCAATGTCAATAACCTAATATAGAAGCCATTGCCATTTGAATCATGTGTCACAGCTTCTTTTCTTTCTAAGCCTACTCACGTTCGATACTTTGAAGGAAGTGTTGGGTCCCCTGATGGGGAATTAATTTGATACCCTTTCTTGGAATTATAATTCGAGTTCCTACACATATTTAATCTGATTTTTATCACATCTAAAAGTAAAAATTACTGTTATCTTAAGAATAATGAACTCATGCCAGAAATGAAAAGAAAACAGATAATGTTTTTATTCCTTTTATCTGATATATTTAATACACCGTATTCTCTCTAATGAGCACACAATGCAGTTTCCAAATTGATATTTAAAAGGGTAAGATATTGAGAGATTCAAATAAGTGCACATATAAAAAGTGCAGAAATAATCAAATAATCTTTTTAGTTGTTATTATTAAGGTTAACATTAAGGTTTATTGAGCTCTATACAGCTCCTGGATTTCTTTCTCTGAATTAATTATAATCATCAATCGATATCTTGTGTAAATAATCGCATTAAACTTCTTGTTTTCTTGAGAAAAATTCAACATAAAAGTTGCATGTGTTCTGGATTTTGAAGCCCTGTGATCGGAGGATGATATAGGAGGGCACTGACAATTTCAGTCAATATGGTGTGGCTAATTTATGCTCAATGTGCATCTCTGGAAGTGAATTTGATTTTATTAAATTCAATGAATTCGGGAGTTTGACTCGTCAAATTAAATTAACAAATTTGAAATGATAAATTTTTCATCGATAAGATGCATTGTCAGCCAACTGGGATGTTTTGAAAAAAGTCAGTAATCAAAAAATATATGGACATTTAAGATTGTATAAAGGAGTCGAATGGAAGCCATTTTAGCGACAAAAAAGGAGGTTCATTTTGGGTTGAACGATGTCAGAATGAATGTTCTTACCTTTCTAGATTTGAAAGAGCATCCAAAGTTTTGTTTTAATCGATATGATCACAGTGCAGTCCGTAATTGAAATACATGTACATGTAATACTTAATCTTTGCATAGAAACTGAGTTATACTTCGACCAACTGTTTTAATTGGCAATGCCGGGATGTCAGAGAAGCTCTTCTGGGTCAGATATGAATCAGTCTGTTCTCATAGAATTTGCAAACTCAATCGCTCTGCAATTCTGAATGTTCAGCACTATCAGGCCCGTAGCCAGGATTTGCCAAGGGGGGGTTCATTTTTCAAAAATTTCCAGGGGGGGTTCACATTTGACAATTTTGGCCCAAATATGGCTAAAATCACTTAAGAAGTGCTCAAAAATGGTGAAAAACTGCATGATTTTGAAAGAATTTTTGGCCAGGGGGGGGGGGGTTCGCCCGAACCCTGCGAATCCCCCCTGGCTACGGGCCTGACTATTATGATTGATATATTTTGTTGTAAATGATATTTCATGAATTTTAGTGTTTTGGTAAAAATTGTCATGATTTCAAACAAGACACAAGATTTTAAATGCCAGCAAAAAATATGACTAGAAACATGGATGAAAATTCAGGATCATGACACCACGTATCATCGTATATTAAATCTCACATATTTAACTTGATGTGTTAAACCTAATATGTTAAACCTCACATGTTAACTGAATGTTGAACCTCATACACTGAACTTTATTTGTTAAATATTATGTTTTAAACTTTATATTTTTTAGTAAGTAAGTAAGGTATTTATTAGAGTCTCACGCTGTACAATATTTGATACAATTGATTAAAACAGCAGCTCAGCCGGCTCCGGCTTATGAGAGACTTAAGATTGAATAGTTCTTTGAGTAAAAAATGTCTAAAAATGTAAATCTAATATTGTACCTTGTATTATATTACACTTCATAGCATCTTCGTGTTATCATGATTTTATTTATTGTTTTTGCTATTAGTCTTTGTACTGATATAGTGTTCATCATTGTGTAATATTTGCCCATGCTCGATAAGTTGTTTAAGTCCGGTATTTGAAGAGCACATGCTTCTTCTTTAAGCCGTATGTGTTTCTATTAACTTCTTTATTCATGTAGATCCTCATGTACTTTCAGGGATTTGAGGTGAGGGGTACTGAGCTAAGCAATCGTTTTGTTACTTGGGAGAATTTGTTAGATTCCACCCAGACAGATATTGGGCGAAGGAAGTCAAAAGGACGTACCCCACACTCTGGGCGTGGTAACGGAACAAGGCGATATGGGAGAGCTACGAGACAAGATCCCTGGTTTTTCTGTGGTGATACTCCAGGTGCGTAGTACTATAGTACTCTTAGTGTGAGCCTGACTTTGTCTATTTATTCTTTAGATCAAAAGTAATTTATTGCTCAGGCATACATCCAGAATATATATTACATAGAAAATCATGATGCTTCAATTTCCGCTTATAAAGTAGCTTACATTTTGCCATTAAGTATTCATTTGAGATTGTTGAGACCATGAAAGCCATCAAATCATCTGGGTGGATATGTAGCAATCTGATTTGTATTCTATTTTCTCTGTCTGTAGATAGACATCAGCCTAGAAACCTGTCATATATATGTCTTGTGTGCTTATATTTCCTATTATGATTAGTTATAAGCACAATGATATATCGACGTGTAGAGTAATTGTTATTTAAAATAAAAAGCAATAAATGTGACGACCCTTGGAAATAATTGTTTCTAAAGCCTCTTATGTAATTTATTACTTCAAACATATGCTAATTAACCTGAGTATAAGAACAGCACATAGGCTTTTCGATAATCCGTGAATTAAAAATATCCTTTTTAACTGTAATACATAATTTACAAAAACTTATGAGAATATTGTCCTTTTCAATCAAGCCTTTGTCAAGTTCTCTATAGATATTGATAAACTTACAAGTTTTGTATTAATGCTAAGTTCTGTAATATTAAGTACATAAAGATGCATGTTGTATCTATGATGTATGTTACACTCAAGTTTGCCACTATGATGTGTGTTATTATCCAGCACCCACTTTCATGCAATGGAGCTTTGTTGCCATGCACACCCATGTACCTGTGCAATATTCTCCATTCTTGTTTCGCACAGATAATGTCTCTTTATCTCATCTTCAACTCGATTTAGAAGAATCATAAAAGATCGTCAAAAATGGACGATCTTACACAGATACTTATACCAGAACCTCTTTGTCTTGTATGCTATTACTGTCCTGTGATGTAGTTCACTGTTAAGTATTTTACTATAATGCATGCTGTTGTGTTTCCAGGAATGACTTATGCAAGAGTTGCTTACAAGAGCACAGATGGAAGTGACCTGTTTTCTCTGAGACATCTACTTGATATGTGTTCCCTTGAGAGTAACAGTATACATCTCCACCCCTCTTACTCCCAGCTGTGTATTGCTCAACACCCAGAGGAAGCCCATTGCTGCAAGCGTAGCTGGTCACTAGGGAACTATATCGCGCTGCTCCGGGATAAAACAAACTGTAGTGATATCACTCAAGAGGATGTTGGGAGTGTGAGGGATCTGTTGGAAAGATGTTCTGGATATTATCGTAATATGACCTTGAAATTTGATTGTGAACGAAGCTCTAGCGATAAATGTAAATCAGTGCCTACTGAATGTAAACAACACAATGCAGTGTATCAAATTCTTCATTACATCACAGATGTTGAATTCACTACAGAGAGCGGACATCTTGGTCCTCTGCGTTATGCCATTGCATTCTTACCAATGAGTGCTGGGAAGGACACTGTGCCGATATTTGAGTTTATGACGAAAAAGGAGTTACAGATTGGAACTACGGCCATAGGGGGTGTCAATTTTGGAATCAAGAACATATTGTTTAATGAATATCTCCAAGGTGATACTATGTGGCTTGGTGTTGCATTATTCGTGATTCTGCTCTGTATGTGGCTCTACACAACATCATTCTTCATCACTGGCATGACATTGCTCTCAATTCTCCTTTCGTTAGAGATATCATACTTCCTCTACACGCTCGTTTTTGAAATTAAATTCTTCCCGTTTATGAATCTGATGACAATAGTGATTCTGATAGGTGTGGGTGCTGACGATATGTTTATTTACACAAAAGTTTGGAGCCTGGCGAAATCAGAAAAAAATAATGGAACTTTGGAGAAAATAATATCAGATACCATAAAACATGCTACTTTATCAATGTTTGTCACAAGTTTTACGACAGCTGCAGCTTTGTATACAAACTACATAAGCCATGTGACAGCATTACGGTGCTTTGCGATATATTCTGGAACAGCCATACTGGCCAACTTCCTGCTCATGGTGACTTGGATTCCAGCGACTATTGTTATGTATGACAAGTGGTGTAGTAACTATTGCGTCTGCTACAGCCCTGACATCTATACACCCAAAAGAGGCATTTGTTACTATATTTGTAAAATACCATATAAAGCATACCTACAAATTGCTGATTGGTCACGGATATTTTTTGAAAAGTTACTACCATGTATCGTTGTTAAACTTCGATTTGTATGGGTGATTTTTCTCGGCCTTATGGGCATTGGTGGACTTATTATTATATTCTACAAGCCAAGATTTAAGCTGCCTTCTTCACATGAATTCCAAGTATTTTCCCCTCAACATCTATTTGAGATCTATGATTTCAAACTAAAAGATGAGTTTTATTTTGAGAAAGCTGCAGGACAGAGCATGTATACTTTACCCATGACTTTTGTTTTTGGAGTTGAGCCAAGGGATAATGGTAGCTATTTAGCTCCCAGAGAGCCAAACAATCATGGTGCCCTTGTGCGTGATGAGACATTCAACATAGCTGCGGAAGAATCTCAGATCTGGCTGCGGTCATTCTGCCGGAAAATACGTGCTCACCCTTTCTACAAATCATCCCCTGGACTCCAACTTACAAACTGTTTCATTGAATCGCTTGAAAATTTTGCCAGGAGAAAATGTATCTTAGAGACAGACATATGCTGTGGGTATTCCAGTATCCCCATTCCAGAGCATAAATTTATGGAGTGTGTGGGGTCATGGGCCCCATTATTAACAAGAACTAAGGCCAGGTTTCCTCATAATAAGTATGCAGGACTTAGGTACTCTAAAGACTCTAGGGAGGAGATTGTAGCTGCAGTTATACAGTTCAACAGTAAAGTGCCATTTAGTTATAAATATGACGAGATAAACAATTATTATTCACGCATGAGTACATGGGTAGAGTACCAAGTAGAGACTACAGCGCCATCTGGTATGCGACGAGGCTGGTTTATCAGTGAATTAGAATTCTACAGTTTACAAAAAAGTATATTAGAGGGGGCACCACTGAGTGTTGGAGCTTCAGTAGCTGTAGCGCTAGTAGTGACATTTATTACAACGCTGAACGTGTTAGTCAGTTTATATGCCTTTCTGTCAATAAGCAGCACGATTAGCGTAACAATTGCAGTTCTGACCCTCCTAGGCTGGCAACTGAACATATTAGAATCTGTAACTCTTACAATTTCAGTTGGGCTATCCATAGACTTTACATTACATTACGGGGTAGCGTATCGCTTATCCCCAGATCTCGATCGTGAAATGCGTGTTATTTGCTCTACAGCACGCATGGGAAGTCCCGTTACCATGGCAGCAGCTACAACATTCCTGGCAGGCGCTATGATGACCCCGGCAACAGTGCTCGCTTACAGGCAACTTGGTATATTCCTCATGCTCATTATGACAATCTCTTGGGTATATTCCACACTCTTCTTCCAGTCATTATTACGCCTTATTGGTCCTCAAGGTGGATTTAGTCAGTTCCACTGGCCATCATCAAACTGTTGTTCATCCTCCCAACGTCACCACGTCGATAAGACTGTTTACGCATTGTCTGAATCCACATTAAGTAGTTCAAGTGTAGGGTATCAAAATCATTCAACCGTGACAACTAGTGAAATTCATGAGCTCGAATCACTGACAGAGTGTGAAGCTGAAGAGTTACAGGAGAGGTTGAGACAGCCCCCTCCAAACCCCAGGACTTTGGCCACAAATAGGGCACCGCATAAACAGAAACTGAATAACAATCTCACCAGTGCCGGTACATCTGGGGATGCTGGGAATGTAGATGAATCACATGCAGCTGAGACGGAGGTCATGTTGCATTCTGAGCCACGTGATTCATCGCACGTGTGGGTACAGCAGTAAATTTTGATTAACATGAACATGTGGATGGAAATCTTAATTACACGAAACTTTACACGAAAGGTTAATTCTGAAACTGAAAACCGCTAAGATGATATTCAGATAAACTTTTATAATTATTTGAAAGCCAATACTCTTGACTTTATCAATCCTTTATTCAGTGTAACGCAATTTGGTTTTTACAATCAATTGATTATGTTCCATATGTCAATTAATTTTCTGCAAAATGAAAGATAAGCTTATTCCTATTTGATAACCAAAGTCATAAACCATTTTATATTTGATTATTATATTCCAAGTATAGATCAGTGATTATACGGGTAAATTTAATGGTGCTCTTTAATATACTGCATTGAGCTTGTTTTGAGTATTCCAAGGAAGTCTGATTGAGTCATGATGTAATATTTATTTTATCCATAAACTTTTAAACAGCACTATTTGTTATAATAAGAATCTGTGCTCATTTATTAGACTGTCCACTCATAAGAGTGTGCACTCATTTATTAGGATGTGCAGTGTGCACTATATGGGACATAATAAGAGAATGCATTCATTTATTTACTTATTCATAAGAGTGTGCACTCTTTTAGTAGACTGTCCACTCATAAGTGTGTGCACTCATTTATTAGGATGTGCACTATATAGGACATTATGAGAGAATGCATTCATTTATTTACTTATTCATAAGAGTGTGCACTCTTTTATTAGACTGTCCACTCATAAGAGTTTGCACTCATTTATTAGGATGTGCAGTGTGCACTATATGGGACATAATAAGAGAATGCATTAATTTATTTACTTATTCATAAGAGTGTGCACTCTTTTATTAGACTGTCCACTCATAAGTGTGTGCACTCATTTATTAGGATGTGCACTATATAGGACATTATGAGGGAATGCATTCATTTATTTACTTATTCATAAGAGTGTGCACTCTTTTATTAGACTGTCCACTCATAAGTGTGTGCACTCATTTATTAGGATGTGCACTATATAGGACATTATGAGGGAATGCATTCATTTATTTACTTATTCATAAGAGTGTGCACTCTTTTATTAGGCTGTCCACTCATAAGAGTTTGCACTCATTTATTAGGATGTGCAGCATGCACTATATGGGACATTATAAGAGAATGCATTCATTTATTTACCTATTCATAAGAGTGTGCACTCTTTTATTAGACTGTCCACTCATAAGAGTTTGCACTCATTTATTAGGATGTGCAGTGTGCACTATATAGGACATAATAAGGGAATGCATTCATTTATTTACTTATTCATAAGAGTGTGCACTCTTTTATTAGACTGTCCACTCATAAGAGTTTGCACTCATTTATTAGAGCGCATACTCATTTTCTGAAGTGTTCATCCATTTTATATTATGTTGTGCACATGTGCTCACAATGCTTTAATTGTACATTATTTGTATAAAAGTTGCCGGTGAGCTGAACTTATGCATTATGTGACATATTCTATTTCATTTTCCAAGTGCAGGACTTCAAGGAAAAAGATTGAGAATATTTTCTTTCTCTTTTCTGTAGAAGAGGGAGAAATGAGAGATTAACCCAGTGTTTAGAGACTGGTTCTATTTTGGCAGAGGTACCTCTTTATATATTAAAATGACAATTAATGGTTTTGTACTAATGACTTGTAGATGGTGCACGAAGTTGGTTGTGTTTGATTATGCCTATAGTTAGAAGGTACATATGTACCTGTACATTTTTTGGTATCCAGGGATGGTTGCTTCATTTCTCAATATTGGATAATGGTGCCATTTTCAAATCGTGTTTTCTTTGTCAAAATGGATAATGTAGAAGTTCAAAATTATGCTTGGCATGTTATTATTATTGCATAAATGGAATTTCCTAAAGCTGTGTTTTTATATGTGTACTTAAGAACAAACAAATACAGTAGGGCAGACCAGTAAGAAGTCTGATTTAAAGTATTGCCTGTACACGTGTATATCATGGTTATTAATGATATCATGTCCACCCTTCTTTCATGTACTGCATGCTCAGAGCAAGGTCTTAATTAGGTTGTGAGACATAAGGAGTACAGGAGGGTTTTGCAATCAGAAATACCTGGCATGATTGTATTTGGGCCTTTTTGGTCATAACTTGGCCTTTTTGGGCCTTTTTTAGGCAAAAGTATCAAAAAATGGGCGTTGAATTTTGAAAGATTTGGGCTCGTTTTAGGGGCCCAAACATTTTTTCTAACTTGCAATGTGATGTGCCCCCCTCCCCCTTGTTAGCTTCTGGATCCGCCAGTGTTATTCCTTTGTTTCCAAACAAATGTATTGAAAGTCTGCACAATCATTGTTTTAAAGAGCTTAGGATTCCACGTAATTAATTGTAATGAGAATAATTATTGATTTGATTGATCCTGACATGTTGTATTTATTTTTATACATTTGTATAAACTGTACATTGTTTATGCTATATTTTTAGCACTGTAATTTTGCTGTTTCTGAGGAGGCATAATCAAGAAATAATCTAAAACTGCATTTTCTATTGCAGCCACAGTTCAGCATTTTATTCCAAAGTAATTTATGTTTAAATTAAATGCTCCTCTTTATTGAGGAGCCTGTGTTCTTCCCAGGTCAAACTAATTCAAAATATTTCAACATGTACCAAAGACTTATATATTTACTACAAGTATATTTGTATTTCATGAATAACTCATGGCAGTTTATTATGTCACCACCAAAAGTGGTGACATATTGTTATGGTCTCCGTTTTTTTTTATGTCACCACCAAAAGTGGTGACATATTGTTATGGTCTCCGTTTTTTTGCGACAGCGTCCGGCGGTTGGTGGTTGGCGGTTGGCGTCCGGCGGTTGGCGTCCGGCGTCTGTAACAATTTCTTACAACTTCCTATAACTTAACAAATACTGTTTAGACTGACTTCAATTTTTTTCTAAATCATCTACATGTTCTCAGAAGTTCAAATCTGACTTTAGATTTGACATTTGACCTTCAATGACCTTCTCAAGGTCAAAAAGGTCTTTTTTCAACTTGCTTCACATTGACTAAATTTTTTTTCAAAATCATCTACATGTTCTCAGAAATTCAAATCTGACTTAAGATTTGACATTTGACCTTCAAATCTGACTTAAGATTTGACATTTGACCTTCAATGACCTTCTCAAGGTCAAAAAAGGTCAAAAAGGTCTGTTTTCAACTTGCTTCAAATTGACTAAATTTTTTTTCAAAATCATCTAAGTGTTCTCAGAAATTCAAATCTGAGTTAAGATTTGACTTAAGATTTGACATTTGACCTTCAATGACCTTCTCAAGGTCAAAAAAGGTCAAAAATGTCTGTTTTCAACTTGCTTCAAATTGACTAAATTTTTTTTTCAAAATCATCTACGTGTTCTCAGAAATTCAAATCTGACTTAAGATTTGACATTTGACCTTCAATGACCTTCTCAAGGTCAAAAAAGGTCAAAAATGTCTGTTTTCAACTTGCTTCACATTGACTAAATTTTTTTTTCAAAATCATCTACGTGTTCTCAGAAATTCAAATCTGACTTAAGATTTGACATTTGACCTTCAATGACCTTCTCAAGGTCAAAAAGGTCTTTTTTCAACTTGCTTCACATTGACTAAATTTTTTTTCAAAATCATCTACATGTTCTCAGAAATTCAAATCTGACTTAAGATTTGACATTTGACCTTCAAATCTGACTTTAGATTTGACATTTGACCTTCAATGACATTCTCAAGGTCAAAAAAGGTCAAAAAGGTCTGTTTTCAACTTGCTTCAAATTGACTAAATTTTTTTTTTCAAAATCATCTAAGTGTTCTCAGAAATTCAAATCTGAGTTTAGATTTGACTTAAGATTTGACATTTGACCTTCAATGACCTTCTCAAGGTCAAAAAAGGTCAAAAATGTCTGTTTTCAACTTGCTTCAAATTGACTAAATTTTTTTTTCAAAATCATCTACGTGTTCTCAGAAATTCAAATCTGACTTAAGATTTGACATTTGACCTTCAATGACCTTCTCAAGGTCAAAAAAGGTCAAAAAGGTCTGTTTTCAACTTGCTTCAAATTGACTAAAAAAAATTTTCAAAATCATCTACATGTTCTCAGAAATTCAAATCTGACTTTAGATTTGACTTAAGATTTGATATTTGACCTTCAATGACCTTCTCAAAGTCAAAAAAGGTCAAAAAGGTCTTTTTTCAACTTGCTTCAAATTGACTAAATTTTTTTTTCAAAATCATCTACATGTTCTCAGAAATTCAAATCTGACTTTAGATTTGACATTTGACCTTCAATGACCTTCTCAAGGTCAAAAAAGGTCAAAAAGGTCTGTTTTCAACTTGCTTCAAATTGACTAAATTTTTTTTTCAAAATCATCAATGTGTTCTCAGAAATTCAAATCTGAGTTAAGATTTGACATTTGACCTTCAATGACCTTCTCAAGGTCAAAAAAGGTCAAAAAGGTCTGTTTTCAACTTGCTTCAAATTGACTAAAAAAAATTTTCAAAATCATCTACGTGTTCTCAGAAATTCAAATCTGACTTTAGATTTGACTTAAGATTTGACATTTGACCTTCAATGACCTTCTCAAAGTCAAAAAAGGTCAAAAAGGTCTTTTTTCAACTTGCTTCAAATTGACTAAATTTTTTTTTCAAAATCATCTACATGTTCTCAGAAATTCAAATCTGACTTTAGATTTGACATTTGACCTTCAATGACCTTCTCAATGTCAAAAAAGGTCAAAAAGGTATTTTTTCATCTTGCTTCAAATTGACTAAATTTTTTTTCAAAATCATCTACATGTTCTCAGAAATTCAATAATGTCTTTAGATTTGACATTTGACCTTCAATGACCTTGTCAAGGTCAAAAAAGGTCAAAAAGGTCTTTTTTCAACTTGCTTCAAATTGACTAATTTCTTTTTTTCAAAATCATCTACATGTTCTCAGAAATTCAAATCTGACTTTAGATTTGACATTTGACCTTCAATGACCTTCTCAATGTCAAAAAAGGTCAAAAAGGTATTTTTTCATCTTGCTTCAAATTGACTAAAAAATTTTTCAAAATCATCTACATGTTCTCAGAAATTCAAATATGACTTTAGATTTGACATTTGACCTTCAATGACCTTGTCAAGGTCAAAAAAGGTCAAAAAGGTCTTTTTTCAACTTGCTTCAAATTGACTAATTTTTTTTTTCAAAATCATCTACATGTTCTCAGAAATTCAAATCTGACTTTAGATTTGACATTTGACCTTTAATGACCTTCTCAAGGTCAAAAAAGGTCAAAAAGGTCTGTTTTCAACTTGCTTCAAATTGACCAAATTTTTTTTTCAAAATCATCTTCATCTTTTCAGAAGTTCAAATTTGACTTTACAAGTTCTCAGAAATTCAAATCTGACTTAAGTTTGAACTCATAATATTGTGAGCAACTAGGTGGTGACATTTTGTCATGTTAATGCCTTGTTCAAAATTATACTGAATTGTATGAATCAGCATTATATAGAAAACATTTATTATGATAATACATGTACCTCTATTTATCACGATTAAGATATTGCAAAAATGGTGTTATATATACTCCTAGTCATGGTTACCGGAATGTAAAAAGTCTTTACAAGTTTTTGCCATATCAGGATTTACTTCATACTTTACCTTACATTAAGAGTTTATATCTATAGCATTTACTGTAATATATGGCATAAGAATACAAGATATGCTCTAAAGGGATGTAATACTAGTATAGCCACTGTTACCATAATTTTATACTGGTATATGCCAAATTTTGTGAAATATTTCAAAATCAGGTGCCATTCATTATTATTCATTCACATTGCAGTGATCTCCCCAGGATTTTTTCTCAGACTGAAGCAAAATTCTCATTTTCACAATTCAGACCAAAATTGGTCAAAATATGCCAATTTTTCTCATTTTCAAGTGGGTGCAAATGGATTTTTAGGTGGGTGCAAGTCTATTTTCAAAATCTCAGGTGGGTGCTGCGCTCACTTGCTTTCCTGCTGGGAAGATCACTGCATTGTTATTTACAGAGGTGAACTTCTACAACTGTAAGATGTAGATGTGAATGAAGTGAAAATATGTTTGATTTAAACAATATGAGAATCAAATTTGCCAAATTAAATCTTACTAGCATAATTTATGTGTTAATAGCTTTCCAATTTAAATTGTGATTATGACATAAAAAGAGGAAACACAATTCCAAAGCAACGCCATATTGTACAAATGAACATAATGTGCTGTAAAATTGAAGCTATTGTTAGTTCCAATCGTTCTTATCATTGTTTTGTACATTTATCCATTTTTATGTCACCACTACCAAAAGTGGTGACATATTGTTATTGTCTCCAACTTTTTTTGAGGACAGTGTTAAGGCGGTCAATGTTTGGCGTCTGTAACAGATGGCAAGTGATGACATTTTGCATGCTAATGCCTTTTTTAACTTTGAAAAACATTCTGTTTTCATGCCATTTTTTCAATTGTTCATTTTTAATTAAGAAGACTGTATTAATTCCAGTGTCATGCTTTTACCAGAAGTTATTGTTATATGGAGTTTTCAGTGCCTGTTGTGTTTTAAATTGGTGAATAAATTGTTTCAAGATAAATTGAATAAATGTAAATCTATGATTGTTGATTTTTCTCATATACAGCACAGTGTCAGTATGATTAATAATTTTATTCTTTTTAGTTATATATTGGGTGAAGGATATTCCAAGAAAATGGTTCTATGTAGCACATAGTAAATATCACAATTCTTTTGTTACAGTGCATCAAATATTACCTTTATTTATTTGTGTTACACTTGAAATGAATGGCCTGTCTTGTCTGCATATTTGAAGCACCAAACTGACTCTTTGTACCCCTTGTATGAGGTACATGCAACTCTCAAGTAATAATTTCAGCATTTTATTGTGCCTCGAGGTAACAAGGTCTTTACAAGGTAGATGGAATCTTCTGTTCATTCACCCATCTATTTGTCTGTACGTCCAGGTGTATCTGTCTAGGTCCATCTGTCATTTCATCCATCTGCTGTCCACAGGGGTGTTACAGATTGAAACTACTATACATATGAGCTAGTTTCTATGTTTATTCTTTGTTATCCATTGTATCTTGTTAACCTGTCATTGCCATTTCCCATGTCCCTCTCATGTGCAGTCAAGCGGCCCCAAGTAATTCTGATCGATCCTTGGCCTTGTGTTCATGGATAGCAACGTTTCAAGAAATTCATTAGAGTTATAACTTCAATTCCTCTTTGCATACCTTTTTTTGCGAAAAGTTACAAACAAATGACCTCAATTTTTTCTGAATGAAAATAATAGCCATAAAACATCGACAGTGAAAATGACCTACTGATCTTACAATGACTTGATGGTGAAACTTACACTGGATTCAAGCCCCATTTTCATCTAACATTTTATCTAACATTTTTACGGACATGTTAAAAAGATCTTGGGAATTCACCAGATTTAAAGTGGTTTTTGTGGTTTCTATTTTTCTTTGTCAGTTAGTTGAAGATTCCCTGTAGACGTTCCCACTAATACTGACCATCAACATATTTTAAAGCGTAACGCATATCATTAAGCAAATCAAATGCTCGTGGCAAACAGAGAAAAATGAGGTAATTCCATACATTTAAACAAAATAGATGTCACATATAAAACATTTAACTGAATGAAGATCTGTTTTCATCATTTATTTTCTCAAATGTGAAGGTGTTGTGATGACATTTCTTTTAAATATTCTGTATTTATAAATCACAGCATATTATAATTAATACATAATAACTAATACATATCAAAAAGGATATTGCACATATATATAATTTAATATTATTAATTTCAAATCTTTGAATAATACTTAATTGTTATTATCTAGCACAGTGTATCTGTTCTACTTTTTTACAATAGAGTGCAAGAAGTGTGTAATTGTGTAATTTGATTACAATCTCCACATAATGTTTTTAGGTGCAAGTGTACCTCCTTCATACTCTATTACCTTCCCAGGAATTTTAATCACTGGTTCCAAGGAGGATTGGCTCCCAGAGTGCAACATTGATATTCTGTCCCATATATGGGCATGTCATGATACAAAATTGTTTGGATCCTGGGAGCCAATCCTCCTTGATAGTTTCATTAGCTTTGCTTCGTTGCACAAATCTTATCAAAGCAAAATCATGTAAAGTAATATGGACTAAGTGAAATTTCAAGAATAATTCTAAAAAACACAATTTTATCTCTAAGATTTCCAATGAATGACCTCTTTCTCCAGGAAGACTTGGATTCCCAGGAATAAACAGAGGAAAAAGAGAGTAAAAACACACTTAATGAACTGCTACAGATATAGCTTTCAGAGTGTAATATCAGTGCCAACCAATACATGCACATATATACAACTTAGTATATTGAAATATTTTTCTTATAGAATGCTAGCTATCATTATAGTCTTTTAAACTCAGCTAGAATTTTCTGTCCTTTTGAGGAGACACTCAAAGAAATATTGTCCCATGTTGAGGATAACCAACAGGAGTTTTAGTCCACCTATCTAGCAGCCAGAAATTTTTGTCCCGTCATACCTTCAGGTTTGATGTAGTCTGCCATAGTAGTAGTTTCTAGGTTATTTCCTGGAAGAACAAAGATAAAAATAATATACTGAGTATTAATGATTTTTCACAAGCTTGAACATGAAAGCAATAAGCAATGCAATCTTTTTAAATTCTACAAACTTATTTTTTCAATTTATCATTTTTTGTTTTGTTGTGCAAAAATAAATTGCAGACTCCCATTAGAAATTCAGTCCCTATAATTCATGTAAACTTATAACTTACTTCCAGATGTATCTGTATGGAAGAAATGGGATTGCTCCCAAGGTTTAGCGCTGAGCTTCTTGTCCTGTTCTAACATCACAAGTTGAGGTGCTGTGAAGCTTCTTTGATGTAGATTTTTGTAGTCTGACATCATCACTGAATTGTTATGTAAAGGCATTGTTGGCACGGAAGGATCTATGAACATGTTGTTAATTCCCTTAGGGGTCAAGTCCTGTGTGTTTTCACTCACATTTATATGGTTAAATTTAAATTTGGGGATGATTTCTTTTTTACCAGCTGGTGGCATATGTGCATCTAGACGAGGGTTGCCGGCATATTGATGGGTAGCCTCAGAAACCAGTTGATCTCTTGTGTCTCCAAGGATGAAATGGGTACTTCTGCCATCATCCAATCTCGTCTTAGTCTGATCATCCTTCCACTTTCGTCTTTCTAATGAGAACTGAGGGTTCATGAAGGCCCCTGTGTAGTTATATTGGGCTTCTGTGGTCTTGTTTTTCTCAACTGGGTGATAATGGACACCATCAGTCTCCAGGTAATTATATTTAGCAAGAGGAGCCTTGATTGGCTCGTTTGCCTTGAAGTCAGAAGGTGGGCCAGCATAGCTTGTTCCAGAAATAGATTTCTGCCTGTCGGCCATATGCCTGGAGCTATCATAGGCTAAAATTACATTGTTTCCATGTCGACGACTCATGTTTCGCTGCATCGCCTTAGATCGATTAGGATCAACGATTTTTGAAAGTTCAATTGTGTGTTGAACAAAGTCACTATTATTTGTACTGACTCCGAACCCATACCTAGCATCATTCTGCATAACTTCAGAATCTTTAGGGGCAACAGCTATATTTTTCCCCTGATGCGGTGCCCTTGAAGCAAGCTCAAAGTCTTTATCATATATGGAGCCAAGTTTGTCATTGTCATGTCCAAACTTGAAGTGAGCATTTTCCTGGAAGTATTGACCACTTGAGGCATCCTTGAATGCTGGATTGTTATGCATTGTGTAACCTATAAGACCCGGAACCTTGGTGGTCAGTCTCTCTTCTTCTTCTTCCTCTTCATCATTAACATTCCTGCAAAGAAATCATGGTATTGTTAAAACTCAATTCCAAGGAGCTTGACATCTTTCAAATCAGAATACGCACTCAGAGAATGATGATACTGCTATTCATTTTACAAATTCTCATAAAGGACTTTATACAATACATTTGAGGTTGTCAAGATCTATCAGCACTAAATCTAAAATGAGTTATAATAGTCAGAGATAAATGTGGCTAGTTAATAAGAATCAGCGTATGTTTATATACACATACTGTTAAACCACATTTATGAAAGTTCTCTGCCATTTCAAACAAAGAAACTAGATTGTGCCACACTTGTAGAAGAGAATTATAATGGCTTAAAAAGCAGGTTGATAATCAATGAATTGAAAATGAACATTATACTTACTTGACTAGAGATGGTAGAGATACACTTGTAGTGTTAGTTTTCATTGGAATACCAAGCTTCTTGCCAAAGTCAGTCATTGCTGTAGTTAAACAACTCTGGGCTGGAAGAGATATGATTGAGCAATGAGGAAATGCAAACATCAAAATTGTTGGACAAAAAGAGATGATGGTCATTAACACTGTTGTACATATGGTTTTAGAAAATGGCATTTCTTTTGTGAAAACTTTACAATGAGAATATACTTACTGATTCCATTATAGTCTCCATTTCTGAAGACATTTGATTCCCTCTCCATAGTTTTCATGAACTTCGAAACTTTCTTTGCGTCTTTCCTCATTTGAGTCATTTCCTCTTGATGTGTCCTACCACTAGCTGCAGGGGCTGAGTGGCAATATGCTCTGTTGGTCTCTGAGTCAAAGTAATTATTTGCGTCACTACCTAGTGAAACATTTGTCCCCTTCAGTGCTTTTACTTTATGGAAATAGTTCAGCTTTCCTAAATCCAACTTTGATGTGTCAATTTTGGGGAAGGTTGGCGCTCTTGGGTTCAACATCTAAAAGAAAATATATTATGTTTAATCGGCGCCACTTTATATTAATTGCAAAATACAATTTCAAAATAAACATTTTTAGAATAACCGGCAGCTCCACCAATTGTACACAGCAAAAATTAATATATATGCTCACGTTGTCCTGCATGAACGCCGATGTGTACTCTGTTCCCGCCATGGTGCGATCTTTCATGTATCTAGGTGCCATGTCGGGCCAATTAATGGTTCTATCGGGAGGTCTCACCTCACACTAAAATATAAAAGTTATAAAATATGAAAATAATTAAGCGCTATCTAAAACAATTGTAATTAGCTAGTAGACTTGTATATTTGAGTTTCAAAAATATTCCGAACAGAATTATGTTGTACCTCAACACCATCCTTGCGATCAAAGTCTTCCTTCGTCGCTGACATCTGATAGGTTGCGTTCTCTATGAGTTTTCCGCTGTCGTTCCCTATAGCGAAATGTGTCTCTAGTTGTTTCATACTGGGGTTTGGCACAGTCGTGGCAGCTGGCCGACTTCCCTGAAATTTCAATGGAAAAAGTTTGGAATATGTTTAAAGGTGGCTGCGTTATAATTAGTAATGATGTGGACAATGAAAATGCATTTTAGGTTGGTGTTTTTGCATAGCATATGGGTCGTTTCTAAAACCAAATAGCTGGAAGTGAAGGTATGGCTTTTGGGGTACAACAACTCCACTAAAGGGTCTAAAGTTGATACTCTTCAATGGAGTGATATATGAATTACTATTGAGGAGAAAATATTGTTTACATTGTTTACCATTACTTTGTTGTGAAGGGGAACTAATAAAAGGCGTTCAATTTTCATGTGTACTTATAATTTCAACTATCTTATCTCAACTGTTGACACGTATGACGTTTGGACTTGACTTATCTCAAACTTGATTAAGACATACCTATGGTATCGTTATTTATTAATGAATTGAACCCGTTGTCATGTAATATATTTCTGATCATGTTGTATTCAAAGCTCGGTTAATTAGCAAATTAATTATTTTGTTTTGAATTATTTAGAACGAACATTACGCAAGATGTCGAATAAATAATGAGAGATGATTAATAACCTGCATCTTATCTTTTAAGGTTTTCCAACTCTCCACGGAAATTATCATGCCAAGTTATACCTTGAATATACTGTTTACGTTATTTTATTTTTGGATGTTTAAGGATTATACTTACCAAATAATCTAACGATTTTGAGGAGACCCATTTTCCATGCTCTTTGTGGTTATCCTCTGTGAAATTGTACTCTCCTGGTTGTAATACGTGGCTTCTTGTCAGCGTCTTCTTTAACTGTTCTCCCTTTATACGGTTACTTATCCCGTACAATGTTTTGCGTCTCTCCTCCAACGCCGCATCTGACAGAACATTACCGCCAGATGTACCAACAGCGGTATCCCTAACGTCCTCCGCAAAAGTCACGGGCATTTTCGGACGTCTATCGTATTGTAATTATTAGTTGCTCTTCAGTGCGTTGTGTTAATTTTTGTTGCTATAGAGTTGAAATTAATTTGTCCCCATATACCCCCCTGTGATCTGTTGCTGCAAAATAAGTTAAAATTTATTTTTTCATGTGTCTTAATATTAACTCCTTTTTCTGCTTCCTTTTTACTTAATATATTGTTCTTAATTTTCCGTGTGTTCTGCACAAAAAGGCGTGTGTCTTCAAAACTTGTTCTCCATCGAATAAATAATCTCAGAATGAGGCATAGCAGTCATGATTGTTGATATTTGTTTATCCGGATCATCGTCATATATCAATCACTGTAACCATGGACTGTTAAAGAAACCTTATGTAATCACTCACCTTTGAAATTAGATTGGATTTATATGAATTCTACATGATTTACAATGGGGCACCCTTTCATTTTATTCCACTTTATGCTTTTAAGAGCAGTGGAGATGTTACGAATGGATTGAATTGTTGTTCTTCAAGTAAATGACAAGAAGACTTGGTTTTTATCTTCTTAAAAACGAAAAAATCATCCGTTTGCAAGGTTGGATTAAGGTATAATAATATCATAATACTTAATCCAGATTGAATTAGGTTTTATATTAGCATTTCATTGTGTGAAATACCATATGGATTGCAGCCAAATCATTTTTGAATGTGAAACGATGCAAGCTTAATATGGTTTCAACTTTCAATGAATACATGTTATTACTAAAACGGAAATGTCAATATCAACTTTTCCCGGAAGCAATTCAATGAATTCAGTTATTCCAGGGGTGAAAAGCATTTTGGAGACTACAGTTGCTGGAACTAAATGATCCATTGTCTCGTGCAATTTTGTTTACTTACAACTCACTTATAAAATCAATTTTTAGTGGAAGGAACATTGATATTTTCACCCTGGAGCATACTATCACGTATGTTGTACAATGTATGTTCTTCACAAGAATTTGTTTGGGGCTAAAGTGCAATCTCAAACATAAAACGTCTATCAGTACACGTAGGACATAACTCGACCGATCATACAGCATTCAGTATGAATTCTTTACAGGCCACGAAGACATTTGGAGTCTTAATTGAGAGTGTAGGAAAACCAAGTTTTAATACGGGAAGATGGAGCTCGCGGGTCGCTGCTGCAGTGAAAACACCACAAGAAAAAGTAAACGTAGAATATGACAATGCTAAACCTTTTAGTGACATCCCCGGGCCTAGAGGACTGCCAGTGTTTGGAACACTATTCCAGTACACCCGGGGACCCTACACAATTGATACTTATCCCGATGCTCTTATTGATAGATACAAGGAATATGGACCGATATTTAAAGAAACAATTGCTGGGAACACAATCGTTCACATCTTTGACCCTGAAGAAATCAAGAAGTTATACGCGATTGAAGGAAAGACCCCACATGTACCGCCTCTGCTAGAGACGATGCAAATGTACAGAAAATACAGAGACATGTCCCCCGGACTTGGTAATGTCAATGGTGAGGAATGGTACCGTCTTAGAAGTGCAGTACAACAGATGATGATGCGTCCAAAGTCGGCAGCTGCGTTCCTTCCTCTCGTTAATGAAGTCGTGGATGACTTCATAATCAGGATAAACCAAATAAAAACTCCAACAGGAGAGGTGCTTAATATAAACAATGAACTCCTAAAGTTTACGTTAGAATCTGCGACCTACACATGTTTTGAGAAAAGGCTAAATACGTTGGACGCTGGCGAAGAGAGCCACACGCAAAAGATGATAAATTGCAACCATACATTGTTAGAACTGTCCACCAAACTGAAGTTCAAACTGCCTTTGTTCAAATACATCAGTACCCCTATGTGGAAGAAACTGGTGGACGCTGAGGATTTCTTTTACAAGTAAGGTGGTCAAAACAGAACTCTGTTGTCTTTGTTCAAAAATGTCTATAATGCCACATTTTTGTCACTTCCTATTTTGTCATTTCCTGTTAAGTACCACTGCCTCCACATTTTGGTATAAAATTATACCTGCACATGTTATAAAATTAAGTATGAAGGCATGTGTGTATTTCCTTGCTTTTTTCAGTAAGTTTCATTACACTGTCTCCTTTAAGTAAACCTGGAAACAGGTCAATGGTAGCTCCTGTGTTGTCTGGAAGAAAATTTGGAAAAATAGAAAGTGTGAAATATCAGAATTTCCTGGAGTTCCCATTGAACTCCTACCAGATATTCTAAAAGAAGACAATGTAATAATACTTTCCTGAAAAAGCAAGGAAATTGACACATGCCTTCATACTTTATTTTGTACCAGAAAATAACATGTGCAGGTATAGCAATTTTTTACCAAAATGTTATATATTTTCCAGCTGTACCTTAAGGGTTGTGTATATATCTATTATTCTTTCAGGTTTGGACAAACCCTAGTTGATGAAACAGTGGCAAAGATAAAGGAACTCTCTGAATGTGGGGAATTACAAGAGGGAAAGTATGACTTCATGGCTTATTTGTTAGGCAGGAAAGAGCTTACTTATAAAGACATCAGCATTGTAACACTGTCGCTGTTTGCAGATGGTCTAAGCACGACGGCTCCAATTCTGGCTTGGCAACTGTATTGCCTTGCAAAACACCCAGATCAACAAGAGAAAGCATTCGAGGAAGTAAGAAATTTATGCCATAAGGATGAACCTATTACAGCTCGAATGATCGGGAAGATGCCGTATCTTAAAGCGTGTATCAAAGAAAGTTTCAGATTCTTCCCAATAGGCCCCGATGTGTCTCGGGAACCCACCAGAGACGTTGTTGTGAGTGGTTATCAAATCCCTGCTGGGACCAATCTAAGTTTGAACAATAACCTCCTCTTAAGGCTACCTGAGTTTTTCTCAGATGCTGAAAAATATATACCAGAAAGGTGGCTCAGAGAGGGTTCGGGAGAATCTGTACATCCGTATGTACTGACGCCTTTTGGACACGGTCCCCGGATGTGCGCCGGGCGTAGATTCGCAGAACAGGACATCCATGTGTTACTCATAAAGCTTTTACTGAACTTTAGAATGGAATGGGGTTCAGATAAAGAACTGGGGAAAAGATTTCGAATATTGTTCACACCGGACAGGGAATCTTCAATAAAATTTATTCCACGTTATTGAGAAGGGATATACTGTATGTAACGGCCTGATCACAAAAGCAAACACGATGCAAAATAAATGAAATTTCATGCTCTTTGAATGATTGGAAAACCCATACTTGACTATGTAAAAGGTATTCAATTTGAAACAAAATACCTTGTATACAAATGATAGTCTAGTCTATTCGAAAATTTGAATCATAGTACAGGGTGACACAAAAGACCGTATCTGTTCAGAAAACTTGAATATCTTTAAAAATTGAATAAAGGTAAAAACTGTGCAAATCGAAGTTGTTGTTTTTGTAAATTACACACAGAATTAAAATATGCCAGGAAATAGAAGAAAATGTTGGTACTAGTATTATCATTTATTAACACAAGCATTTGAATGGGTATAGCATTTATTATCCATTGATGGAATTAAAATGCGAAATTATATTAAAACATATTATACGATTACATTTTAGACAAACGCAAGTTTCAGTGTCTACAATCAGCCTTTAAAAAACATTCCGATGTGACTTCTATACTCAGGCCGTAGCCAAGATTTCTCAAAGGAGTTCTACTTTTGCTAAATTTCAATGGACATTTGTAACGCGCGTGCTCCCTAATTCACGTGTACACCTCCATACAGGTTGACCCAGAAAAATTACCCTCTCATTTTAGTATAAACTCAAATATGATTTTTTAATTTATCTGCGTATATAGACTGTTTAAATTACAAATTTTAAAATGATCACATTTTCCATCCAGGTATGGTCTAGTGATATTGTGCAAAAATGTTGATTTGCAATTTTCTGAAATTTAAATTTCTGTCTTAGCCATTACTTGAGCCATTTCTGGATTGCTTTCATACATATTATCAATAGTATGTAAAATCTACCCTTTAATCAACAATCTTGTCCAATATGATGCATAGACTGTTTATTAGGTAAATTCCAATGATTTATGCATTGTATGAACTCTCCATCTACACAAAAAATCATGAAAAGTCTTTCAAAACGGAGATATAGTTATTCCCAAATTAAGGAGGTGACGTTTTTTGGGTCACCTGGACTGGGAATTGAATTTTGAATTTTCTATTTTCAATTCAAAGAAAGAACAAATGGGTATTTTCAGCACTACAGTAGGTGTTCTTTGTTGTAAGGCATTGCAATTTGAAAAAGGTTTAATTTTAGAGCCTACGGAGTACAATAGATATCGTGTTATTTCAATTTGGTCGTTTTGGAATTTCAGCCTATGTTTCATTTTATTACATTACTAATTATCATCTGTCACTTCTATCGTCAGAGAGTATTCACGTAGCCATAAAGACTTATTTGTGCGCCATGATTAAATAAATATTACATTCTTCGAAAATATTTGCTACTAATTATTCTTCAGTTCAGTAACTAAATGGAAGTCCATAAGGTCATTATGAATGAACACTCCTCTATTATAAAATGAAATACCAAATAAAATCTTTTGATTTGGAAAAATCATAATCTCAGTATTAAATTGTGGGAATGGCATGTTTCAGAATTTGACATATAAGAAATAAAACAGATTTAAACCAAAGCTGTGATCAACTTCTAATAGGCTAGAGCTGTAAACATTGTATTTTCCATAATGTTGAATTTATAATGATTAAACTCATGACTTTTGAGCAAAATAATGAGAAAACCTCACTTCTATTTTGTTAAGAATTGAATTAAAACACATCATCACTTACTGTTTTGGCGACTACATTGCGGTTGTTTCTGTTAATCAAATTTAAATAGAGTTAGAAGTCAATTCAACTCAGTGCAACCATCCATCTTTGTTAGTTTAGTGAAGATAGATGTCACTCAATAATCAATGTGGTGACGTCATTTATTTAAAGATGACGTCATTGTTATATCCCTGGGATGCAGAGGGATCTGTCATGTTGAACGATTCTCAATAACCAAGTGGTAGAGACTAGAATGAAAATCTTTGAAAAAAATTAAACGTTTACAAGTTTAATCAAATGAAAAAAATAATCGTATGAGAAAATGATTTCTAAAAGATTTTCACCTTTTGTGGAATTTTTTGAAAAATACAAAATACGGGGACGAACGGGTAAATAAGACTTATAGGGAGGGACTTTTTCAATATCAATATCATGGTCTAAATTGTTTTGTTAGAAATTGAATTTTCTAATAATTATCATACGTGACATTTTGGAAATTGTATATATAGTGAGCTCGAACATGAAAAAGTAGTCATTTTCATTTGACCACCCTGTAAATTGTTTAAAGAGTCTTTTTGCGATTGTATTCTTACAATTAAAGTCAGCTCATTCATAAAAACTTTATGGTAAGTCATCTACCGGTCATCTGCAAAGGTCTCAGATTAAGTTCACGTTTTTTAGAAGTTGTATTTTTGCCGGAAGAAGACTACACGTAACTGATGATTAAAATACTTTTTAAATGAAACGACTACACAACTGATGATTAAAATACTTTTTAAATGAAACATGGCAAAAATACAGCTCCTCTTATTAGTTTTACTACATGTTTCTATTGGATTTAAAGTACTTCTTATACCTTTACCATACACATACAGTCACCTGGCATACTTCAAAGCTTGGAGAGGAGCTCATTGATTAGGGTTATATGTGCTCAGTCGCGAATCCTAATAAGCATTTAGGCTTACTCCTTTATTGCATTTTTCTGGAAAAGTAAATCGTCTCTTGAAAGCCGATGATCTAAGACTAACTTATATATTTATTTATTTAATGGTCGAAGATAAACAAGTAATTCAGTTTTTGTAGTTTTTGTAGTTTTAAGGTAATAACAGGAACAAGGACATCACTTTCTATAATAATGTGCATTTATATTAATACATTCTCCAGACTCGCATGGCACAGCTCGAAGTTATTATACAATTTTGTACCAAGTAAGGTCAATGTCGCACCTCAACAACTGGTTGAAATGACATTAAATGCTTGTCTTCTACTTTTTAATTTTGATACTAGTACAGGCCCGTAGCCATGGGGGGTTGATGGGTTCGAGCAAACCCCCACTCTGGCCAAAAAAATCTTTCAAAATCATGCAGTTTTTCACCGTTCTGAGCACTTTTTAAGTGATTTTGGCCATTTTCGGACCTAAATTGTCACAAGTAAACGCCCCTGGAATTTTTCAAAAGGTGAACCCCTCCTTGGCAAATCCTGGCTACGGGCCTGTAGTACATCATTCCGACATGTCCATTACACAATATCGTTCAAAGCCCCAAAGTCATTGTATGTGTATATAATTAAATATATTATCGGAATTAATAAAGTCCAACATACATATCAATGGGGCACGATGTGACCTCTGTAAACTTAAATTGCGTGGGACTCAATGTGACTCGACTGCCAAGTGGGACTTTGTGACTGTCCCATTGCTGTATTGGGAATATCTTATAACTGTCTTTTCACTATAATTACTTAAATCATTTGTTTATCTTGATATTTACCAAACCTCACATAGATTGGATTTTTCCTATTACAACACATTTTACGCATTCAAAAAATGTCGATCATTCTACTATTTTTTATGAACACTTGAGAACACACGAGGCAAACAAATCAGTATAGTTGGTTCATCACATTGGGGGTTTTCCTCAGCCTGTTTGTAAAAATTAACAATTTGAATTTTTCTTCGGGTTGGGATTGTTTTAACAACATCATATGAACAAAGCGTTCCAAACAGCTTCCGAGAAAAAAATGTCTCTTTTCATCTTTGTGATATTTATATATCTAAAAAACAACAATTAGCCCCAATTATTCAAATCCGATCAAAACCCCCAAAAATATGCTCGAGGCCATTGATCTTAACACTGATTAACGACTTTGTAATACATTTACTTGAAAATGAAAAGATGGATGATATTACAGAGAATTATGATATCCCCGTTACCTTACAATCTCAATATTCCATTCTGTTCTCTCACCACAGCATTTCCAGCTAACCTAATGGGTGCTCCAGCTTTGCCATCATTCCCTTCGACCAATGGACTAAATATATATATGACATTCGCACAACCTGTTAAAACAGTTTGAAACAAAAATGATTTTAGGTGAGTATGAAAATGATGCTCTATTTCATATAGAAAATATGCTCCAAATAAAACTGTACTTGATGTATACCCAGACCTGAAGAGTCAATCCCTTATATGGCTGATAAACGAAGACAGTCTCCTGGAATATCATAAGCCATTAATGGATAACGTTATTCAAGTTGGATGTCTTTCATTTAAACCGCCTCAACCACGATCACCTAATCTGGATGATTTTGTGACTGCCAGAGCAAATCATGGTGTCATCTTCATGTCATTTGGGTCAGTACTTAAAGAAGTGGATAATAACGCACATGCACAGTTCCACCACTAGGTGGCTCGTTCGGGTCAGATAGTATGGCGGGTATAGGAGAAAGTTCTCTTTAACTTAAATTAAATCTGTTTTAGTGGTTCGATTTTCATATCACCCTTATGTATCTAATAGTTATTCAAATTAAAATATCTCCAGTAAAAGAAAATGTTATCTGTCTAATACAAGAAAAATTATTTCAGTTTTTGTGATTTTGTAACATGGGGTCTATGGGGAATCAACCCGAACTAGAAAAAAAAATTAAATTTTCAAAGTTGATAAACAATTTTCGAAACCATATTTCTAGATGTACTTTTACATGTAAATTTCAAATATGACATCACTTTGACTGAATTTCGAATATTTAATGACGTAAGTAAAGATTATATCTACTCGCATCTAGTCTATTCAATTACTCAGATGCGAGTACTACTCGCCGAGTAGGTAGTTACCAGTTTCGCCACCAGGTGGCTGATTCGGGGGAAATAACATGGCAGGGTATTACAAAGTTCCCTTAAACTTGATTATTCATCGGTTTTAGTGGTTCACTTGTCATATTACCCTTATGTATCTGATAGTTATACAAATTAAAATATGTCCAGTAAAGGAAAATGTTATCTGCCCAACAAAAGAAAAGATATTTCACTTTTTGTGATTTTACAACATGGGGTCTATGGGGAATCTCCCCGACCTAGAAGTCACATTTTCAAAGAAAATTAAATTTTCAAAGTTGATAAACTCTTATCAAAACCACATTTCTAGATGTAATTTTACATGTAGATTCGTAATATGACATCAGTTTGACTGAATTTTTAATGACGTAAATCAAGATTATTTCAACTCGCACCTAGTCTATTGTTGACAAATTAATGACTGTATTTAAGGAGCTGAGACAGAGGGTGGTATGGAAACATACAGGGGCTACACACGTAAAACACCTTCCATCACACATAAAACTTGTAGATTGGCTACTGCAGAATGACATACTGGGTCATCCTTATCAACTTTCTATCACACATTGTGGAAACAATGGGCAAACTGAGGCACTTTACCATGGGAATGGCCCCCTCTGAATTTCCAGACCAGCCCCAGATAATATTACAATATTGATGTATTTCTTGGTTTTTGAATGAAAACACAAAATGTATTTTATTAAACATATATAAAATGTATTTCATCAAATAATGTATAAAACTACAGTAATTATAAACATACATGTAGTACTAACATAATAACTTTGTAAATAAGTTCTCAATGAAGTAGAAGGGACAAAGTATAAAATGTTGGAAGATGTCTTTACAAAATACATGCCACTATTTCCCTTACAATTCTCATTTTATATTTTGAAAAAGGTATTGATAAACCTGATCAAATAAAGAAATTATTGAAGATTTGATGTCTATTCATTAGAATAGAAAATAATGTACATCTCCTTTTTCAATTTTTTCACAGATAACCTTAAAAATCAAAAGATTATCCAGTAAAAGTCTGAGCTGTCAGACATTTTACAAAATGAGTATGAAATGAATAATAACAGCAAAAGATACAATTGCCTCAATTCGTCTCTACCCCTTCTACTCCCTTTAAGTAAGATTTCAAGAATTCGATTGCAACCTGTGATTCACAACAGGCTTGAATAACAAATGTATATATACAGTGTATCTTTAATATCACTGTTAATCACAACCTAACTATTTACTCAACAGTACTCACTTCTTTTTAAAATGAATGTAAGCTAATAAAGTTGACTTATACCCCTTCTCCAGGTGTAATCTTTAAGGAAAAAAGAATCCTGGTATTTGAAATTTAAAAGCATGAGTGCATGTACTAACCTGCACATATAACTGTATAATGCACCTGGTGGAGCCCTGAAGTACATTATCATGAAGGGTTATAGTAGTTTGAATCCAATGAAATACGATAGAGTTCTCTTATCTATTGTAATTCAAATACACTATCTCTCTTTTATAAAAAATGACATTATCAAGTTCATTGTGAAATCATAATGCACTGTGAAGGCCTCATTCTTTTACCCATAATATTTATATGGGCATCGCTTCAGTATTTCTAGGAAAGTCTTCATGTACAGTGTACATGTACATGCATATAAAACTATTTACCATCATAAATTTTATCTTTATTATATTCCCACCAAACTTTATTCATTAAGTTAACAATCTTCTAAATTGTATTTAACAATTATGTCCATATCAGTGAATATATACCTGAGGTCTGTCATCAATATAGCTGAGCTTGGGGCGGCTATTACGACAGACTGAAGGCATATATTCAATTATACTGACATAATTGTTGTATTACATACCTTTATTTCCATGGCTACATTATATCAATGAAGTCACACATTTGTGTGCAAATAGAATTTGGAAGGAATGAAACATGACATCATAAGATTTTCATGGTAAAAAGTTTGGCAGCCATACAGGAATATATAGCCGACCTTCAGCTCCATTGACTCCCATACAAATGTTTCGCTAGGTATGTAATGCTGTAAGATATAGGCACTATGATCAATTTATAATAATGATATCAAAAGAAAGTTCCACCCTTCCACCATTGAGTAATGAATCATTAGGAAGCTCCATTAACTTATCATATCTACAACATGGGGAGTTCAAACATCCTCCTGTGATGTTGACCTTGACCTGGATACATAGGCAGATGGCGCTAAATATTGTCTCAATTGTGATATGGCAAAGGGTTGTTTGGATACTAGCTCTTCTACTACGGAGCCACTTCCCTCTTTGCTGTCATTCAACTCCATCTGAAAAGAAGCAATTAATATACCTTGAATATAATACAAAATATTTTAGTTAAAATAAATAACTAGTATATCATAAATAGCTTCACGAAACAAGCACCACTGATATTTGATCTAATGTCTAAACATTGATGATATTTACAAGAGGAGCTACCTGAAATGAGCAGGTCACTAACATTGATCGAGAACATTTACAAAATAAGCTACCTGCACAAAGAAGGTCGCTAACATTGAGAATATTTTACAAGACAAGCTACCTGTACGAAGCATGTCACAAACATTGAATCTATCTGTCTAAAGTATGTCACTAACATTGACAATATGACTACAAGACACGCTACCTGTACAATGTATGTTACTTAGATTGAACATATAATTACAATAGGATCTTCATGTACCTGTACAAAGTAGGTCACTAACATTGAGAATATTCACAAGACAAGCTACCTGTACAAAGTAGGTCACTAACATTGAGAATATTCACAAGACAAGCTACCTGTACAAAGTAGGTCACTAACATTGAGCATATAATTATAAGAGAAGATACCTGTATAAAGTAGGTCACCATTGACTGAAGTCTCCCAGTCTTCTTCTTTACAGCAGACTCTATCAGCCAGCCACAGGGCAAGATCTGAAACAAGGGGCCGGGTCAATAAATCAACATTCTTCATTGATTTTATTTTATTTTAAGATAGTCCCTACACTCTTAACTTTGAATACCTTTGATTTCCATCAGACAGTGTGCTGCCTGGTGTGCTGATTATAATAAAAAGTAAGGTTACAAAACAAAACAAGGCATTAACATGCAAAATGTCACAACCTGCCATATGTTACAGATGCGACCACCGAACGCTGTTATAAACTGAACGCTGTTACATATGCCAAACAACATTTCACCAACCTCCCAACACCCGCCACAAAAAAGCTGGAGACAATAACAACATGTCACCACTTTTGGTGATGACATAATGAGCATTTAGCCTCACCCCTGCATACTTTGATGAAAGTTTATTCCTGTATTGTTATGTATTTCTATAGATAAGCTTATACTGTAAATGTACATACATGTACATATAAAAGGGTCTGGTATGTCATTTACTGTACATGTACCAATCAAAATGATACAATACCTACTTTTCAATCACTTAAACCAGGGAACATACAGGGGGTATAAAAGAACTTACATGTACAAGGTGTGCTTGAGATTGTGAAACAGTGTGTAATTTTTGAGTACTTCTCCAAACTGATCCTCAAATTAGTATTTCACAGTAACACATAAAGTACTGATATTGGGATAACAAACTTACAGTAGACCGTAAGGTGTCTGGCTGCCTTGTTGCATTATTCTGTGTGTCATGGGGCCAGTCAATTGACTGTAGACTGAGGATGTAACGCTGGTTATCCACACGCTCAGACTGGAGAAGGTAACAGTCAATGCCCTCCTTGCGGAACATCTGGGGCACCTCAAAGTAGCAGTACACTGAAACAGTACACAGGTATTTAGAACTGAGTTAATCAAATTATTTTTAATAAGTTTCATGATAAACCAATAGCAGGAGCATAGTTAAGATCAAAACTGGACAAGAAAAATTTAAATAAGACAGATGAGACAAAACTTATAGTAAAGCCAAATATGATTATGATCTACTTCAATAAGTTTTAGTAAATAAAAAAACAGGGGTGCATTTCCCAGCCATTCTTAAATGTTCTACGAGGGTTGATCCAAAAGTTCCGAACCGTTTGCTCTAATATAGAATTCTTAAAATCGCGGATTCGGTAGTATTGAATCTCTAATAAAGATGGCGCGAAAGTTTTTCCTTATAAGGTCAAAATATTTCCCATGATGCAGTTCGCGGGGGAACAAAATTTTTCTACCTTGTTTTTCCCCGTTGGTTTAACATGGGGATTTTCATACCCATTTTTCAAGCGATATTTTCGATCGAATCTCCATGCGATCGGAGAAAACAAACTATCAGAAACAATTAGTCTTTTAATAATCTTTATATAACATATATTTTTTTTCATTTTATTGGCTCCTAACGGGGTGAAAACAATGATTGAAAATGGGAGTATATTCCGGAAGAGAAGAAGTCACGTGACTAGTCGCCATATTGGAAAAAGCAATTCCATTCGACTTTCAACACGTTCATGCCAATATTACCGCACTACAAACTGTAACATCGATGCAACAACTGAATAAAAGTACTCATCTTCATATTACATTATAGAGTTACGTTGAAAACCCACAAACAACTGAGCATTTGACCAAAGAAGACACGTCGCTATTATCTAGGTCAAGTTTAGTGGTTCGAAAGCAAATCTTACATACTCGTTTCCGAATTTTGTTGTTAATTGTATAATCTTTTATTGATTAAATCTGGTATACTGACTATTAATTCAATGACAAAGAAGAAGAATTCCGATGGTGTCATTTTTTTATTTAGCTTGCGGGTGTAAAAACAAAATTGCGTAATTAATTTGATTTAGAACTTTCGGGTCTCACAAATAGCTACACGAAATGCATCGTTGAAAAATATTGACCAATCAAATTTTGTCCTTTTTGAGTACATATATGCACCATATATGCGAACGTTCTGATTCAAAGAGCGAACAGCGAAATGGAGAATTGTAATCATGGGTGTCATGATTTCATAATTATTACATGTATACTTATACATGTATTAGGAATTTATAAGTAAAAGAAAATCTACAGAAATGCACCCCTGGATATTACATGTATCAAACATATTATATGTTTCAATCATCATTTCAACAGACACTCATTTACAATATAGCTGCATATTAGCGAAACCTACATATTTTCAGTCCATTTCCAAAATCATGTATGACATCAAGCTGTTTTAACATGTCATCATATGTGAAGCGTGTACGAGGATTGCGTATGGTGTCAAACAGTATCTGAGGAGTTACAGGCACAATGCCCTTTCCAAGGTAGCTCTGTTTAGGCCCACCCTCCTCATATAGTTTCTTCAGGACAACTACGTCTTTGTCGATGCCACAAAACCTGAAGTGAGCAATGGAATGATATAAATTATCATGTAAATAGTTCAGCTCTTTTCAATTCTCAGTTCATTTGGGTACAATTGCTTTATGTGACACCTGCTATTTTATTTGCTTTAATGTGTTCAACAATGCATGAATTTAAAAAAATCATATTAAACAAAAATCAAGGCATAAACATGCAAAATGTCACCACCTGCGAACTGCCATTTGTTACAGACACCAACTGCCATCATATGGCAACACCAACTGCCAAATGCCAAACACCAACCATGTAATGCGAAACACTGACTGGCTAACAGTGAACACTGTCCACAAAAAGTTGGAGACTATAACAATGTGTCACCACTTCTAGTGATAAATACTATGTAACTTGGTGACATACATAGCCTGTATATGTCTAATGCACTGAATACTTACACCCAGCCCCCTGTATTTTCAGCCTGTTGTTGCCATGGCTTGCTGACATCTATGTTTGATACATGCACTACCTCTTCCAGCACTACTCCATCACCATTGTTGCCTAGCAACCTGTATCTCTGTTCATCTACCTCATCATCTGAAATAATGAATGACACAAAATGATCTGAGAGAAATCTAACCTCTCTGGATTTCAGATAACATATCATATGTTAACATTAAATATAAGTTATAGCATGGGCAATCAGTCCACAGTATACAAAGACATATCATACTGTAATGTTTATAAGTAATAACATTAAAAAGATGAAAGATTGAGGTGGAAGTAGATGTATGTTCAATCTATAAGAAGATATGCTCGTCACTCCTACATGTAGCCTTGCCCAAGATAAGTAAAAGAGACCAACTTGGACATATATAGCAAGGCCAGTCACTCCCTGCAAGCCTAAAGGGTACAGTATAGTGTTACTATCACAAACATTTGAATTCTTGTAAGTATTTTTGATTCTGTGTGATGACAAAAGACTAACCTGTCCAAGTATTCAATCCTTTGTGTTGTGACACGGCTGTATCAGATTTGGACCTTCCCCTTGGCACAACATCACCCCTGCCCCCTCTTGTATTAGCACCTTGGACTTGAGTATCACTGGATATGTTAAGCTTCCTTAAAGCTTGCTGGATAGCACGGGCACTTGGATTCTGTTCATTTAAACGTTCTTTGTTGGAATCTGGATTACTTGGAGATGATCCTGTGTTTAGAATATCAGAGCTTTTTGATTGTATTTTTGTATTTTGTGACTGCAATGAGTTTGACTTTGTAGATTTATTTGAAATGTTACAATGCTGCATTGAATCCAATGAACTTGAGCTAGAATCAGTGGACTCTGCAATAGATGGCACTCCCTCCTTATACTGTAATATAATATTAGAATCTCTTAGTTCTCGTTTTGAAACTGATTTGCATGAATGTTTTGATGAGTCAGTCTGTTGCATTTGTTTTATATTGCTTGGAAGAGTGATGGTACGTAGTGGGGTTGACTGAACTCTCCTGTGAAGGAGGTAGTCATGGAGTGAGGCAAGACGTGATGATGGCAGGTCTGATAAAGGAGGAACTCTCGTGCAACCAGGATGCATCACAACTGTCAACATACACTGGTTAAGCTCTGGAACAATAGAATATATTAATATATACATTATTCAACCGATTCAGGCACAATAAGGCCCAGTCCAGGCCAATGGGGGGTTCCAGCCAGTGGGGGGTTCAGCTTTTGAAAAATTCAAGGGGGTGTTCAAAATATGACCGTTTTGACCAAAAATCAACCCTCAAACCCTCAGGTAATTGTAACATCTAATATTTTTTATGAAGAAATAAGAATACATTGTTACACTTCCTCATGATACCAAGTGCTTAGGTATGGGTAGTGACTAACCTTACCTTGTACAGGCTGTGCTAGGTAGTATGCCCACTCCCCATTGTCATTTGAAACCTCTAGAAACCAGCAACAACCATTCATCTCTCTGTACCAGTACCTATAATGTAAATGTACACAAACTTTCTGTGGTAGGCAGTATTACATGTATTTCTTATTTGACAAAATTACCAAGCACTTAAATGTGTCCTTCTACAAAGACACAAACATGTACATGTAGAGAGTGCAAAATACAGTGTATTGAAATATTCAAAAAATCATGGCAATGTTCTCCTTGTATTCTGACTTTAAACATTGCAATTTTTGCCAGACAATCTTAAAAATCAAAGATTATTTGGAAATATAATCAGGTCTGTTTTTTTTAGATAATGAATAATGTCAGCAAAAAATTGATTCTATTCTAGTGCCTTTAACAATCAAACTACATGTACATGCACTTTTATATGAGAATCATTCTAACCTTTTAAATCTTGTATGGTACATGTGTGCATGCTTGCCTTTGGATCCAATCTCACATTCCAAACCCACAGAGTCGGAGTAAATTCCTGGTAGGCCATGCTCTGTTGGACCTTCATTCTCTACAGGCATAAATGTGAACTCATGCATGAATGTGTATTATTGAAATAGACTGATCAATGAACCACCCATTGATGCAATATCTACCATTTTTACCTAAATTTAAATGTAGTATACTGTAGGTATTCAAATCTAAAATAGAGTGAATTAGCAAAGCATAGGAATTACACAGAGCATTTTGGTCACCTAGTAAGTGGTAACACATCAGAAAGGGTGGTTGAATCCCTTAATAGAGGAAGGGCATCATATCACTTCAAAATGTCAATCTAATTAGATGAATTCATTTTGATACTCAGACCACCTTTGCCTTGCTTGTAGAAAGGTACTGATAGTAGGCTGTGATTTCTCACATGAGATGAATTAGGAACCTTCAAGCTTACTTGTTTGTGTACTGGTTGCTATGGTGACTTGAGTGATGTCTACTACATCCTGGTTCCATTGCTGAATCTTGGTGGGATCTTTGATAGTGTTTAACACAACCTAAAATATCTAAATGTTCAATAGGTATGTACAATACTTTACAATAAACAATATTATTATTGTTTGCATAGATTTCAATGAACATTATTTTGTTAATTTTTAATATCATATTTCCATACCTAAAAAATGAACATGCAGCACCCGAATCATTTTTATAGAATGATTTAATTGTTTATCAAAACGTCCCAATTCTGTCTATCAATTCCTATTGCTCCTAGCTAGTTATACAATATCTTACTTATTTCTGATAGAGAAGCATTCATTTATATCATATCTTCAAACAAATACATTATCTAATCCCAGGTGACAATCATATTAGTTTCATATGTCATATTAGTTTCATTTATGTCATTAATCATGTGCCTTGGTCTAGCCTTCAAACAAAACCTCTTACTTTAAATCACTCACAAATCATAGTGTCTTATACTGGATTTAAACCATATACCACATGATGATTGTTCTTGTTGTAATCAAGAGTTAGAAATGCACACCTGTGGTGAGACATGGATTGTCTTAAAGGCAGCATAGAGATCTGATGTATCCTGTGTGCCTCTGAGATTTCTCGCAACACCAGTCCCATTGGTCAGTTGCTTTTTCCAGCTTCTTGTACCAAACACACATCCACACAACCTCCAACCACTGGACAACCCAACCGGCAAAATCTGGAGAAAAAATTCAGGTTATTCTCTAATTGCATAATCTTTAGATTCAGTGTAATTAATAAGGAGGCCCAAATCATTTTTTAAATATTATTAGGAACCCTGATGTTTGAACTCAAATTTACTGCAAAAGAACTGGCAAATTTGGCTGGAATTCAGTCCAGTATATAATGTTAATTCAATGTTAAAAAATTGTGAATATTTCAGATTTTTAATATATTTGAATTCCATAACCATCTATTTCAATTTTGAAATGTTTTAACAAGAGCATGATGTAATGATTTCATAGTTGCAAGCACTTTCAGATTGGACCTTTCTGGATTAATTCATTACATTGCTAATAAACTGAATATTCATAACCTTGCTAGTTGCCTAATAATTTGGAAATGGCCAAAGGAAAGTTTGATCTGGAGATAATAAGTACTGAATTTTTGTACAATATACACATAAATACACTAACTTTTCTCAAGTTTATCATCTTTAATATATCCAGTCCGTCCACATCTCCAACCACTTGTGCCGGCTGTAATGAAATAAAATCATAATTTTCAATAGGTACAATTACAACTATAATCATCCCCTGTACATATTGCATTGTGATAGTATGTACATAACTGAATCATACAGGGATATGAAGCACAATCATCCCCCTGTACACAATGCACTTTGATGGTATATGGCACTATCAGACATATTTACAGCACAATCATCCCCTTGTACATACATTTAAATGCAACACAATCATTCCCTCTAAAAACATTGCACAGTGATGATACAGTCACACATATAAATGCAACATAATCATTCCCTCTGTAAACATTGTACACTAATGGTACAGGCACACATATAAATGCAACACAATCATTCCCTCTGTAAACATTGTACAGTAATGGTAGTGGTACAGGCTCACATATGAATGCAACAGAATCATTCCTTCTGAAAACATTGCATAGTAATGGTACAGTCACACATATAAATGCAACACAATCATTCCCTTTGTAAACATTGCACAGTAATGGTACAGTCACACATATAAATGCAACACAATCATTCCCTCTGTAAACATTGTACAGTAATGGTACAGTCACACATATAAATGCAACACAATCATTCCCTCTGAAAACATTGCACAGTAATGGTACAGTCACACATATAAATGCAACACAATTATTCCCTCTGAAAACATTGCACAGTAATGGTATAGTCACACATATAAATGCAACACAATCATTCCCTCTGTAAACATTGCACAGTAATGGTACAGTCACATATATAAATGCAACACAATCATTCCCTCTGTAAACATTGCATAGTAATGGTACAGTCATACATATAAATGCAACACAATCATTCCCTCTGTAAACATTGCATAGTAATGGTACAGTCATACATATAAATGCAACACAATCATTCCCTCTGTAAACATTGCATAGTAATGGTACAGTCAAACATATAAATGCAACAGAATCATTCCCTCTGTAAACATTGTACAGTAATGGTACAGGCACACATATGCAGCACAATTATTCCCTCTATAAACATTGCACAATGTAATACTCAGTGGTACCGTTTTCATAAGCTTCTACTCCTAAAAACAAACAGAAGTGAAGATTATCAGCAAATGATATACCCATTGCACAGAGTGATTTTCTTGGTTAAACGAACCGTATGAGTTATAAATAAATTTAGAATTTTTATAGTATGCTCCACCATAGCGGACAAATCTTTCGATCCCAACCCGTGATATCATGGGCCTTTCAAGAGATATATAACATTTACAATTGCTGTCACAATCCAAGGTACAAGAGCTCATCCCTCCCTACTTACTGTGTACTCAATAAATATCGCTGAGTAATCTACCATGGGCTTCTCTTGTAAGCCAATGAATCTACTAATAAGTTTAGAAAGGAGAATAACAAAACTGATTTGCAAATCAAACTGCAATTGATTTCTTTACTTTTTGGGTTTGAATTTGATGCAGAGCCCAATAATGCAATCCAAAGAAAGTCTTACCTCTGCATGTATTTTTCTTCGGTTTAGCCATGGGATGATCACAAATATGTAAATGACAACAACAATAGCTAAAATATTTGAGGCTATCAAGATGAAAATATACATGTTGACTGTTTATTAGAAAAATGTAAATAAAAAGTCATGTGCCCTTTCTACAGGAAGTACTAACCCGGAAGTGAAATATTAAATGTCAAATTTTAGTAAAGGATGCACAGGATGGGGCTTGATAGTATGATCTGCTTGCCCTTTTGTAGACCTCCACTCATATATTGAAGTGATTTATTTCTTTACAACATTAACATGCTTATTTCTTCTTACTAATTGGTTGAGACTAAGATGAAGAAAATCAGTGTGATGGGTAAGAATTGATGACCCAGGATGTGATGTGATTCTTTAAAGTATATAACTTTCATTATTTAAGGTGACATTTAAGTTAATCAAAATTACAAAAACATGGGAGTTTACTTCCTGCGAAAGCTATTTGGATTTTGATATAATAGCTTTCCCACGGAGCATTTGGACAGCTCAGTGATCGTGACCTTTGAAATCGAATTAAGTAGATCCGCGGCTTACTTTTGGTCTCTAACTGTGTCTTACATCAGTATCATCAATCCGTGTAAGTATTGGAGCGCTGGAGTACTTCTTTTTCGATCAAGACTTGTAATTGTTAGGTCGAGTGAATCGTTTTACTGCCAAATTCCAATATGGCGGTTTCTGCTCGGACATTTTCGTAAATCTCCGGAGGTTGTCCGAACCTAACTAATTCTCAAAATTCATTTCGTTCGTTGCGTATCTCGCACCTAGCAAACCGCCATATTGGAAATAGGTCTGTAAAACTTTAACTCGATGAACAATTTACAAGTCTTGATCGAAAAAGAAGTACTCCAGCGCTCCAATACTTACACGGATTGATGATACTGATGTAAGACACAGTTAGAGACCAAAAGTAAGCCGCGGATCGACTTAATTCAGTTTCAAAGGTCACTATTGATCAGCTGTTCACTTCTCCGTTTGAGAGCCATAAGTTTCAAAATCTAACATGGCTCTCGAAGTGAGTAAATGGGAGTCATATTTTTTTGATAAAAGTCAGAAGATTTTGTATACTGTTTTCCTTGTATGTGAATGCATTTCCTGACTAAGGAGACACATAAAAGAAAACCTCACATTTAAACGCATTTTTCATAACTATGAATTGGAGGTGCATGGCACCCCAAAGCTCGCATGAAGAGTGTGAAGTGAGGCTATTTTTTGAAAGTTTCAAGGAGTAGCCTTGCAACAGTCACACATTTGCAAGAATTCAAAATTTCCAGATATAATCTTACCTTACCAAGGAACAACGAAGGAGCATGAAAATGTGTACTTCTTGCATTGTTAGAGTATAATAAAGCTCAAACCATTGTGAATTCTAAATATTTCATGTCTACCATTTTGTTTCCTGGAACTATTTTTTAGTCCAGAGTTATTCTCATTCATGTATCCATTGTTTATCATTCACAAAGCCTCTATCATGTATCTATCATGATAATTATACTGTAATAGATAAAATATACAGGTGATAATCCATGCCACTTGGTGTAGTCACAAAACTTGTATGAGGATTAATCAGGAAGTCTAGAAGTAGTTCCGGCAAACAAAATGGTGGACATGAAATATTAAGAATTTACAATGGTTTGAGCTTTATTATACTCTAACAATGCAAGAAGTACACATTTTCATGCTCCTTCATTGTTCCTGGGAAAGGTAAGATGATTTGTGGAAATTTTAGACTCTTGCAAATGTGTGACTGTTGCAAGGCTACTCCTTGAAACTTTCAAAAATTAGCCTCACTTCGCACTCTTCATGCTAGCTTTGGGGATCCATACACCTCCAATTCATAGTTTAGAAAAATGCGTTTATGTGTGATGTTAACTTTGACATGTTTCATTTGTCAAGATATACAATTCATATACAAGGTAAACAGATTTTAAAAACATGAGTCTTTATCAAAAAAATATGGCAGTCATTTTTTGTACTTTTTATTTAATTTAGCTTCGCCTTAAGTGGTGAGATGAGAACTTTATAGTCACATTCTTGCAAGTAGAAATGTTCATAAAGCGTCAAATGCGAAATATATAATAGGGGCAATTTACTATTGATTTGGATCCTTTTGAATTTACTTGCAAAACTGTGGTGTGATTTTGCCACGTCCAGGAAGCCTGTTGCTAAAATTTCTTCATAAATAACCATTGTGATTAAGGTCTACTTAATACTGCTGTGCATTAATCATCGATTTTAATTAATAAAAAAATCAAAAAAGTATTTCAATGATCAATATGTCAAAAGAGTTAGATGAAATTATCGAAAATTTAGTCTTGTAAATAAGATGCTTATTTTCAGTACTAGTGATCTCCTGACAAGAAAAAACATGGCGTTCAAATTTTTTTACAAAAATTCAAAAATGATTTAAATTTTTTGAATTACGTTCTAGTGTGAGCGGTAATTCAATAAACTAGGAGACATGGATCAACGTCTTTCCACGTTGTAACATTTCAAGTGGTAGGAAAGAACAAATTAGGCCCCTTGGTAGCGCTAAAGTTACAATGGAATTTTCGCAGAGACGAATGTCAAAATCAAAAATCAGCTCCACTGGATCAGACACTTCAAGTAGTGCATCAATGGCAGTGGCATGGAAAAAATGTTCATATTGCCATGATTCCCCAATTTTCAAAGGCCCTAGAGACTTTTGTGCCCATCTTAGGGAGTATCACTGTACAAAAGAGGGTGGATCTTACGTCTGCCGATATGGGTCAAACAAAGTCTGTCCATCACTCCCATTGGAGGGGGTCAGTGATAGGGATTATGAGGACCATGTTGCAAGAGATCATGTTGCTGGTGAACCAGGTAATTCTTGATCTCTAGACTAGGCTTGTGAAAATACTGAGAAAGATATCCCTGACTCCCTGTGTAAGATATAGCCACTTATCCAACTACTACTTTTTTCATGGCCTGACTGTGTCGGTAGAACTTGAAATATAAGTTACCTAAAGATTGGGAGTGTTACTTACCTTCTAGAGGTTAGAACACACATTTCAATGAAACCCTATCACCTTTGTTGCGTCAACCATTTAGCATTTAGCACAATATCCAAGAGGTAGAATATGAACCGTGAAAATGAGTGATTTCCTTGTAAGTTCCGGAGATTTCAATAGGGGAAGTGGTCCTAATTATCGCACGGTCCTAATTATCGCACAATTGTCCTAAATAGCTAAAATATACACCCACCATCTTTTAAAACAGTGTTACAAAAAACAGTTCAACACCATTACTCCTAATCTTCATGATTTATTCATATATTTAGAAATATCTCTTCATTTTTTAAGAATTGGTTACTTCCGCTATTGTCATGTATGCTATTGCGCAAAAAGTGAAATTCGTTTGACAAAGTTTGACCCCCTCCAAATAAAGACAGAAAAGTAAGTGTATAATGGATATTTTGTTGATATTTTACACTAAAACTGATAGAAAAATGATTATTGCATATGTATGTTTCTGTTATAAACAGAGAAATGTATACAGTATCGTGAAATGACATCTGAAACACTACTGTGCGATAATTAGGATGACTGTGCGATAATTAGGACCACTGCACATGCGAGTCTAAGGGGTCTTAAAGTGTTAGCGTTCGGAGATCGAGAAATGTCAAACAGTACTAAATTTTCGAAGAAAGGTTGATCTTTCATCTCATATTCTCAAAGTAAGTTGAAGTTATCATATTTGAAATCGTCAGTAGTTTTCCAGAGTACCCGTGCGGTGATAGGACCATTTCCCCTACAAAAAATTACGGAACATGTGTGAAAATTGAATGTTTGTTCGTTCATTATATTTTGGTCTAAATTATAAAGCATCCATGTCCAGTGAGCAATTAAACATAGTCTATATCCAATAGACTGAATTTCCTGAGAATTCAGTCTATTGATCATTATGTCCATCCTATGGGAAAAAACAGGAAATTTCCTGCACACAATTATCAATTTTAGGAAGCTTCACTATCAAGAAATAAGTATTATAACAACTCAATTAAGTAGTAAGGTACAATTGAATGCTATAAAAAGTAACACAGCATATTGTTAAATGGAAATAAAGCTAGAGGAAGAAACAAATATGCAACTTTAATTTTCCCCGAATTGGCCATTTTGAATGGCATTTCCTATATAAACAAATAATTTTCAATCCCAAATTTTAACATAATATGTGGGCTATAGTCTGAATATTTTCATTCCAAATTTCAAAAAAATTGCAGACTAGAGGATATAGTCTAAATTAAACAAGCCCCCCCTCCTTAACATGACATGAAAATAATATATAAAAAGATCTGGATCATACAGGACTATCCTTCTTTCCAGAATAATAGATATAGATCACAAACAGGTCATACTGTATTATAGATTCTGCGCAGCATTTCGTTCAGACCAATAGTTACACTGTAGATCATGCAGTTTCTTCTATCCTAGAACAGGCCATCCTCCTCTGTCCTGTCCTAAACTCGTCTGTAAATGACCACAAAACATTCTTTTTTAATATTCTAATTATTTTCACACCAGACATGGTTGGATGACATGTCACCAAATTAAAGTTCAAGGGTCAATACATTATTTCGTGATAGGGTCAACGCCTTCCCGGAAGTCAAAATGAATAAAAAATGGAAATGAGTCCAAAAAGCATTTACACAAATTTCAATCAAGTACTGTGCTACTGCTTCATCATGAACAAAACATATAGGGTTTCATTGAAATGTGTGTTCTGACCTCAAGAAGGTAAGTAAGACTCCCAATATTATGATAACCTCTTATTTTTCAAGTTCTACCAATGCAGTAATGCCATGAAAAAAGTAGTAGTGCCTTTTTACCATCAAAAAAGATCGTAAAAAGAAGGAAATGATGTGATACTCACTGTAAATTTAGTTATTACCAATAATATATTCCTAATATATATAGGTTACGAGGTAAAATTAAGTCCAACAACAGCATACCAATTATACCAATTTAGATTTAAACATTTTTTGTAAAGTTCCTTCATTTTGTCAGTCATGTGTCAGTCACATATACGGTTCTAGTGGTGGTACGATAAATCTGCAACTGGAATAATCATTTGTTTGGACGAAAAAGTTTGAAAATTGATTTTTGGTTTCAACTCTGATTTTGACTCGAGTCGGACTTCAGCTCAGTTCTTTCACAAATAATTGAGTCAAATACTTACATATTACTCAATAATTGCGTACATCTTCCTAATTTATGGCAGTATCTTTGTCAAAACTGTTTAGATTTAGATTTTTTCTCATTTCTATGCGAATCGAAACCAGAAGTAGAGTAGAACCCTTGTTTTGGTTTTCAAAATTTTGTAGAATTTTTTATTACTTGTCTGATTTCATTATTGTTGGTATTGTTGTAAACCTTATTCAATAACCTCTTCAGAAAGATTTTATTTTTTTGAAAAAGTAGGTAAATATAGCTCAAGTCGAGGTCAACGTGACCTAGGGGGTGTAAATTTTTGACATTTTGTGATAAATTGACAATTTTCTTTCACAATAAATTTTTTTGTGCAAAAAAATGCTTCACTGCCTTAAAAAATCTATTATCTTTCAAATAAAACTATAATCATGGTAAAATCAGTGTGCACAGTCATTTAGAAATATGCAAAAAAATTTCAAAGGTATTCATCGAGTAGTTTTTGAAAAAATCTGTTTTTCTCTCAAATTCGTGAAGAGAACGCGTTTCGCGAATACTTGCTGATTGACAGTTTTTTACCTTTAAAAATTCATAACACAGTCAAAAATTTGCAAAAAAATCAAGAGGATTGACATTCCCCTCCCCCCAGTTGTTTTCTATGTGAGGAGAGCCCTGCAACGTCTGTCACTTGGAACATTGACTATTTCAGTTCAATAAGTATTCTCATTACGCCAAAAACTAACTCATGGCTTTTCATGGAAGATTGAATATGAAATAAATACCATGCACTGACTTTAATTTTTATTGGGAGCTGTATTTTGATCAACCTATTCTGATTTGGTAGCTGGATCAAAAGATTTTATATTGAAAGAGCATAGATGACGTCTTTTTAACGTAATACTGAAGTAAATGAGATGGTTGACTTTGTTTTTCCAGGAAGACACAAAAAAGGCTACATCCATGATAGTGATGGTGGGGGCAATAGAACAGACAATACTGCAGCCAGCACACCAACTGTCTCAGAGCCATCTATAGTTACAGATCAATATCGATGGACAGTTTTTAATTCCAAAGTCAATTTACCTGCACTTTTGAATGATCCGCGTCTCACACGAAGACAAACAGACTTTTTTACAAAAACCTGGGGAGAAGGATTTGAAAAATGTGATATTTTACCATCTCCCTACATTCCAGTTATAACCAAAGCCCATTTTGACAAGTATCTTCATAAAATCTCAAAGGTTTGTATAACGTTAAACCCATATATTTATATTAATTCTCAAACTCAGGGGTATACAACATGTAATATGTATCAGGGGTTCATAAGCCAACAGCATAATAATATCTTGTCTATATCAAATTCCATCTGTTGTTAACAGGCATGAATTTATACTATATCTAGTAATATCCAATGATTTTTTCTTCTCCACATTTTTCTATCATCTCAGAAATTCTAATGAAATCCACTATGTTCTAGTTTAATAATAGGAATATTGGAAATACTTGTAGAGGAGATATCAATGTTTTTATTATTCCTCTGGATGTTTTTAAATGATTAAATTTTCCATATATTGTTTCAGAGATTAAAAAAGCATAATCGCTATACAGAACTGGTGCCAAATGTAGTCCAGAGTGACTCCAATCCGAATGAAGTCTTTCCTGCTCTGAAACATAGACAGTTTGGTGAGTGCTTTGGGAAATAATGAATTAATGCTTCTTTTATGTGTTAACATATTGTGATATTTATTTGAGAAACTGTATGGAATTCAAATTGATTCACAAGTGATATTCCCCATTTCATACTTGTACTTGTTTTTCCCAGACATCTTGGAGGTACGAGCCATAGCGTGTGAAAAGACAGGACATCACATGATTCGATAAGATTGTTAAAAAAATTACATTCCATGTATATATCTATTTCCAGCAATAGACCACTCATCACGTGCAGTATTAGAACAAGTCCCTAAGCTATTTATGACCCCAGGGTTTAGTCTGACCAACCCTGATACATTTAGTGCAGTATTCCCCTGGACTCAAGTAGAATCCAGTACTAGAACATCTCCAGGCTCTAAGCCACAACAACAGTCATCAAAACTATTACAAGAAAAGGTAAATGTTGTTGCAGGGGTGATTTTTATGAGTTTAGCTACAAGCCCTTGTGACCCCCCCCCCCCCTCCCACTAGAACAAGTAGAAGGTGTATGTGATGGTGTGTAATCAAGCAGAGAGGAGGGTCACAGAGGCTCGTAGCTAGACTAATTTTCACCTGCCCGGTTGTTTTGAACAATATTTTCTGTTTTTTGTAACTTTGTAACTACTGTATTTAATTTCCAATTTCCTGCAGTTCAATTAATATAATTTTCAATACTTTAATTTGCCCATTGTTTTCATCCATATTATCAGACACTAGTGAAATCATTGCATTATCTGCTGTAGAAGTGTGTATAGAGATTACTAGATAGAAGATGTGGATAGGTTGCAGATATACTTGTAGTAGGGGTCAGGCTGGTCTTGATTAAATTGGGTCGTTTCATCTACTTTACATATACAATTCCAGTAGATGTGCAATTGTCCATACATTGTACATGTTTAATCAAACTAATTATACACATGAGACAAAGTCAGGATAATAATCTCATAATCTAATAACCTGAATTATCTAATGACAACTTATTTACTAATGCACCATTGGCATGTACTTATTCTTTATATATAAGGGTTATATAAGAGTTTATTATTTTCTTTTCCAGATGAGTCATTACCTAGACCTAGTTGAGGTTCAAATTGCCAAGCAGATCTCAATGAAGTCTGATGCTTTCTTCACTGCTATCTCCTCACAGAATAAACTGCAAGATGATATGTTGAAAACATGTGCTGCAATCAAACACCTAAGGTCAGTATGTATAGGGAGAATTACAGCTATTGCCAAAAGCTAATTCTGATTTTCACTATTAGCTATTGAATTCTATTTCTCTTGAAAATTTTTGAAATTGTTCTTATGGGGGAGGGGGAACTTGGAAATTGAATCTTGAATTACATTAAATTTGGTGTCCAATCTAATTAAGGTTAAAGAAAAGGGCATCTTCATACTACTATTGAATATACACTTACCTGCTTATCTTCATTTCCAGGGATAAAATACACAAGCTAAATAGTGTTCTAGTCGAGGGGCCATTGAAGATAATGAAGCTGACAGAGTCAAGGTCGAATCATATACAAGCATACAATAAGGTAGATAAAGAACAACAGCTCATCTCATTAAACAGGCAATGTGCCTATTTTTCAAGGAAAAAGGACAAAATATTATTTGAGACATGTCACTCACACAGTCAATCAAATGTGATAAAAACTTTTATTTGGGATAATACTGAAGTGAAAAAAATTGCTTGCATAGAAAAACGGCATTTGAAGTTCAGAGATTGAAAAAAGTGAATTACCACTTTTCACAAAGTGTATGTTTTAAATAACTCTTGGATTAAAAGATGGCGTATGCTTGAAAATCCTATCAAAAATGAATGGATAATTAATGCAAACAACAATGCCATCTTTCTATGGCATTGCTAAAAACTTGACCCATATAAATTGATAGATCAAAAATATTTTTTCATGATCTAGTGTCAACTCTGATGTGGTCTGTTTGAGCTGTTTTTGGTGTCAAATGAAAGATCAGATACTTATTATCCCATCGAACGAAGTTCGGAGGGATATAGGGAACGCCTCCGTCCGTCCGTCCGTACGTCTGTCCGTCCGTCCGGGCAATAACTGAAATACCGTTGGCCCGATTTTGTTCATATTTTGTACACATATACCCTATGGGGGTAGAAGTTCTGCTCGAAAGCCGATTTTCAAAATGGCCACTCATTTTAAAATGGTGGCCATTTTAGTGCCAAATTTACAGTAATTTAATCTAAAACTGTAATAGCAATATGTTTTAGATGTAAAAACATTATATAGGACATTAATAAAGCTAGAAATGTAGATATTAAAGAAGCACATGGCAGCCATCTTGAAAAATGGCGGCCTTTACTCGTTATTTTACGATTTTTGCTGTAACTCGAAAAGTAGTGGAGCGATTTTGTTCATATTTGGTATGTAAATACTATAAACATTGCACACTCTCTAAAGACACTTTTGGTAGAAGGTGGCCATTTTGAAAAATGGCCGCCATTTTAACCTATTTTACTATAACTCGAAAAGTAGTGAGGCGATTTTGTTCATATTTGGTATGTGAATACTATAAGGATGGCACACTGTCTAATGACACTTTTGGTAGAAGGCAGCCATTTTTCAAAATGGCCGCCATTTTAACATATTTTACTATAACTCGAAAAGTAGTGGAGCGATTTTGTTCATGTTGTTCTGGTTTATCCATTGGAAATACTATGAAGATCAAAAGTGAGACTTCATTTATGCACTTTGTCCCTTTAAAGATATTTAAAATGAAGTTTAAATAAGTTTTATAAGTTACACCTTGCTATAGTGAAACAGCTAAGGTAACGCATTAGCGAACAATTCATTCTTTAACATGTGTTTTAATAGCATAAAACCATAGCTGTGGAAAATAACTTTACTCTTTTATGTCCAGTTAAAACTAATGGCCACAGTCCACCAAACCCAGCCAACCATCCAAATGCTGCTCTCAACAAATGAGTTCGTTGGAGCCATAGATCTTATATCTACAACGCAGGAAGTTTTAACTCAAGAACTGGCTGGAATTCACAGTTTTAGGTTTGTCTATATATGTTTAATATAGGGTGTCCAGAAAATAAAGATACATTCTTTTATTTTAAGCAATATTATCAAATGACAATGAATTTCTACAGGTTGTACCTCAACAACATACCACTATAACAGATCTTTACGATAAATCCTGCCACCTTTTGATATACCAGAGAAACCTTGATATATTTGTTAGCTTGACGATGTCATAGGTTGTATTTTATCATTTGAAATTAGCAATAAGTTAATACTATTTTACGTAGTCAGATTCCTACCTACAACCAATGACATCATCAATTTAGCCAATATATCATAGTTTTTCAGATATATCAAAAGGTGGCAGGATTTATCGGAATGATCTATTCCATGATACTTCGGGTTTTGACAGAAATTCAATAATTATATAAAGAACTTTTTATCTAATCATGAAAAAAAGTAATCAAAATGAAACAAAAACATGCTGTAAAATACCTTAGTGTTTCACATAACAATTTTCTTCATTTTAAAAATGGCAGGCATCTTGGAAGTCAGCTTGCAGAAATGGAGAAGTTGATTGATAAGATGATGCAGGCAGACTTCATACGCTATGCTACTGCAGACCTCAACAGACCTCTAGATGAAGGCTCGGAACTCATGGAAGAGGTGAGATGGAAACAATAAATTAAAAAAACAATATGAACAGATTTCCTTGATGACTTATTTTGTACATTTTTTTGATCAATTATATTACATGTTGTATACATACGTACAAAGTACATGTGATATTTTGTTTAATCCCTATCTTTTAAAGTAATTGTCATATTCGATCAAAGTTCACTTTTGTTTTCTATGTTCGTCGCAGGAGCGTTTAGTGGCCATAGTATTTGGCCTTCTTCGCCAACACAAGTTCAACTTCATAGATGTCTACAGGGAAGAGGCTTGCACTGCTATGAAAGCTGCAGTCAAACAGGTATATACATTCCTCATGTAACAAATGAAACTTCTTTTATGAGTTTAGGCTGAAAATATATCATTAAATCAGTCAGGGCAATCTGAAAACATGATCTATGTTTACTTTTATTTGGCAGGGTATATGTAAAACTACTTAGTACAGTAAAACCTGTATAGGTGGAACACCCTTAGTTCAGATAAAAAAATGTTTAATGTTGGAGGTTTCACTTACCAATAAAGTCACTGGTCATGGGACTGTGAAAAGTGTTCCACTTCCAAAGGTGTTCCACTAACAAAGTGTTCTACTTATAAAGGTGTTCCACTAAGTTTTACTGCCCTATAGTAAAGCTCTCCTTACTGTTCTTGTTGCAGACAGTTGTGCAGGCAGTCTCTGAGGCAGAGGACATTGATACAGATCTACCTGTGGGAAGGTGAGTTGCAATTCAGCCTCTGGGAATATGAAATGTTTACAAATAAATGATGCATAAAAAAACCCATATAACACAGATAATTTTTTTCATATAGCAGATAAATACAGTAAGCATGTTACATTCTGAATAGACACATTAAACTGTATTTCTTATTTTAGTCTTGCTGACCAGATGCGTTTGCTGAATTTCACCCAGTGGATGACACTCCTCGGCCAAGTTTTTGTAAATCTCCTCATCATTCTTAACAGGGTCAAGGTGAGTAAACTAAGGTAATGTAAGTAGTCTAAAACAGATTCAAGATAAGTTGTTTAAAACAAGCGTGACCCATAGTAGAGAAATATGTCGGTTTTCTAAAATAGGATCAAAATGACAAAACAAGATCTAGAATAGAGTCAAGATGTGTAGTCGAATTCTTTGTGAAAGTAAATAGTCCAAACCCTGCTCATTTCTCCCTATGGTATGTTTCAATTATATCTTAAAACAGAAATCCAGAATTTTTCCCCTTCCTTACCTGTTTGTTGTCTTTAGAATAAAGTCCACATTTCTGTATATTTTCTAGGCTGTTTGCAGTGTTATAATTACCGTGCTGAACCTGGCATCCTCTCAACAGACAATTAAACCAACATACAGTGGTAATACTGACCCTATCTGTAATGGTAGCACCAATCCTTTTGAGGATGACCTTGACCCTGAAGATCGCACATTCCCTGAAGATGCTGGTCATGACAGTGGAGATCATTTGGTTGGAGGTCAAGGTCACGATTCCCCAAAAAACACTCTAAATGGAGAAGGTGAAGGTCATGACATTGATGGAGAGACCTCAGTTAATAATACTCTAGAAACTAGTCCAATACACCTCCCAGGGTAGGTTAAAGTTATAGCATTAACAATAATGTCTCTTATATTTTAAATATTTCATGAAATCGTTAATTCATGGAGTCTTCCAAAAGGCAAATAGGATAGAAGTTTTTGTTCTAATATTTTCTGCTTTGTTTTCTCACTAAGTCTAACATTGTTCAATAGTAAAAATGATGCATGTGAATGAACATAACAATCCTTCCTGTTAAACTTTAATATTTCTTAACACATTGTTATGATTCTCTGCATCTGAATTTCAAAATACTAGTGGTGGAGGGCAGTTGCTAGATATATTTTTTCATAACTTTGGTTGATTTGAAAATGATTTGCAAATTTTTGGACGTCCTGGGTCAAAATAGTATTAATTTTCAAAAATGCAGAATTAATGGGTGATATTTGTAAAGTATCAGTACTGCTAACCAGTGTAAGATCAATTCAAATGCAGTGTTAAAGGGATATTCCTTGCAAACCCATTTCTCTCTTGATGTGGTAGCTTAACCAATCTATACTGTCCATATTTGCAAAACATTCGATAATGTTTTGATATGCTCAATATAGATCATTTAAAAATGCAGCATTCATTTCAAGTAGGCTGCAGTCTTTTAAGATTTTTACACAGGAAGTGGTGTCATCAATTATACATAGCAGATGTTCTTTTAAGTTTTTCTAAAGATATAAGCCTACCCTGTATGTTGCATTAATGGCAGGGCTACACACTGTATTTACATATTTTATATAGCTTAATGTATGGAACACATTTTTTGGCCCTACTCTAGCGGATTAAGAAACAGTCTAGTGCACAGCCCACTTAATTTCCAACCCTAACTATTGATTAAAGGGGCACCAAGGATTAGAGATTGTAAAATGTTTCAAAAAAATATTTTCACGAAGCATCTCAATTCCCTTACAACCCTAAAATGAAATATAGTCAGAACTGAATAGGCATGCCACTGACTATTGTGAGCAACAAGTAAAAGTGTAAAAAAAAACTATTTATTTGTACTCTCTAGTCTTTATTGCACCTTTAACTTATGTAAGGATGGGTTGCTGTGCATTGGACTAATATTAATGTTTAGATAAGTTTTATGCTTTGCAATTTGCATCTTGTGGTTTCAGGGTAACTAACTTATCATCTAATCAAAGACTTAACATCTTTACTACCTCAAAAAGGTACTTACTGTTTTTATGTTTTATTTCGTAGATGTTAAATGCTAAATGTGAATATTTATATATATATTTTATAGCATGGTCATATTTGGAAAGGAATCTTATGCATGCTAAACAATAGACCTGTTTGAACTTAAAACCTGAAAATGATTCAGAAAATTGGAGAATCTTTTATACAAAATAAAACAGTAATTCAGGGCAGTACAGAAAATATTTACAAGTACAAAACAGTTCTAAAATTCATAAGTATATGATGTGCTAAAATATTGCTGTCAAAATAAAATTAGAATTAGTGATTTCACGTATACTGGTAACTTCTTGTTATAATATGCTTGTGATTTATTCAAAGATATTTTCAATATGCATGCATGCTTCAATATGATTAGTCATACTAATTTAAGTATGCATGGTGAACGTGCTCTACATTCTTAGCAACTTAAACTATGATAACACTTGGGGGATTTATCATTTGTTGTTTTTTTAAACTGTGTGGATGTATCTTGCCCTCTGGGTCTTTCTATTACTAATATATATTTTGTGGTGGTTTTTGTCTTGTTTCAATTTTAATACTTTACATATTATTCTCAATATAATCTGAGAAAAATGCTCAAAATTAAATGTTTGAAATTTCGAGTAACAAGACTTCTTAAATGATGTGATGCAATTTGATTTTTACTTTGATAGACTGAATTTTGAGCATTCTTCTCAAATTGTACTGACAAAGTGTTGGGAAAGATGATACCATGGAAACCAGGAAATGTTACATTAATATATCATTGAATTCTACAGAGATGGTGACGTTGATCTGATGGTAACTCAAAAAGATTGCAGTACGTTACATAACAACATCAGGGACTTATTATGCCAGGTCTGTGACCACGCACATGACAGATGCGTTAAGGTCATAGTGGCACGCGCCAAACATGGCTTCCTGGAAAAATTATCTTCTAGTGAATTTGTGACACTTTCTCGGGAGATTGAAGAGTTTGTGAAGGATTGTGAGTTGTTATGTGGTCGGAAGAGTATGTCGTTACGAGGGAGTCTACAAAGTCAGGCCAATAGATTTGTTACTAGGTTCCATGAGGAAAGGAAAACCAAATTAAGGTGAGGCTGATTGTTTATTGATTTACTTTCGCTGTAGATGTTACTAGCCAAAACATGGTAATATTGCACATTTTACATTTCATGTATAACTATATGATTGTATAAGAAACAGTTGGCAGGTTTTTCAAAATTTGAAATATATGACTTTAAGTTACATTGTTATCTATTTTCAAAGTTCATCATTTACTCCTCCCAGAGCTTAAATACAGTATGTGAACACATTTTCATATAGTATGTGTCATATTTATATTTGTTATTTGTTGGATAATTTCAGTTTAATACTAGACAATGAGAGATGGAAACAAGCTGATGTTCCAGAAGAATTTCAAGATCTCGTCAATTTTATCTCAGAACACAAAAAGTTAGCGTTACCAGAAAAAAAGGCGGATGCAGGTAATGTGAAAATATGGAATTATTTTTCATTTGAATATTGTTATATTTCTCTATACAAACCAATCATATAGCCATTTACACTTGAGAAAGAGGTTATAATAGCTGCATGTTTAGAAATGCATATATTAAATACAAAAGTGAGGAAAAGTGTGCAATAAACAACAAGTAATATGTTTATTATTACACAGCAATATGATACCTGATTCTAACAATAATCTGACGCTTTAGCTTGATCATTAACCAAATTCTATTTTGAAGGATATTCAAATGGCTGTGACATAATAATCGGTAAGACAGAAATAGTAAAGGTTAAATCCAAGCTTTATATGTAATGTTTCATGTTCTGTGTTTATCGGCTTTTTGCCTTTTGGATCCTACAAATTTACACATGTGGGTCTGGGTATGGGTGAACCTGGCTTGTCCTGTATATACTTTACACTACACATAAGAAGGGTATTCTTGGTACACAATAGGAAAATGCATGAATTTTCAACCAACTTTACACCTCAATAGCAATATTGAATTCCTGAACTCAATCCTTGAAGTATTGGTTTATGCATTTCACTATATTAGATATTGCCACCCTATAATATGAACATACATAGGATCCTATTTAAGTATACATAAGTCAACTTTATCTTTAGAAAGCTTCATCAGTTGAAATATGATTTATGGTATTTTTGTGTGATAAAATGTTGATTCATATATCTATTGACCTTATTGACATTTTACTTGTAAAGGTTTCAGGTTAAGTTGATCATAAACCTTTACATGTAAAATGTCAGTGGAAAACTTAAATTGATAAATTAAAGTACAGTATTTAAGAATTGTTTTATTCTAAGCCGATGGGTTTCAGTTTTTATTAGACAATGGGTATGTCATTACATTTTCAACATACATTTATATTTGCATTCAACCACTTCAGCCAATCGTTCAGGGGTAGGGTAACATTAATATAATAAGACGAATACAAAAAAAATAGTTATCAAAATTTTTATTTTTCACAGACTTTGTATCCTCTAGGCTTAGTAAGTACAAATGGTAACGCTAAAGGAGTACATTAGTAGACATGTACCTTCCTGTTCTTCTAGATAAACACCATTGATGAAGTCGTCTATTGATTTTACCATTATGCATTAATAAATCTGCAATATTCATATCCCTCCAACTATTGACATTATAACGAACATCATTCTCCTGAAATGAATTTTTGATATCAAAACAAAGTAGTAAATTATCTAATTTTAGAGATTTAATTGTGATATGTCAATTAGTAATTTCAATGACCTTTTTGAATCATTATAAATTGCTCAATGTTTTAATTAATCTTCTGATTGCAGCAAAATATTACTTTTTCTAAGAGATAACGATGACAAAGAGACAATGTATACTCTTTATAGGATTACTACTGATAATTGGGTATTTTCTCAAAAGAATGGATTCATCAAATCGCTTGCTGCTCTCTCAGCCTTTAACATTAGTAAATATGAGCCAGATGAATTCACTTTTTAATCCATTTTCAAAGGAATGGAAATCAACTGACTGTGCTGATGTGAAATTTGGTGGGATTATTTCACCTATCAGAAGAATGAACACATCACGTATTGTTGGATATGCACATACTGAGGTTGAAGAATGTGTCTCATTCCCATGTGATCTTAATTTAAAAAGAAAAGAGGTGATAATGCATCGCCCTGGGGAACACCGTTGTCGACATGTAGAAGACTGTGTAACTCTCAGTATCAAGACAAGGTACAACTTGGATATAGTTAGAAAACTATTAGAATCAGCATTTTTGTACTATCCAAGAATTTCTGTTATTGTGATCGATGATTTGGATGATAGTAATTATAGTACTCCCTTAGCATGGTATGACTTTTTATCTGAACACCCACATATATTTTACATGAAAGTTAAGCAGGGCTTAGGAGTTGCATATGGCAGGAATCTTGGATTGAGCCTTATCAAGACAAAGTATTTCATGGTTGTTGATTATGACGTTGTTTTTACAAAGTTTACAAGGCTGGAAAAACTTGTGGAGCTGTTAGAACACACTGATGTTAGTATTGCTGCATTGAGGCTTGAGCTAAAGCTTCGTATTGGTGGAGTTTTATACTTCCAACAATCTGGCCCTGGAAATGTTTCAATGGGTTTATTTCATAATATCTACTATGAGAAGCTACCATGTTTCGATGGCTGTTACACTTTAGATTTTGCCTCTCAAGTATTTGTGGCAAATACGAAACACATCGAGGATATAGGTGGATGGGATAACAGATTCAAATTCACTGAACACATGGACTTTTTCTTAACAGTAAGACAGGCAAACTTGAAGGTTGTAATCTGTAATGACGTATCAGCCATTCACGAACCACCTGAGAGTCTTGAGTTAAGACGGTATAGAAAATCATTTTCTGATACATATCTGCCAATGGTTTTGAGCAAGTGGAATATTCATAAGTGGTATATAAACTGTTATGAATATAGAACACTATACAGCAATAGTGATAAGAATACAGATTTAGGAACATTATGTACCAAAACTAAAATATAGGAATATAAGAATTCAGTAATAGAAAAAAGCAATCATATTTTTATTCTAAATAATACGGTTTTAGTGTCTAATGTAACTATGTAAATAAATATCACTACAATACAATATCATAAACTGAGTTGATATAGTTCAAAAACATCCAAACATCCATGAGGAAAGCAAATGCTTGTTAACAATAATTGTTCCAAATATTCCAATATGTGGCAAATCTATCTAGTCTATTGTTATGATCTATAGAAATGCATTTATCTATTACAATCAAATGTTGACTATTGTGATACACAAAAATACAAAATATGAAAGTGTGTATGCTGTATGTGAAATGTATTTTTATCACATGCTCTGTAAAATTCCAGTAATCTGATTGGTTGATTACCGTGTGAGTTTTCCCGTCTCACACGGCCGTCTCACACGTTACTAGAGGCAACCAGTGATGATCAATAGCAACGATGTGACGTCACTGATTATATCACTTCTAGCTAAGGAAAACAATATGACGTCATACTATTTCACAAACAAGTACGAATACAACGGTATGACGTCATATTGTTTCAAAGCGAAATCAAAAATTATAGTAGTTACCAGAAGTACTGAACACAATCATAACTGACCAAATCAAAATGCTTCAAAATTCCTAGACATGTGATAAAATCGTCATCACACGTTTCAGCTTATGTGATACAGGAAATATTCCACTCGGGTAACAATGTATCACCACTCAAGCTTCGCTTTCGTGGATGATACAGTATTACCTTTCGTGGAATATTTCCTGTATCACATGCTGAAACGTGTGATAACTGATAGTCTCTGGTAACAAATATGTTACCAGAGTTGTGATATGTATGACTTGGATTATCAAAGTGAGCCATCTTCCATCCAGTGAACATTTAATTATCAATATAGATAGACATGGACTTACCCAACCTAGGTACAATAAATAACTTAAAAAGATAATGATAATGGCTACATTATTGAGGTGTGCCATTTTAATGTATACCCTTTTTGTAAAAAAAAGTGAAACAATATCCTTTTTGCCTTAAAATAAAAAAAATCATAACTGATCACAACTGTTAAAGTTCTCAGAAACTCTCCGCAGTTTTATGTATGGGACCATTTCCAAATGTCACTTCAAGTTTTTAACTCGGACCAATTTAAAAATGTTTTTATAAGCTATATAACAATGTATGATATGATTACATCATTAAAAGAAATATTAAAACATTGGCTACTCCAAAATTTGAGTGACATAGCACATCCTATGGTAATTAATTTAGTTTAAAAACACTAAGATTCATTCAAATGGCATATATTGTGGGTTATATTCTTTGGAATCGAATTACCTTTCCTGTGGTATATGTGCTATCAATGCACATATCTGCTATTGTGGTATTTTGAAAAAAAACGAAACCTAAAAGTTCTACTTTTTTTAAACCACTCTGTATATATATCAAAAACAGTCTATATTAAAGGTAACTCAAATTTGACCTAGAAACAAAAAGGAGGGATACTAATTAAAAGCATGTGTAAAGTTTCATGTCAAAAAATTATTTAATTTAATAATATAATGAGTTAAGAGAACTACTATATCCTGATATATATCCTTCCTGGCACTCTGCGTTGTCAGTTGAATATTTACTCAACTGAAATACACATATGATGAGGTATATATTTCAAATGTTTTCAATGTTTTTGTTTCAGAAAAGAGTCCAAGTGAATGCCTTTTAGTAAACTCTCAGAAATACACTGTAGTAGGGTAGGTATCGCTTAGTGCTTAGTTATGTACAGTAAAACCTGTGTACAGTGAACACCTATGGAGCTACAATAATGTGTTCACTAGAGGTAGTTGTTCACTACAGAGAATAGATTTTATACAAAAGTCAGTGGAGTATGTGCTAAGAAGTGATGTTCACACAGGGGTTCATTAGAGAGAGGTGTTCACTAAGACAGATTTCACTGTATTTCTTGAAGCTCCTTTTTATAATTATAAGTACAAAAAGGAAAAATGAATTCAGCACATCACATGTTCTTCAAAGTAATAAATTCATATGGAAGTATGTTATCAATCAATAGAGATTCTTATGCTGTAAGCACCTATTTACAATACAATACTTTGATTTTCCTAGAAAATGACACATTACAATCATTTAGCCCTTCTTTAATCCAGGACACGATGCAATCATTTAGCCCTTCTTTAATCCAGGACACGATGCAATCATTTAGCCCTTCTTTAATCCAGGACACAATACAATTATTTAGCCCTTCTTTAATCCAGGACACGATGCAATTATTTAGCCCTTCTTTAATCCAGGACAGAATACAATCATTTAGCCCTTCTTTAATCCAGGACACAATACAATAATTTAGCCCTTTAATCCAGGACACAATACAATAATTTAGCCCTTCTTTAATCCAGGACACGATACAATCATTTAGCCCTTCTTTAATCCAGGATAACACTGTTGCTTAATATTCCAGGACAGTACTGATGCTGTTGAAGATGGTGATAGAGTATTGTCAGTGTATTGATGACATTCCTACAATAGCACCTGACATGTTGACACGTGTCATAGAACTCCTAAAGGTAGGTCAGAAATCAAGAGAGTTTTCATTGAAAATTTGCCATATTTTAGGAGGTATAAGAATACAAATTATGCCATATTTTATTGGGGGATGTCTCACCTGAACATTTTTTTGTTTCAGATCTTCAACTCTAGGACTTGTCAACTGGTTTTAGGAGCTGGGGCACTTCAGTTAGTTGGCCTGAAAACAATCACAACAAAAAACCTAGGTATCTGATCTTATCTTATGATCTGTAAAATGAATGGTCAGTTCTTGTGCTGTACCAAGCTGTATTGAGACCTGTTAACTCGTATTGGTACTGAATTGATCATCTCCTTAGCAATACAGAAAATATTGGTATGGAAGGGAAATCTCAGTAGCAATACAGATTTCATTAATGAAATTAAAATGTCTTCATTTAATTCATGGTTTTAGAGCAAGTCAAGAAGTCAGAAAAAAGTTATAGAATGATTTGAAGTGCAATAAGCTTACAGGATATGTTGTTCTCGAGAAATTCTGTATTGGTACGAGACGAAGTCTCAACTTATATTGTTTGTTGATAAAGTTACATTCATAGAATAAGGCTATATCTGGAATTGAAATGGAGTAAAAATTACTACAGGATTCCTTACTTTATTGAATGCATTTACTACCAATCTGGCATATCCTTCATCCAATCCCACATTCTTATTAGTAACATATAAAATTGCATTAAGAGACTGCTACTGTCATCCTTACATATTTTATTTTAATTGCACCATCACCAGAAATGGTTACATACTGTTATAATCTTTTTTGTGGTAGGAGTTTGGTGTCTGTAACAAATGGTAGGTGGTGACATTTTGCATGTTAGTGCCTTGTCTTTAACTTACACTACCAAGTATATAGTGATTTATACCAGTAAAAGACAACACATTGCCTTTAATCTTAACAATGTATTTATTGAACAACCCTTGTAGTGAATCACGTTTGAGACTCCGAGATTCATTAAAATGCTTTTTCACAAAAGTAGGGAATCTATTTTGATGTGTGGGGTTATTTCGCCCTGATGCTACTTCATCATCCATGGGTTGTTTCAACTTTGGCTTTTAAATGAAACTGAAATAATCCCATAAATTAAAATAATGAGACACAATCAAAACAGATCTGTATTGCATAGTGACTAATGCCTCATGCCATCTACAGCTGGTTGTGTAGTGAATCATGTTTAGACAGAACATGTATATCTTCAACAACAATGTGTTTTGTAATAGAGCTGTCACATTAGATCGTGTGGGCTCACCATTTATTACCATGTACATGTAAATGCTTTAGGGGACACGGCAGGGCATGGCATGGACATAAGGTGGGCAAAATAAATAGTTTTAACAAAATATCCCCCATCACACCAAATACAAAAATCAATTGATTATCCCACCGAACGAAGTTTAGTGCCGAATTTACAGTAATTTAGGTGCAATATGTAAAACTGTAATAGCAATATGTTTTAGATGTAAAAAAATTATATAGGACATTAATAAAACTAGAAATGTAGATATTAAAGAAGCACATGGCAGCCCTCTTGAAAAATGGGGACCTTTACTCGTTATTTTACGATTTTTGCTGTAACTCGAAAAGTAGTGGAGCGATTTTGTTCATATTTGGTATGTGAATACTATAAACATTGCACACTGTCTAAAGACACTTTTGGTAGAAGGTCGCCATTTTGAAAAATGGCCGCCATTTTAACGTATTTTACTATAACTGGAAAAGTAGTGGAGCGATTTTGTTCATATTTGGTATGTGAATACTAAAAGCATGACACACTATCGTATGACACTTTTAGTAGAAGGTGGCCATTTTGAAAAAAAATTTGAAAAATGGCCGCCATTTTAATGTATTTTATAATAATTCGAAAAGTAGTGAAGCGATTTTGTTCATATTTGGTATGTGAATACTGTAAGCATGGCACACTATCTAATGACACTTTTGGTAGAAGGCGGCCATTTTGAAAAATGGCCACCATATTGTTATGACATATTGTTATGGTCTCCGTTTTTTTTTGCGACGGCGGTTGGTGGCTGGCGGTTGGTTGTTGGCGGTTGGTGGTTGGTGGTTGGAGGTTGGAGGTTGGCGTCCGGCGTCCGGCGTCTGTAACAATTTCTTACAACTTCCTATAACTTAACAAATACTGTTTAGACCGACTTCAATTTTTTTCTAAATCATCTACATGTTCTCAGAAGTTCAAATCTGACTTTAGATTTGACATTTGACCTTCAATGACCTTCTCAAGGTCAAAAAGGTCTTTTTTCAACTTGCTTCACATTGACTAAATTTTTTTTCAAAATCATCTACATGTTCTCAGAAATTCAAATCTGACTTTAGATTTGACATTTGACCTTCAAATCTGACTTTAGATTTGACATTTGACCTTCAATGACCTTCTCAAGGTCAAAAAAGGTCAAAAAGGTCTGTTTTCAACTTGGTTCAAATTGACTAAATTTTTTTTTCAAAATCATCTACGTGTTCTCAGAAATTCAAATCTGACTTAAGATTTGACTTAAGATTTGACATTTGACCTTCAATGACCTTCTCAAGGTCAAAAAAGGTCAAAAAGGTCTGTTTTCAACTTGCTTCAAATTGACTAAAAAAAATTTTCAAAATCATCTACGTGTTCTCAGAAATTCAAATCTGACTTTAGATTTGACTTAAGATTTGACATTTGACCATCAATGACCTTCTCAAAGTCAAAAAAGGTCAAAAAGGTCTTTTTTCAACTTGCTTCAAATTGACTAAACTTTTTTTTCAAAATCATCTACATGTTCTCAGAAATTCAAATATGACTTTAGATTTGACATTTGACTTTCAATGACCTTCTCAATGTCAAAAAAGGTCAAAAAGGTCTGTTTTCAACTTGGTTCAAATTGACTAAATTTTTTTTTCAAAATCATCTACGTGTTCTCAGAAATTCAAATCTGACTTAAGATTTGACTTAAGATTTGACATTTGACCTTCAATGACCTTCTCAAGGTCAAAAAAGGTAAAAAAGGTCTGTTTTCAACTTGCTTCAAATTGACTAAAAAAAATTTCAAAATCATCTACGTGTTCTCAGAAATTCAAATCTGACTTTAGATTTGACTTAAGATTTGACATTTGACCTTCAATGACCTTCTCAAAGTCAAAAAAGGTCAAAAGGTTTTTTTTCATCTTGCTTCAAATTGACTAAATTTTTTTTTCAAAATTATCTACATGTTCTCAGAAATTCAAATATGACTTTAGATTTGACTTTAGATTTGACATTTGACCTTCAATGACCTTCTCAAGGTCAAAAAAGGTAAAAAAGGTCTTTTTTCAACTTGCTTCAAATTGACTAATTTTTTTTTCAAAATCATCTACATGTTCTCAGAAATTCAAATCTGACTTTAGATTTGACATTTGACCTTTAATGACCTTCTCAAGGTCAAAAAAGGTCAAAAAGGTATGTTTTCAACTTGCTTCAAATTGACCAAATTTTTTTTTCAAAATCATCTACATCTTTTTAGAAGTTCAAATTTGACTTTACAAGTTCTCAGAAGTTCAAATCTGACTTTAGATTTGACCTTTGACCTTCAATGACCTTCTCAAGGTCAAAAAGGTCTTTTTTCAACTTGCTTCAAATTGACTAAAAAAATTTTTCAAAATCATCTACGTGTTCTCAGAAATTCAAATCTGACTTTAGATTTGACTTAAGATTTGACATTTGACCTTCAATGACCTAACTAGGTGGTGACATTTTGTCATGTTAATGCCTTGTTGCTATATACTTTGTTTGTAAAAATGCCATCCATGGCTGTTCGATGGGATTCGCTACGCTTTGGCGTTGCCGTTGTTCTGGTTAAATTATTGCCCAAATTTTTTCACACGGTGGCAATTCTGTTAAGGTTACTATTTTAGTTTTGTTTGTATTGCTGTTTCAGCTCTCGCATCACGCTGTCTCCAATTGGTTGTTTACTACCTTCCAATGGTTCGAAATCACTTTGAGACTAGATTCCAAGGAAAACAATAATATATATGATATTTTAGTTCTGATTGTTTGCTATTTCAGCTCTGGCATCACGTTGTCTCCAATTGGTTGTTTACTACCTTCCAATGGTTCGGAATCACTTTGAAACAAGATTGCAAGGAAAACAACAAAATATGATGAAGCATTTTGATTCCATATTAAAAGTAAGTTGTACACTTTTTCCAAAATTTTGCCAATAATGATTCTCAGACTTATAATGTGTCTGATTTTATTCAATTCTGAGTATCAAATCCTATTATGATATTTTATTGGACCCATTAGTCTTAGTTTAATGCACAGTTTTCTTTCTCTGGCCATCTTCATACTATTCTAGTATAAATGACATACTATTTTTATGTATTAAGATACTTTAAATGTACTCTTGATGCTTTGATGAGGCATTGATGCTAAGATTGATTCTTTTGCACTTATAAAATGAACTAATTTGAAATTGTTGGTGCATTTTTCAGGACTATAATGACCACATACAAGAGATCTCCAATAAACTTGTTGCCATTTTGGAAGGCATGCTGGAAGCTCAATTATCAAGGGTAGGTAGATTTTTTTTAAATTTTTATTATCTATGTACTAGACTTTAGTCCAGGATAAATTATATTACAATGAAAATAGTTTAGAATTTGGTTTAGAATAAATACCAGAAAATAAATAATTAATTGAAAAATGAAATTTCTGTTTGCAGTGGGAAGTGAAGGCCCCCATGCCTTCTCCAGCATTTAGGGGGATATGTAAGCAGATGTCTAAGTTCCATGAGGCTGTCGTGGACCTGTTACCAATGCCACAAGTCAAGGTAAGCCCACTATATCTTACACCCGTATAGCTCAGCAGTAGCATGTTTACCTCTTACCCAACAGGTCCCAGATTCTGTCCCCGGTTCAGGCAATACTTGATTTGCTTGTTGTGTCTGTAACAAACAGCATTTGGTTACATTTTGCATTTATTGCCTCATATACATGCCTCATGCCTCGTATATTGTACCAATCTCAGTGATATAGCTGAGTTTTTATTCTTCCCACATGTACTTTGATCACCTTGAAAATGAATGAATTATCCTTTAATAAAAGGGCATAAAAGCACTCAATTTTCTGAAATAGCATCACATTTGTTGAATTATCTGGATGTGATCAAGTGCACTTGTCTAGTAATGAATATAACTACATAAGAGCACTATTGTAGGTTCTGGGCCGATATAAAGATGGCAGCACCAACAGAATCCAGTATTATCTTTAGAGAAACATAGACAAACACAGATCGATTACCATGCCATTAAAATGATTTCTATCGCCCTTAGCCTATGATACTATATATTAGTTGTTCATCAATATAGATATTTAAATAACTGAGTTCTGACAGAACATATCACCTAATGATCTATTTTCTATTTTTCCAGGAGATATTTGCAAAGGTTCATGAACTGTTCAAAGAAAGGTTACATTTATTGGTAGTCCACTTCAGTGTACGCAATGATGGGGGACCACAGCATGGGTATGTCATAATAATCATAGCAACCATAGCATTAACAGGGAACCATTAGCAATCATTATGGATCTTAAGAACTCTCTCATTATATTCGGTACATTTCATGTTGAAATTTTGCACTGCCCTACATTTCCCACAATTCCCTGTCTTAAAAAATGTCTGTACGCGGTTTCATTTTAAACAGAAATATTGAGAAACATGCAGACAAATTCAGTAAAAGCAATATACTTTTAGAATATTCTACCTTGTTTCAAATGATTTTTTTAAATAAATGTATTTCATGTAGGTCTATACATACCCCAGCATATTATAAATAATTACAATAAATGTCGACTATATCATGTTTTACATGATATTCTACATTTGTGGTAAAACGCCATTTCATTTAACCCAGAAGAGTGAAAAACATGTTTAAACTGATAATTCTTTATTCCAAAAAGAATTTACATTTCCAAAATGTCTTTATCTGTTTTGTTTTTATTAAGGGTGGAGACGAGACTGGTCTTAAAGTTAACTTAATGGATTATGCATAGAATTTAATGTCAACTTTTGTAATTCATTTTATCTTTTTCAGACTTGTGTCTTCAGACCTGGCATTCTATACTGGAAATATCAGTAAGTTAGAGGGCCTACAATCTCTGGACTACTCAATGGACAGTATATGGGACAAAACATGAGCTATGTCTTAAATGGTCTAAAATGTCACTTCAGTCATGTGTTAAGGTGGGCGTAGTAGCACAACTTTTGGATATATTTGTAATTTCTATATGAAACTCTATGTGTTAAAAATCAAGACAGCCTACCATATTTGTTCTAATAAATGCACAATGTGTCTCCCAAATACTTTAGAATTCTGAATTGAAGTTTACCCTGATCAAATATGTTATATTTATGCTATTGCATCCATGTTTTGTATCGCAAGAGATCTGACATGGAAGCATAAATGAACACATTGGAATTATTTTGGAAAGCCAGAAAATGTGGTAGATTATTTTAATGAACTTTCTGAAGAGAGTTTTGAATAGCATGACTGGAGTTTCATTTTAAAAGCTGGGTTAATACGTCAATGCAGCATGAAAATACGAGGACCAATCTAAATTATTTTTATGTCACCACCAAGAATTGATGATATATTATTACAGCCATCTTTTTTGTGCTGGGGTCATTAGTATGTTACAATAAAATGCATTTTCATTCATATACATGTATTAATGGAACTTATAAAGTCAAATATTATAGCAAAAGCTGATGTTTTGTGTTAGAATGGAATTATTAAACCTTATATCAGTTTGTATCAAGATTTCATAAAGCATATCAATATGCTATAATGTGCAATTGTTACTGTAAAGTAGTACAGAACATATTTTTGGGAATTTGGTGCTATATTCAGAATTGACATGGATTAGTTCACATTGTTGGACTACAGTGTCCCAAACCCTCACAAAAGCTTTCTTGATATGGCCAATCACCAAAGTGATAAGAATTGGATTGTCTTCAACATATAATTTCCATAACTAATAGTCTAATATACACATTTCTTAGGGGCTTCTTTTAGCCTACCATGAATAATTTGTTACCACTTCACTGGTCAGTATCAAGCGAAGGTAACGGCCGTCACGTCAAGTGGTGGAAGATATCGTTGAACTGTGGCGCCCAGGCATAATATATGAACAAATGATCATACTCCAGAGTTTCCATGTCATATAAGTCTGATTAAGTTCAAATATCAAAGCAATACATGAACTATAAAGTAGACTAATTCGATGAAAACTAAAAATATCGAAATCGACACTTCCTGTCTGCCATCTTGATTAGAAGGTGAGGGCCATTACTTTCACTTGATACTGACCAGTGCACTTGATAAGAACCCTCACTTAACATGCTTAATTGCTCTATTAATTGTTTGTGCAATATTAAAATGAGAATCTACCATGGAAAATTAAGTAAAATCTTAAACTTATTTGTATTCCATAGACACCATCCTTATACAGTCATAGTTTGTGGAAACCTCATTTTGTAGAAAAATGCTTGGTAGTATGGCCAAATGTGGCGTTCTCAATGTGTGATTATCACTTTGACATACACAGAGTGTCATTATGAAATGATATACCTGTCCAAACTGAAGATGTACTATGTATTTATTGTATTTTGTATTCATCAAAATGTAGATACCATTAATATTTCTCAATTCAGTTTCAGTATATTATAAAATTAAATCAATCTTCAAAAGTACCTTGATACTATAACATGTATAATTGTAAAGAAATCACTTTGATTTGGCATTTTGAATTATCCTATCAGACAAGGTCAATAATTTTTAATGCGCACCCACAAATGTAATGAATTACATTTGATGCAGTGCCAACTCTTTAAACAGAGCAAGTAATTTCAATTCATTAATTCTATAACTTATAGGGAAGGAGGGATGAGCCCAAAATGTATTTACAGAAATGTTACCTGGACTCTAGATCATCAATAAATGATTTTTTATTGCTTTCTTACATTACTGCATTATGATTGTATTGTTCATATTGGAATTCGTCTGGGAGATTTTGCATTGTGCCAATCAGTGACATACAAATATTTATTCATATGTCTCTTTGCCAATTTGTTGAATTAAAGATATGAACTTTATATGTTTGAATTATGATTGCAGTTTTATTGACTATTACAATATGAGTATATATGATATATGTACATGTGTATTTGCATAAATCAAAAGATTCCAATAAATGGTACCAAAATGTGTAATAACGAATTGTATTTTCTGTGTTGTTCATAGTATATATGTGACACCTCTTGTGAATCTCTCAGGTTCTTCATTAAACTAATATTGACACACTATGATTCTCAGAACCGAATTATAGAACTGAGGACAATGTTTTCCCGGAAGTGTCATGAGCATATGAATCGTGTACAATATTCAGATATTCACCATGCTTCCTTATGTCTCGCCACATGGCAAAGGCATTTTAATAGAGTTAATCTCCACATTGCCCAGCATTAGAGATTCCATTATATTATCTTTATGTCGTGTCCTGTTCACAAATGGAAAGACATGGGTCAGTTCACTACATGCAATATCAACGGCGACATTCCAATCAATATACTCCTCCTTCTCGTGATCATAACTTTTACTTTTGCAGACTGAAGTGTTGAAATGAGTACTGAGAAAATATTCCGAATTACACGGAGCTGGCACACTCAAGTTTTCAAATCTACGCTTTTGTAGAGGAAAAACTTTTGATTTGTCAAAAATAAGGTGTTTATAAGAAGGAGATGAATCTCTGAAATGGGTAGAATTAACCTCACTGTAGAAGAAAATATCCAAAAATGGCCATTTCCAAGGTTTATGGGGTGTACTCCTTGACTTTGTGGAGTATAGCTTCCATTGCATAGATCCCGATGACGTCCATAGAACTGTGCTTGTGGGGAACGACTGAAACACTTTCTTTATTTTTGATTTATCAGTGAATTTCATCATTACATCAAAATCATCGTCCCATGCTATCATACCATGATGTCTATAGGAACCTAACAGGGTTCCTCCATACATGAAGTATTCCAGTGAATTTTTTTGGCATATATCCATAAAGGTTTCCACTAAATTCATTAAGAGTTTATAGTCTTGCTCATTCATACTAGGGTTGAGTTGGTTCATATTAGGTATTCCAAATTCAGATAATTTCTGCCGAATGTCACCAGGTTTACGTTTATTTTCAATGTAATGAGTTATCTGTTTTGTTTCATTTGACGTGTCAAATGTTTGATGTGTCCAGATTTTGATACTTCCATAGATTCCAAATACCACGAAGGTGAACAGATACAAATTTCTGTTTTTCGCCATTTTTATTTTATTTGTATGTCATTTGGTCCGATTTTTGTTTAATTACTGTTAAATACAGTTTCATAATTTTTATGCACTTCAAAACATTTATATAGAGTTAGCATCAATGTTTAGATTATTTTTGTGGCACATTGAAGTGTTTTGATAAGCACCACTTTCATCATGAAATCTAAATGTTCCTCCAAAAAGAACAGTCTATTCTCATAACATAAAAATAAACCAGTAAGTTTGCTTCCATATATCTGTATATTCTTGACTTTTAACAAATCGTCTATAGTTTGCTCTCATGAGAATATTGAAATCCACTGTTAGGGAAATAGAAGATGATATAGTACAAAAGCAGAATTCAAATTTACTATCATTATTATAAGAAAGTTTGTAAATTATCACTCAAACTTGTCTCATTAATCCAATTCACAAAGACTGTCGCACTGATAATTCCCCTTACATGTTATACATTAATTTGGTAAATGTACAGTCAGTTCAACCGGTTAATGAATTTTATATTAATAATTTACTATTTAATCATGTATCTGGAAAACTGTTCGTTAGAACACAAAATTGGACCAAATTCAGAGTAATCATGAAAACAACAAATATAAATTAAAGATGCTTCACATTATTTTGCTAGGCCAGAGATATACTTATCGCTTTGGTCAGTTTATATGTGATCGGTTGCCTAATCTTACACTGTATGCAATTCTCATTTCTTAAGATATTTCATGTGTGTTTACATTTTGAAAATTAAAGTAATAAAACATGTAAAACCAACATTAAAGGGGCATCAAAGACTTAGAAACCGTTTAGAGTTCATTCTGAGAAAAATTGTGAGACAATAGTTTTTGCTTGCATCATTCCATTTTATGGTATTAGTATTCGATCAATTTTGCCGAGTTATGTTTTTCTGCAAAAAATGAAAAGTGAACTACCCCTTTTTCATTCTATCAATTAGGACATTGAATTATGCATCTTAAATCTTCTTCTATATTCGATTTTTAATTAGATATCCCAATTCACTTAGGGTATTTAGAAAGTAAGGGAAATATTAGATCCTTTTGATCGCACTTTGAAAAAGCACTTTATTGTCGTCTTGCGCTGCTGAGCGTACTTTGGGGCGTCTTATTTCAATACATTTGTATCGTTTTTGTCGATTTAAACGCAAATGGGCACTAAAACACGTGGGCTCATGACTGTGAGTTATCGTGTAGGAGCAGTGAGCCTAGCTATGAGTCATAAAGGTATTAAAATAATGATAAAAAGTCAATTAATTTAGTTTTCACTACTTCAACATTTTGACATGTTGTTCAGCCATCAAACTGATCAAAGCCCCATCAAAGGATGCACATAGTGCTGTTGTCAGATGCACTTGAACCCATGTGGTTTAGTTGGCCCATATGGTTGAGTACAGCCTTCGTAAACTTGTTGGGTTCCAAAACGGTGGTGCTATATGAAGCGTGGTCTTCTCTCCCGATGTATGTTTGCATGGAGACTAAGAAGCATATATTCCGGTCAGTTCTCTATTTTTGAAGCTTTTTGTATGTGTTACTCCCTGGGATGTTTATACGCACCCATGACAATCTTACAAAAATGTCACCCATTCAAAGAGTTTACACAATCCATAATTAATATAGTGCAATCTTTGAGACAGTTATCGTTACCTAGTAAACCTAGATTAAAATTGTATACATTGTCATGATAAAAGGACAAAAAATATTTAAAAGCAACGTCTTTTAATATTTTATGTTTGTGTCCTTGACACTGATATAGGCTAAAATTGTATAGGTATACGTAAACATTAAGTTGAATGGTTATGATAGTCTCAGCTTTTATACATATGTAATTTTTCTGCATCTTTATTCATTTTACACTTTTGTATAATTGTATTTGATCACTACCATTCGACATTCCACCCATTCAACACAATTCAAACGTAGCACGTAATTTTGTATGTTTTCACACAAGTATGCGTCTATTACGGTGCGGCCAATGATCTATTCATGTATTATGGTGCGGTAAATGCAGTAAATGTACATACATGCGTTTGGTAAAACATCACATTTTAAAACCGAAAAGAGTAAACAGGTATCGAAACAACGTTTAAAGCATCATTATTTCATTTTTATTCATGATCATTGCTGATGACATTATATAAAAAATTTCAATCAAAATCTAGCAACATTTTTTGAGCTCAGCGTGAAGGGTCTGTAGAACATTTCCTTGAAAACTCATGTCCAGTTTCTCTTATCCATTTGTTGGCCACTGGAATAAATCATTATCAGCATTAGTCTTTTTAAAGCAGTTTAACATTTTTAATATTTATAGTAAAAGTGGCTGTGGCAACCCCCTCCCCCTTCTTCCATGGGGAATTCTATCTAACCAATGATATAAATAGCGAAAATGAAAACCACAAATCATATGATGAATCCGCGCTATAGAGATCGAGGGGTGACAAATAAATTATGACTAAATTCGATTCTCATACCCCATTTTTCTCCTAACAGAACAGGACAACCAGCATGGTACGTCCTCGAGTCTTCGTCCCCATTTCTGTGTAGGTTAAACCAGAACGCGGCTGCACCCTGAAAAAGTTTATTAAAAGGGGGGTTAATTTATCATGATAAACCATGACATCTCAAATCTTCTCAGCCCTAAGATGACAGAAAGATGCTATGACTATCAGAATGGGGTAAGTTACGCACAACACATTTTGAAAAAGCACACCAAGACGAGATGTGAGCACATGCTCCTCTTTGAATGTTATGCGCCTATTTTCCCGATGTGTCATGGTGAATCTATGCAAAACGTTATCATATATGTTCACCTTTATTGCTGGTACTCTTGCTCGTGGAATAGGAAACACCGTAGCACCCCCGGCAATGACATCAGTTAACTGAAGGACAAACATGTTTGACTTGTTAAATGGAGCTTAAGTGTTCAAAGAGGACCTTGCTGAATACTTTTTAGTGGAGTTTCTAAATCTATTTTCTATTTTCGATATACATTATAAAGTACATCATATGAGCAGTGACAGGTTTATAACGAACGAAATCTTTGTATCTTTTTCTGGTTGGCACAGTGTATTTTCCAAAGAATGTATCGTGTTCTCCCCTTTGTAAAGGAACTGCTTGGTTAGCAGTAGCACTCACATAAAACATCCACGTAGCCATCCTGTCCCCAGAATGCAAGTTGAATGCAGTGACATCATTTCCCTAAAAATATGATCACAGTTATTTTTTCTGGTTATTCTGTTTATTAAAGTGGCAACAAGGCCTGTAGAGAAAATTCGAAAAACTTTACTTTTCTGAGCTATCAGGGCAACATTTGGCTTAACATCTTCTTTGACATACCTAATTTCTTAAAATGTATGGATAAACTATCAGTTTCAGCATTAAGAAGAGTAAATTCAGTTGTCTATAAAGGGAGTCCCACTTATAGATTTTTAAGATCCACCACGTTTCAAGAGAAATATCAGCTGGTCATCCAGGGTGTTTCTTTGATCGAAGATAATAAAAATATATGTTAGTCTTGATGAAATATCCAATTGTTGCACCTTTAAGTCTTTGAGATAAATTGTTATGATATTTACATGCCATAATGCTGTAGAGGATAAGAAAACAGAAATATGAGCCAATATAATTCTTATGCTAGCATTATATTGATCATTGAAAAAAGTACATTAAAATAAAATAACTTAAAAGGCTAGTTTATAATCAATTACTGGTACTTACCCTTAAAGCATCGTGGTGGACATCATAATTTCCACCAATACCATAGCTGAGCACCTAAATACATGTTACATCATCATATCATATTATATAAGACTACTGAACATATATTTTTGATTGGATTTCTGTTATTTGCGAAATTTCAATTCAATGGAGAAAACGCCACTGAAAAGAATGTCGAAAGTGCAGCTGAAAATCCACATATTTTCCACATTGGTGCAGCTTCATAACAACGCGTCATTTTTGTTATAGGCTATTGTTATTATTACCATTACGCATCCAAATACATTTATTATATATTTTGTCTTCAAATCTTCAGAATTGATAGATAATTAAATGATGTATCACTGGTAGGAAAATCAAAGGGATTGGTCTATAAAAAGTATCTGTGTAAAAAGGCGCCCATCACTTATTGATCACCGCTCGTATTGCGTTAAAATCAGTAAAAACCTTGGCCTCTGTGTTGTACTGTATCTAACTGGACGTACCTGTAGGTCCTCACAATGAGCAGTAGAGCACGATGGCCTCTGTTGTTCAGGTAAGTCCCAACACTGCCAAGTACTCAAACCAGTCACTTGTTCGACCCTTTCACTAATTTTCTTTACTATTTTGTCCATAATATTAGTCAACCATGCACTGAAAGATTTCGTTGATACAAAAATTATTTTCAAACTTTGCATAGGACCTTTAACATATACATCAATAAGGATATGAATGTATTCATATATCGTTGCTACTTATAGTGCTAGTTCGAATATATGCAATAGAAACAATAGTGCATTTTGTAAGGTTTAAGGAGTGCAAGGTTACTTAACATTGAACGTCAAATCTCTTATTGCAGAGATAATCACCTATCAGATACTTGGTACCATATTCCATGACATACGTGTATCTTTGATCAAATTCAATTTAAATATGTCCTTCATACTGTTCAAAGGTGCATATAATTTCTTTGTCTTTGATACTTAAAACCCCTACATACGTTTGACTAATCCTTCTCTTGTCCCCTTTTTGTCCAGCAAATGTTTTTGATCTCTGAAGCTGTAAAACAAATTATGCATACGACACATGAAATGCTAAATACAAGGTGACCTAGCCTTGCCCCAAGTCGGTATTTTTTACTTATCTGATCTTGAATTATTACTAGGATGAAGAAAAGAAGACCGACTTGGGACAAGACTAAATATGACCCAGTGTACAGAAATGTCCTAAATTGTCATTATTTTTAAATATGTAAAGAAACTAGAATCTATGCATAGTATAATTTTTAACACGTGCACATAGACTGTAGTTTCTGGAACTGGAATATAAGGTGTATTTCAATGGTATTTTATATTTGTCATTTATTTTTTAATATTGTAATGTAAATAATTGTAGATTATTCATGTACATGTTCTTCTTTTCTTAATAAATAACATAATACTATTGTACTCTTCAAGATATGAAAGAATAAAAGTACAATACAATACAATACAATTCAATACAAAACAATACACAAAATACTGTACAGAATTAGGAATAATGACTATCAATATCCAAAAACTCTAATCGTTTTTCACTTACACTAGGTAATGCCAATGCTTTTATCTGTTCAATTTCACCATCGAATATAACATCATGGAAGAGCGATATCTTCGGATGTAGATTTGCAATTTCCTTTTTAGCTGGGAGGAAAGGAATCGGCGTTTTCTTCAAATAGCAGTACAATTTAGACAGTTCTCGTGGCGTCTAAATGAATAAGAGCAGTCAAAGTTTAAAAACTCTGTTTGGTTTTTAGAAAAATGAATCAATATTTACAATAGTCAATATCATAAGCGATATATTTGTCATCTAAAATATAATCTCAAAAACGTATTTATATTTCTTACTGTAAATGCATAAATGAATGTAAAATATATATAATTCCCATGACATGAAATACTTACAAGTTGTATGACATTAAATAATAGTATGCTGAAATTGAGGCATTATAGACTATATTTGAGAATTTAAATAATAAAATATACTTTGATATTTCTTCTACACAATGCTTCGTATGTATCCCTAAATTTGTTCAATGGATCCGAAGGTCGAACTATCTTATCTGCTTTCGCTTCTGAATTTTGTAAAGTTGATTTATACTTCTTTAAAGTTGCGTATATGGATTTATCATTTGGTACTGCAAATTAAAGAATTAAGTTAAAATATGTACATAGCTACAACCACGCAAAAAGTATTTACATTTGTTTTTTATATATCCTTTGATCATTTACAGATGGGACTTCTTTTTCACTCTTTCTTTCTCAATAATTATACACTTTCATTATACAGGGTGTCAAATAAGTCCCGTCCCCCTCAACAGCCAAAACCAATATATGTGGTACCAAGGGTGGTACCAAAGTTACGTTGATTGGCGTATATCTGACACATGTCAATCAATCTCTCTCTTTTAACTGTCTAACTTTCTGACTATAAAAGACATCATGAAAATATAGGTGAATTTTATCTAAAATGCTTGAGAGTTGGTGAGTTAACATAATTTCGGATGATCTTTCCAATGGTATATCACACTAGGTACCATCTATTAAGGTTTTAGCTGTAGCAGGGTGACGGGACTTATTTGACACCTTGTACTTAAAGGGTCTCCAAATCATGATATGTACTTACCCAAGTCATTAAGTTGCTCCATATAATCAACACTAGACTTCAGTGATCCTTCCTGCATTAAAAAATGTGGTAAAATTGCTTTGGGCATTTTGACAAAATATGTGAATCGAGATGTTCTAAAACAGCATATAATCTGAAAGAATTCCAAGATCAGATATAACCTCGTTAGCCTACCCTGTAATGACAGGAAGACAGTAACTTCAAGGACTTTTCTAGCACTGCTCTCTGGTCTTGGTGTGTTCGATCAAGCATCTTAATCAGGACCTCTAACCAAGATGATGCACCGTAATAATCTTCCTCGTTGTACAATTGCTCAGCTATTTCATACACTTCATCTATAGCCATTGGACTTGTTTTGAAATTGTATATTTGTCCATTGATTAAGTTATAAATCATAATGTTGTAAACATTACGTAGACGCTCAATTGAAACAGAAGCCCCAGTAATATCATCTTCATCGGGCCAAATTGACAGTTCTCTTAACCGCTCGGCAATTTTCAAAAATTCTGAAAGAAACCATTTAATAATGTATGGAACTCAGATATTTGCTTTATTTCAACTTCTATCGGACCTTCAGATTATTTGATATAATCAAAGGCGAGTACATAAAGATGCGCTAAGAAAACCAAGTATCCGAGATTTCAAACTGCAGATGGAGAAATCCAGAAGAAAGATCATACTGTTTTGAATAAACTCATTATTATGTTAATCCAAGATCATTGCAATATTCTATCTGAAAATCAATACCACGATTTACCGATTTACCTATGTGATGTACTATATGTATTTCTCATAGTTATATGAATATACGAGTTATATGAAGTTATATAATCTCAAAATGAAGCTCTCCAAGAGAGACATTATTATGTAATACATGTTGTAACTTGTGATTTGTAGTTTTAATCCAATTTACATCAAAATACAGTCTAAAATTAAAATTTTAATATGTTGATTCTTTGCAACAAGATCAATATTAAGACGATAAAAAATCAACTTATAACATAAGTTTCATTCTTGTAGATCAGTTCCTAGCTGATGAATTGCCTATGCATAATTTGCATAAATCCAACACTGAGAGTTAATATATTAGCACAAATGCCAAAAGGGAAGGGTGACTAAAAACTTTAAGGAAACCCAACAAGAAAAGCAAACTGTAAGTGTAAATCTGTCATAAGAAAAGTAGACCCTATATATGTATTTGAGTTTATAACATAGGAATTGACACATGTGACACACGCATATGACACATGTGACACGCACATGACACATATGACTGAATTACCTTTGGCTGCACCATCATGTATAACTTCTAATCTTTCAACAATGCCTTCCCAAGTTCTTTTAAAGCGCCGTATTGCTCTAAATTGATTGATGGGATTTAACATGAAGTCTGGTTGCCCGTAACCCTGGTGATGCACAGTCTTCAGCTCAACATTCAATCTACAAAGATACTTATTACCTGATAACTAAGAAAATATATTTAAATGTTTTTGTATAGAGGGAATTGATCTTCCCCATGCAAGTGTCAAAACTCGAGAGCCACGCTTAGTGGCAGCAAAGAGTACAGAGTGTAACATGTTCGAAACAAGCAAAATATCACCTCCCGGCATTTGTTACAGACACCGAAAGCCGTCCGCCGAACTCCAGACGCCGAACACCACCCACAAAGAAAGTTGGAGACAATAACAATATTTTACCACTTGACAACTCTAGTACAAAATTCTTCTGTACTTACTCTTGGAGATCTGCAATATTTCTTGCATCAGTTTCCCTCAAGAACATTTGTAAAGCTGCTAGGAGTTCACCCTCTCCATTATATAGTAACTTCAATTGTTGTATAGAAGTATGTACATCACAATTACCAAATACCATACACAGCATTATTAATGATATTTTCAGAATCATTTCGACTTCTAATTTGATCTGTTAGAAATCTTGCTTCTTTACACTTAATTAGTTTCTTTCTTGAGGAAAAGATGTTGATTCAGTGTGAAACATCTGTCTCAGTTTCAAATATCTTATTAAAAATAAATCACTGGTTGTGAATATAGCAGATTATATCTGGTTTAAAAGAAATTATAAATTAAGAAAATTAAAGGGGCAGTATCTTTCTTTTGCGCTCGTTTCACTTCACTTCTGACAAAAGCTTCCTTAGTTCAGAACTTATCTATGTTTTAAGGGTAGCAGTAGTTGTAATTCTGCATTTCTTATCTGAAATTTTTCAAAATTTTAAATTCATAATGATATGTAACTTACACAATCAATAAATGTTGATACAGTTATAATTAAAATAGATTGGAAATTGAATAATTTGCTTTTTATAATTGAAAAAATACACGAGTGGAAATTCAATGTGAAACATGGCTAAGTTTATGCAGATCCGACGTTAGAACAATTTTAACATGCAAATTACATCTTTAATTTGCAAATTACAGGTCATTGTTAATTAAAACATTTTGCGTTTATTTAGGATCAGAATGACACACTGGCACTTTAAGGCAATTAAGAGGGAATTAGAATGATCCAGCTTTCTCGGTTATGAATGATACACTGAAGGAAGTTTCATATTTCCAGCTGTTACATATTTTGCAATGACATAACATATTGACCTATAGACTACGGCCCACTCTGATAATTGTAACTCCTTCCTTACATGAAAGGTTACACATTCCAACCTATTTCAAACCATCTGTATGATTATACTGGACACTTTCTGGGTAGTTGGACTTTCTATAGGGGTGGCAGACGGCCCTCAGACCAATTTATACCCCTACCCCCAAAACACCATGGGGGTACTTTAATACCACCCAATAAAAAGAATACTAATGCATGTCAGATATTCATTGTTTTATATTGGGTAGGGCATGTTATGGTTAGCTAGTGCCAGAAATTTCCAATCTCTAACTTATATGGTTACCATAGAAACAGTATTTATATCTCGAAATATTCTCAATTTGACCCCCTCCCAAATGTGTCCCTTTGTTCTCAAAGTGAAATATTTGCAAATCTGTTTGGATTTTATGGCTGCTACTTTGTCAAAAATTGTATCAATATGTATATTTTAACATTTAAACACTGAAAAGTGTTCATAATGATCCTATAAATCAATAATATTTATCAAATATAGTCACACATAGCTGCTTTCAGGGAAAAGTGGGCGTGGCACTTTTTGGTACGTGTGTACTTGTTGCAGCATTAAATGAAAAATACATATTATACTAACAACAATTGACATTTAATTAGCATCTACTTATGTTGTGTAACATTGTAATATGTTCATTATCATTATTAGACACTTTAAATATTTTATATAAGTGTTATCCTGACCCTTCCCTTTATCCCTACACCCTTCAAGGTGGGCATTACCAATCGTGTCAAGTTAACATTTCTGTTTGATTTATTTTTACCATAGACAAGGTTCAAAAGCTTTACCATGAGTACTGACCTTATTAGGTGCTAAACTGATGAATGGATAGGTAGATGGCAGCACTTGTGCTGGTTGGACTACACGCTAGCATCTACCATAGACACATATTAATTTACCATATTTGTTATTTTGGATTAAAGTAAAACTGCTTTCGCATCAAACTTAGTGAGATTCAGATTGTGTTTGAAACTAGATGATCTTCAGATTTTGTGTGAACCTTAAATTCATGACAATCAAAAGAATTCAACATTTAGGAAGTCAACATTAAGATTTTTAACATCATCTCAATGAGAATTTAGCACGACCTTAAGTTAAAGATCATAGAAAATTGAACATAATCAAAGTTCCTCAGTAGAACATTTAATCTCCTAAAATCACATTAAAACTATATCAGCAATATTTCCAAGCTAAATAGTATAAAAACTTCTATCACATCATTTGCAACGTTTTCATTATTCAATAGTTCAACCCTATATGAATTATTGATGATTTTAAAAGTGCAAGGAATCTAAATGAATCAGGGAAGCCAGTGATATGTATTTGCCTTATTAATTGTTGACTTATACAATGAAATAGACTTAGATGCAAGTAGAAATGATCTTGCTTTACATCATAAAAAATTCAAAATTCAGTCAAATAAGTGATATCATATTTGAAATCTTCATGAAGAATTACATTTCTTCATGCAATAAGTTAACCTTTTAGAGAGTAGTTGTGACTAATGTAATCATGCACTTATATAATTTGTCAGTAAAAGTTATTTATCCTATACTTAGTGTTATAGGTAAATAAAATGCATGAATATAATTGATACTTAGGTGAGTGGGGATATACATGTACTGCATATCCCGCTTTATCCCATACTTGGTCGTGTTTCAGGTACATAAAGCAGGTTTTTAAAAACTTATATTTTCATCAGCGGGCAGATATAGCTTTACATTCTGTTGCGAGCAGGCAGATATAGTATATCTGCCCCCTCCGTCATAATCGCCCTTTCGGGATAGTTCCAATATCCTGAACCTCATATAGGATAATCTCTATGTATCGCCAGGTTTATCGTCTGCTCAGTAATCCCCTGCAGGAATTTCATTCTGTGCAATTTCTCATATTTTCGTATATTAGTATATGATAAATAATTTTGGGTACAAGATATAACCCTTGGGAAATACAATATTCTACCCTCAACCCCTCTTGGAGGTATATTGTATTTCCCTCAGATATATTGTATTAATCCCTGTATTAAAAATTTCCCATTAATTAAACCTCATATATAATTCACACTATTTTAAATATGAATCAAAACCATGAATTAGTGATATCCATGTTTCTAACGAAAGCATGAATTTGAAAGAAACAAACATTCTACTCATATGGTATAAAGATATTACCAGTTGTATCCATTTTAGATTTGATTGAAGAACTTCATTAGAGGCAATTTTGAAATTACAATATATTAAAAGAGGCTCTGTTGCTTAGATGGGAGAATCAATTAGCTGCATTGTTCAGTTTATGACAAAATTGATGTTTAGTGTTACTTTCATGAACACCCATCCTGTAAAATAGCATTTGGAATCTAGTAGTTTGTATATAGATGAATTAGATAAGGCATTGTCGAGGAAAAAATATCCAACAAGATTACTAATTTGCTCATGAAATTAGGCATACTTTAACTTGAAACAATTTGTAACACTCAATTTTTGGGGTTTGGAGATCGAAGTAATAATGATGAAAAACAAGCAATTTTAAAATATTTATGTTTTACCCAAATTTTTAAAGATTTTTGTTAGCCTTTGTTTCGTCTGTTTTATTCTCAAATAAATCATGGTCACCAATTTTAAAATTAAATATTACTGGTTAGAGAATGTGATTTCTTACTTTAGGTTATATTTATATCCCGATTTATATGTATAATAATAATTGATGAAGACAAATAGAGATTATCCTCTATGAGGTTCGGGGTATTGGAATTATCCCGAGGCCAATATAATATATCTGGTCGAGGGTCGTAGGTCCCGAGGGAAGATATTTTCTATTGGCCAAAGGCCTTAGGTCCTGAGGGAAGATATATTATATTTGCCAAGGGATAATCCTAATAGCATGAACTGACTATAGGATTATCTGTTTATCCCATATCAATCTCTCTTATCTGGTTCACATTGTTCAATTGGCCAGAGTTAGAAAGAATACAACCACATGAATGTATTCATGACTAATTTTGTTTTCTTGGCCTTAGGAGGATTCTCCTGTTTTTTAAGTATTCATCCACATATTCTCGAATCATTGATTATTAACATATGTATTAAGTATGCTACTTCCTTCATTGCTAATCATACACAAATGATGATTATGACTTAGTGGGCAGGTGTAATTTATCTGCCCTCTCAGGCAGGGACATTAGCTATATCTGCCCGCTGATGAAAATATAAGTATTTATAAACCTGCTATATGTATCTGAAACATATCCAAGTATGGGACAAATGTATCCACTTTGATTTCATACACTAAACCGATTTGTTTAGGAATTATATGAAGTATTTCAAAAACATATACCGAACCACTATTGAAGGAATCATTGAAAATACAGCATATCAGAAACATGTGTAAATTGTTTATCTTGCAATTATTTTGCTAAATACTAATAGAAATTATACTGTACCTTCCAGAGGATAGCTTTTTTGTTAACTATGAGCCAATGAATGAATGAATGCATTTTATTATAACTGCAAAATGATGCTCTATGCAATTCATACGAAAAATTAATTTTGCCATATTAGAATCAAGTATAATCTTTAATCCATTTGATAGATAGATCATGCATTGCCTGATGTTGAGGTATTGATAAAAGAATCAGCAAGTGTCTGACAAAATAGATTTTAGTGTTATGTATTAGGCAAAATATTAGGAAGGGTATAAATGGTCTCCAATCTTTCTAGTTTTGAGTATTATGTCTTCTTGCTTTGATTCAAATTATCCTCGGTCACTATTTGTAACCCCTCCCTCCTTCCCCATTTAGGCCATGGATATGAAGATGTTTTAGAGGTTATGTGAAGGATACCAGGGAAGGGTTAATAGCCAGAGTTAAATTAGTTCATTTAATCATAAATGTTATGCAATTCACACTAGCATCAAATATCATACCAAAAGGATTGAACTGTTCATTACTTTTCAATTGCAGTAAACATGGTAAAATGGTTCTTAATATTGAACATTGTTGAACAAGCATAGATGACTTGAATAGCTCTAGATGACTTGAACTTATCCATTCATATTCTAGGAACAAGTCAATGAATAAGTAAGACTTGACTCTTGAAAGGCTTAAAAGACCGAGGACCCTATAAGACTTAAACTAAAAGTTCATTTGACCATTGATGACCTATGATAGGGAAGGGTCAGGATAACACTTATATAAAATATTTAAAGTGTCTAATAATGATAATGAACATATTACAATGTTACACAACATTAGTAGATGCTAATTAAATGTCAATTATTGTTAGGGTAATCTGCATTTTTCATTTAATGCTGCAACAAGCGCACAAGTACCAAAAAGTGCCACGCCCACTTTTCCCTGAAAGCAGCTATGTGTGACTATATTTGATAAATATTATTGATTTATAGGATCATTATATCAACTTTTAAGTGTTTTAGTGTTAATATAGACATAATATTACAAATTTTGACAAAGTAGCAGCCATAAAATCCAAACAGATTTTGAAATATTTCACTTAGAGAACAAAGGGACACATTTGGGAGGGGGTCAAATTGAGAATATTTCGAGATATAAATACTGTTTCTATGGTAACCATATAAGTTAGAGATTGGAAATTTCTGGCACTTATTAACCATAACATGCCCTACCCAATATAAAACAATGAATATCTGACATGCATTAGTATTCTTTTTATTGGGTGGTATTAAAGTACCCCCATGGTTTTTTGGGGGTAGGGGTATTAATTGGTCTGAGGGCCGTCTGCCACCCCTATAGAAAGTCCAACTACCCAGAAAGTGTCCAGTATAATCATACAGATGGTTTGAAATAGGTTGGAATGTGTAACCTTTCATGTAAGGAAGGTTGCATTTCTAGAGCACTTCTACAGAATGGCTTACAGTCTACTATAAGATGGATTGAGGTCAATAGAATATACTAAGATTATTTTACCACGTGTTAAAAAGATCAATTTCTGTAAATGAAAACTAGAAATCGCAATATTCATGAATCTTTGTCTATTTTAAAAAATGTAGTAAAGGGTTGGTATGGATATGGTGAACTTTTTGAACACGCGTTTCTCTTAAACCAGTTATCAAAGAATTCTAAAAGTTTTACACATCGTCAATTTAATGGTCGTCTTTAGAATGGTAACAATATAATTTGAAAAAATATATATACTTTTCCCTATAACACATCAGACACTTCTTTTGTTCTTGGTATCATATCTTCGGAATGAAATGAAACATCTATCCGAACCTCATCAGAACAAAATGACATAAACACAACGTGTTTAGGTCTCTCAATATTGTAATTGTACAAAGGAAATTTTGGTTGATTTTAAAAAAGTATCTTGTTAATGAAATAAAAGGTTTATCTTAATTTTCATCTATTTTGGGGGGTTTTGTTTAAATCTTTTGAATACCTGTTCTAAAATCAACCAAAATTTCACTTGTATAACTATAATATTGGGAGGTCGGAAAAAAATTTCTGTATGCTATTTTGTCCCAAAGAGGTTCGGAAAGACATTTTATTTCATTCTCAAGAATTGGTAGAAAGGAATAAAAAACAATTGTACTATTAAAGTTGGCATTTTACCATTTTCTAGACAAAGACTAAGATATGATTTGGCATTTATATGTGAAAATAAAACAAAGCAGGGTATATCTTTTACATTGGTGAATCTCTAAAATGGCACAAATAATTAAAGGAAGTCAAAATGTAATATTTTACTGTATATCTAAATAGTAAAGATGGGGATAAGGAGTGCTTCAGTCATCAGAGATTCACACCTTAAAATAAGAAGACATTGCTAACACTTTATAAATTAGATTTATTTCATCTCAACAACTAAATGTACAAAAACAACTGGTCAATACACAAAACTGTGTAAATAATAATTACATGTACATGCATAGTTTTGATGATTAAAATAGTGTAAATTCATTAAACAACTAAAACCAGGCTAAAATAATACACAAAGTATAATGAATTCTATAATCCAGATTATCAGATTATAGTATGAATCTTTGAATACAATGAATAAATTTTGACAGTTCAAATGAACTACATGCGTTGAAAAAAAGAGATACATATTACAAAGATGGTCAATTATTCATGATTTTGTCAAAAACAATCTACTAGAAATGTCAGATAGATTTACATTACACATTCAAGGATATCAAAAGTTATACAAGTTACAGTGCTTGAGGGTGTCAAATGCATAATATCAATGAATCATTTTTGTTGTATGTGAGCGTACAACCTCAACCTGTTAGATAATGTCAATATAATGTATAGTCTATAATGTCCAAGTTACTTATTCTACAAGGCCTACCTTAAAGAGTTTGATTATCAAACTATGTCACATGACCAGCATGTAACTTACTCTAATTGGTTGAACATATTAAGGTAGGTGAAGTAGAGTAAATAATCTAGTCAAATTGAAATTGTTACAAAGAGGGCAAACTACTGACAAAATTGTCTAACCGGGTCCACCTTAAATCATTATATTCATTGTCACTGCTGCAACTTTCTCTTTCTGTTCTTTGATACAGCTCTCAGAAATGGATTCTAAAAGAACATTGAAACAGGTCAAATCAAGGCCTCTTTTTATCGTGTTTTTCTTTGATTCATGTTTCTTTATACTTTTCTCAACCTTCCTGAATACCAGAACAAAGACTAGTTCTGCAATTCACTTACTTACAAACCATTCCAGAATAGCCATAAACATACTAATATACATGGACAGAAGCATCATTTTAGGACTGCAATGCCTATAGCAGTATAGCTATCTTACATTCTGCACAGGGGAAGATACAATTATCCATAAGAAGCACTGGTCAATTGATCAATGATAAATCTACCTTTACTTTCAATATCTCAGGTGCATACCCAGGCATGAGTGAAACAAACATTTTACAGAATCACACAGTTTTCCAAACAAAATTGTGATGATAAAGTGTAGTGGTAGTTTTTTTCCTATTTGGTTTGTATGTCTGGCTCACTTCAGTATTTCAAGATTCTGACAATACAGCTGAATATACACACATTCTACCTGCTAATAATATGTGTGTGTGTTCTCAGTCTTGTTTTGAATATAATTTCCCTAGACATTGCATCAAAGAATATTTATAAAGCTGATACAATACCAATGATAAACTTCAGATAATGTTAATCTGAAGCATGCATAATGATATGAAAAAACAGGAAAGAAGTGCAATGTTATCTCGTAATATGCATGGTTTTGGGGTCTGTGAAATATCTATTTAATATGCACTTGAGCAGTGGGTTTTGTTTGGTTATTTTGACATTCTAAAATATGTGGAGATTTAAATTGGCGAATCTGAAAAATTAAAGATTTAAATCAGCATTTTCCTTTATAGTGGGGGGAATTTGCTGGAAAATATTTCAATTGGTGATACAAGCAAATTTAATGGCTTAATCTGTTATTTATGTTATTAGGAAAAATTCCATCCCTGTGATCAATAAAACCGAACACTATTTCAAGAAAAATTCAAGATGGCCGCCATATAGGCATAATTTGGTACAAATAACACTCTAGATTCATATATAGAGATAAATATGGTTTAAAAATAATATTGGAACAGGAGTAAAGCATGTTGTTTACATCTAGAAATACAGTCACATTCATTAATGATTTGAATTTGGACAAAATGATTTTATATAGGGATTCTACAAGGTTCTATTTTGGGAGGGCTCTTATTTTGCAACAACTGAAGTCTGTATTTGTAAGTCCTGACTTTTTACATCTCTTATTATGCTATTAGGAAAAATACCATCCCTGTGATTGATAAAACCGAACAATATTTCTAGAAAAATCCAAAATGGCCGCCATATATGCATAATTTGGTACAAATAACACTGTAGATTCATATATTAGAGATAAATGTGGTTTAAAAATAATACTGTTTTAGTAGTAAAGCATGTTGTTTACATCTAGAAATACAGTCACATTCATTAATGATTTGAATTTGGACAAAATGACTTTATATAGGGATTCTACAAGGTTCTATTTTGGGAGGGCTCTTATTTTGCAACAATTGAAGTGAATGAACCTGTTTTCTTGAATAAGATAATATTTCACACATCTTTTCAATCTAATATTTCAAGTTCAAGTTAAATTATTGTCTTACAAGTATAAAATAGCCTTTAAAAGAGTTTCACATGGTTCCTTTTTACTCTGTTATAATCACAATCTCATATATACTGTCATAAAATGTTAATGACTTATACAGAATTGCATGTGCAATTGCACAAGTCTGTACATGTAAGTCCTGACTTTTTACATCTGTTATTATGCTATTAGGAAAAATTCCATCCCTGTGATCGATAAAACCGAACAGTATTTCAAGAAAAATTCAAAATGGCCGCCATATACACATAATTTGGTACAAATAAATCTGTAGATTCATATATAGAGATAAATGTGGTTTAAAGATAATACTGTTTCAGTAGTAAAGCATGTTGTTTACATCTAGTATTTTGGGAGGGCTCTTATTTTGCAACAACTTAAGTGAATGAACCTGTTTTCTTGAATAAAGATAATATTTCAAACATCATTTTATCTTATATTTCAGGTTCAAATTAAATTATTGTCTTCCAAATACAAAATAGCCTTTGAAGGAGTTCCACATGGATCTTTTTTTACTCTGTTATAATTTCAATCTCATAAATACTGTCACAAAATGTAAGTCCTGGCTTTTTACAAGTGCATACAGAACAGAGCTTTTTATATGAGCATTGTACAAGAGCTTGGCAGGCTTTGGAGGACTGTGTCTGGGCTGTCCACAGTGGGTGGTAACAGTTTCATTATTGTCCCATCCCCAGTTGATGTAGTCGTAAAGGCCAGGTGGTGAAGCATTTAGCATTTTGTCCCCAAACTACACCAGCCTGGTAAGCTGTTGCTTTAATGTGCTATTCCAAGGCATGTGAGTAGGTGGAATTCTCTCAATTGGTCTTTCTTTTTTTGCAAAATAAGCACTTTCTGGGTGTATTTATATCAATTGTTTCACTTGTTCTGTATATGGAAAACACCCACATATGAGTTGGGCTGTTGCCCTAGTACATGTAGTTGTTGCAGATATGTCATGTTTGCAAAATGTTAGAATAGATTTTTTACCATCTTTTATATTCATTTTTGTTTATTCTTAAAAAACCATCCATGGCCTTAGCCCCAGACATTACAAAATTAATTGTTCATTAAATATTATTTAGAAATTGTGATAATTTAATAATTCAAAATAATTGTAGAATATTGGAAGATTTAATTTCTAATTAGCAAATTCCTACCCAAATTTTAAATTATCTTCCCTCCAATCGTTTCCTTCCTCTTTACTGAGGAGTCATGACATCCCACACATTTGATTTTCACAATTAAAGGACACGGTGTCCACCCCAAATGCTCTTACATGCAAGATTGAGCGTTTCATTACTGAAACTAAACAAAGAAACGCTCTGAGTATGGCAAACGGAAATGATGAGTCATCTGACAATTTCCCCAATGATGGGAATAAGAAGTTTGTGTATGTGTTTGATGGGTGTGATATATTGTACTTGGATGGCTGTTGACGTTTGAAGCAATTAGGAAGAGCTGTCTTAAGCAGTATAGTTAAATCAAAATTCATAAATGTATTTGTCATTCTTCCGGTCAAAACCCTGTTTGTCGAGGCATGTGACTAGTTGAGTTGAGCATCAGAGTATATTTTGGTCAAATTCCAAACCTTGATCACACCATACATTATCGTAATCGTCATTTGATAACAAAAAATCAAGTCTTAAAAATGATGACATTCTCATATTCAAGAAATGCTGCGATCTGGTTAACACAATGAACTGGAAACACTGCGGTACTAGGCTCAACTTTCCTTTTCAAGGAGAGAAAGAAAAGATCTATTGTATCCCTTGGCATCAAAAGAAGAAAGATTAATTCACATATAAACTTTTTGTTTATTTGTCAATAGTTTTATGTTTTAGAGCAAATTTCATATAAATACTAATTTAATTCGTAATTTGTGGTCAATTCGTCAACTTCAGATTTGTTTGATCTACACTACGGAGCTTTGATCAGGGTATTGTTCATCGAATGGTACATAATATGTCACCATAACGCGTGATATGTAAGAGAAACTAGTGAAACAATACTTACAGTCATAATGTGTTAATATGAATGTAACTCTCTTTTATTTAAGAGGTATATAAATTATACATACATACATACATAGTGGGGTCTTCATTAGCCCCATTTCCACGTGGATGAAACATTCCGTTGTGCATGTAAGAGCGTTTGGGTTGGACACCGTGAAATAATGCATAAGATATATTTATGGGATGAATTAATATTTTACATTTATTCAAAATTCTACAAATAATGGTAGATTTTTGTTAGATTAAATTTTGCAAATTCTTACTCAAATTTCACATCACCTTCCTGCTTGGTATTTCATTCCTCCTTACTGAAGAGTCATGGAAAACCACATATTTCATATTCATACTCAATAATGCATAGAATACATTGATGGACTGTATTAATGTTTTTAACCTCAACCAAAATTTAATGAATAATTGAATTTGCTTTTAGTGGTCCTGATGTCGCTGTAATAGTCTGTAATTGTGAATGCATGGTAAATGTCTGTACTCGATAAACCATTTATTTGTGAAAATCCTTCAATTCTTTAGGTTACGGTCATTTATACACACTAATTTGATATGTAGCAGAGCATAAAAATCTAAAATTTAAGAACAGTCTTACTAATTATGTTTAATTCACAGGAGTAAGGTTATACAAACTTATAAATGAACAAAATAAGAGGGGGGCCAGAAATGAACCTTGCTTAACTCCCATATAATTATTTATTTTGACTTAAGCTCATGACATGTATTATGTGGTGTCCCTATTAGTGCATTTAGTCCTGAAAACACAATTTAAACTTTATATTACAGCTGTATTTGCCAAATCAGAGCTAAATATATTTTCCGAGCTATAGTGTGTCGGCCATCTTGGATTTTGGGGGGAAAAAGTAAAAAAATCCATTGATCACAGGGACAGATTTTTTAAAAAAGGTTTGAAGTAGTAGAAAAGCAAAAGTTTATACTTGTATCACCATCTGAAATATTCTGCCAAATATAGGGGTAAATTCCCCCCACTATTATTAACTAAATTGATTTCATCAAAACCTGCTAAGAGAAAATAAAATTAATCAAATTGGCAAGGAGTTGAATTCACCACTGGAGGTTGATTCCCAATGATTGACATTAGCAACACATGTTGACACTTGGCAAATGAAGGGGATACGAAATAAGTAAAAGGGCATTTAGAACCTGAATGGAAAAGATTTCACTCTTATTTTCTGATGCGATTTGAATCCTCAGTGGATTGCACTTGTTCTGAATCAATGTCATCTGAATGATCCACGTCTTTGGTGTTCTGGTTAACGAAACTACCAAGCAGGAACACTCCCAATTTGACAAGTCCACACATATACTAGAATCATTGACATATGGAAGTACATATGTATGTAACTTTGCCTAGATGACTAACTTATACTATTCATCTATTAACCTGTTCCATTGGCATAACTTTGGTGATTTGGCCCATGCCTTTTGTGGGGCCCTCACGGAACAACAGTCTTGATCCTAGGCGGATGTACTCTGGTTGTTTGATGAAACGGAATATCACTACAGCCTTTTCACCGGTCTGTATGGAATCCTGGAATGTAATGTCACATATACAGGGTGTTCAGGAAATAAAGATAATAATGTCATAACTTTTTTTATTTATTCATGGATTTCAATAAAATTTGCAGGGATTATAGTTTAAACATATTTAAACTTACTTTTGGAGTTTCAGCTTCAAGCGATTTGATTTGTCATTTCTGTGGTTGGCATAGGAACGCGAGTAGCGCTAAGGCGGGCACATGGAACAACTGCAGTAGTTTCTGTGCAACATTTAGCATGGCAAACCGATTTTGACTCCATATTTAAAGCTTTCTTGGTGCATCTCCATGATAAAATTCTTCTATTGCTTTGTTTTATGATATAAAAGTCAAATAAATGCTTTTTTAATGATATTCAATGGGATTTTCATTACTTAATGCAGGCATTACATAGAAAGTGACCCGGGATGCAATTTCTCTTCCACTTAGACAATTCCCCCTCCCATACTGCTGCCATAGTCACTAAAAAATTGAGCAGCTGAGATTAGAGCAACTCAAGCATCCACCTTATTCACCCAACCTAGCGCCAAATGATTCATACTTCTTTGCTGAATCAAAACGGGACTTAAGAGGACATGCATTTGAGAATACTCATGCCATACGTTCACATGTGTTAAACAGACTTCAGGAAATGAGTCAAGAAGAATTCTGTGAAGTATGTGAAGAAGGTTCAAGAGGCAAAGAGTTTGGGTCTAGAATGGGGGAAATTACATAGAATAAATTGATAAATTGGCAAAGAATTTCAGGCTTATAGTTATAACTATGTTTAAGCATCCATTTTAAGTCGTAAACATGATAGGATCTCTTTTTAAAACATTTAAAACATGCAAATATACTGCAGTTATTCCACCTGCCCCGCCTTAGCGCTACTCGTGTTGCTATGACAACCACAGGATCAACCAATCAAATCGCCTGAAGCTGAAACTTCAACAATAAGTTAAAATATGTTAAAACTATAATCTCTGAAACTTTCAATACAATCCATGAATAAATAGTTATGACATTATTATCTTTATTTCCTGAACACCCTGTAAATAGAGCAGTGAATAGGATGACATATTTATTATCACAATTAAGCTGTTTGACTCCTATATTGATTACAGACCCCCCAAAAAGCTGTTTTTGGTTCGTCTTATTACATTAAAAAACCTTTATGGAAAATATACATGTATGACCCAAGCCTTTATTTTGGCCATTGGTTTTAATTTGATTTTTTGAAAAGTTTAAAACCAATGAAAAGATACAAAATCAACATATAATGCTAAAATGGATACATTCTCACACTCCTTGGCATAACAACTCAACATCCATACCTTTTGAATGATACCATCTATGATTGCAGTTTGGCAGACACTGCCAATATGTAAAGTACACTGGAAGCCACGTCCTATAGAGTTAGCGTGAAACAACAGGTAAATCTCAGCCTCAAATGATGTACACGCTTGGGGGTTCAGCTTAGGGCTGACAAGCACCATACCCTAGAACAAAAGGTTTGATACAAAAAGACGTTTTGAGGCTTTAATATACAAATACATGCACTCTCTTACCAGCCTATCATATTAGGGGAAGATGTAGGGACCTGAAATTATAACTATAGGCCTACAGGGGGTTCACCTCTAGGGGTCTGTCAAATGACTATGAACTTGTTTGTATTGTACACGTGTGTACACATCCAAGAGATAAACACTACAATGACATACCTTCCGAAGAGTTGATTTATCATGCGAACCAAGTGACACTGAGCATGCCTCTCCAGCTCTGACCATCCTACAGGGACGCCTACTTCTATGTAGGCCTTGTATTATCACCTCCTGGAACTCCCCAGTGTCCATAGGACCCACTAACATCTTCTCACCCTCCTTTATACTACCTCTAGAATACACAATATATTGAAAAATAATACATTGGCAGCTGGTAGAGATAATTTGTTCTATCCAAATCCATGAAATATAGCATTAAAGGGAGAATCAGAAATAGTGGGCAACTTATCCTCCAAATTAACAAAAGCTCACTTTTTTCAGCCAACTTTATTCTTTGTCATGCATATTATATAAACTGCATTAAATAATTAAGACCTCAGCACAGGTGTTATATCGACGACCTTAGGGCTAGGCACAAAAAGCCTTCAAACCCCTCACTCCCTTCTGTCGTTTGGGGTACAGAAAACATTTTTGCCTAGCCCTGAGGTCTGTATTCGTTGATATAACACTTGCTCATCAGTCTGTATTTCTTAAATAATATATTACCTGATGAGTGTTCCACCAAGTACAGTGCCCACATCTGGCACACAGTAAACCTCTTCCACTTGATGTATAGCAGGCTGCTGAAGGTGACCCTCTCTGTCTTTATGACTGCGTAATGGTGGCAAGACATTCAGGAACTTTGTCAATAGATCTAGATGTTTCCCTGTCACATTGGACACAGTGAATATTGGAGCAATGCTGGAATATGTAAGATAAAGACTGATTTTGCAATATGCCTGTAATGTAGGCTATTATTGACCACTTAGTACTTTCTACTCAAAGCGCAAAGAAATGGAGCTTGATTTATTTTGTAGCGCAGGGACAAATGCAGTCACATTTGCAACCTTTGTTGAAACCAGTGATCATTATTTAACCAGATACAGCATTAATGACTGCAGCAGTCTCCTTTTCCTATAATAGGCCTACCTTTCAGAACTGATCGTTGATGCAGCCATTATAGCATCATCCTCTGACTCTACTCTCATCGGGACCTTCTTTGATCCTGGAGACTTGAGCAATCTTTCCAGCTGCTCAAGGGTTCTTTTCACCACACGCTGACTGCATATATCTACTTTGCTGATCACTACAAATATTGGGACCTCTAAAGCCAGGGCTAGACCTAAGTGTTCCCTTGTTGTGCCGACTGAAGAAGGATAAAGAGAACTTTAAAGCATGCAGTGAATTCCAGTAGTTTAAATCAATATGTGAGCCTCATATTTGTGTGAGCCTCATATTTAAATGAGCCTTATATCTATATAAGCCTCATATTTGTGAGCCTCATATGAGTCTCATATTTGTGTGAGCCTCATATCTAAATGAGCCTCATATCTATATAAGCCTCATATTTGTGAGCCTCATATTTAAATGAGTCTCATATTTATGTGAGCCTCGTATCTCTGTGAATCTCATATTCATGTGAACCTCATATTACTTCTCATCATTGCAATAACCCAGATGCGAGTAGAAATAATCTTGATTTACGTCATTAAAAATTCAAAATTCAGTCAAACTAATATCATATTTGAAATCTTCATGTAAAATTACATCTAGAAATGTGGTTTTAAAAAGTGTTTATCAACTTTGAAAAATTAATTTTCTTTGAAAATGTGACTTCTAGCTCGGGGAGATTCCCCATAGACCCCATGCTATAAAATCACAAAAAATGAAATATCTTTTCTTTTAGTGGACAGATAATATTTTGCTTTACTGGACATATCTTCATTAGTATAAGTATCAGACGCATAAGGGTTATATGAAAATTGAGCCACTTAAATTGATAATATTCAAGTTTAAAGGAACTTTCTTATATACCTGCCATGTTAATTGACCCGAATCAGCCACCTGGTGGTGAAATTAGTAACTACCTACTCGCATTTGGGTAATTGTTCAGCCTTTTTTTAAATATTTTGTTTTTCAATGTGGCTTAGGAATGTTGTCTGTACAAAGTCAATCATCTTAACAAAACAAAACCATCGAAAATACATAATTACATAATTAAAGTAAAATATTACAAACGCTGGTTTATAACCTATTCCAGTGGCTGCACTGACAACCAGCATGGCAAAGTCTGGAGAGTATCCTGTTAGACCAAATATGGTTGTCTTGAGATATTTGTGGTGTCCAGCTAGATCTATAAGTGTGATTAGTTTGGTTGAGTTTTCACAAATGGCTTCTGCAGTTCGGGATTCGCTATAATTGACCACCTAAAACATAAAATTAACAAGGTTAACTTGGACACCCGTTTTGGATATTTTCAATGGAATTTATCAGAGACTTTTTGAAGCAATTTTGCATGTTGAAGTATACAATTTAATCAATTTTTTCGCCATCTAGTGACAGTCATTAGACCATTATCCAACAAATGATAAAACTTACCTCCCCATTACTGTTAAAACCAAGTATTTCATGACTTATACTCGATGTTCGGCCTGATTGTATTTCGTGTAAATGGCGAAATAAATTCAGACGAGCTCTCCCCCTCCCATTATCAAGTTCCCCCTGTGTCAACACACCCAGTAGGGTACTCTTCCCTGTATCGACGTTTCCAAGGACAGCAAGACGTAGATCGATGAACTAAAAAATAAAGGTCCAGCAATGTGTATTTTTTACAGTACATGTACAGCACAATATTCATTTTGCACATGTTTACATGAATCTAATTATGTAACACATGTTTACATGTACTGCATATGCAAATACCCTAAGAGGATCATACAACATGTTAAATATTCTATTTTAAGAAATAGATATTCAATATGCCATAAGCTAATGAAAACAGAAATGTGCATCTTATTTGTTATGAGAAAACTGAAAATGAAATGTGCATTTCTCAATCTAGAGCATTATGTGGTATTTAATCCGAGTGATTAATTAGTCGAATGGTCAAATTTTATCATTTTCCTAATGACAAAAAACTTCCCATTGGATAAGATAATGAAGGTATTATTTCCAGCATTTAATTTTCTGAATCAGACAAAAATTAGGCGATAGGCAAATTAAATATAACCCACCTGTTGATCATCTGGTACTTTCCGTACAAGTATTTCTGCAGCTCTTTTTCGTGATTCTGCATGTGCCGTCTCAACCACTCTCTCTCGTAGCATACTAGTAGTAGCACCAAGCCTGGAAAGATATGTGTGCAATTTAAACTAATGTTTGATATCTTCTTGGTTGTTTTAAATTTTTCATTAAGTAATAAGCCCAAAATTCACTATTCAAATTCTGAAGTGAAAAAATGGCGGCTGTGTAATCTTGAATTTTGTAATCACAACATGACTTCATGAACGGCAGATGATCGAGATGGAATATCTGAGAGCAAATCCTTCTTGACTGTATGTCATATCACTGTTATACGTGGACATTCAGCAGAGACTTATAGAAAAGGAAATTCTACCTGCTGGCCATTTGTTGCAATGTATTGAGAGAAGCAGACATTTCATCATCTGTTAGACCAGCTAACATTCCATTATCTGCCACCCCTATCTCATAAATGGCCTCTCCCTGACCCTCCTGGAGCCTCCATTTCATCTGGGTCACTAAATGTTCAAACCTGTCATCTGAAGGGTTCACAAGTTTAAGCTGAAATTTGAAATAACATTGGTATTTTTAGTATGTACATAAAATTGAAAAATCTTCTAAATGATATGAATCATTAGAATTTTAATGATAATTTCTATGTGATTTAATATACAGGGTAGAATGAAGAAAAGAAAGGCTAGTATATTTTTGGCCAAACACAAAGTTTTGAAATGCCTGTAACTTTTTACCATCTGTGAGTTGAACCATGATACTTGGCAAATCAATGTAACTCTGGATAAGCTCTAAAATGATATATGACACATACTATGGAGACATTGGTATATGTCTGCCGAGGGAGGGGGCATACTTTCAGGACACCCTGTATATGCAACGTGTGAACTCCACATTGAGTTTTGAAGGTTGTCTTTAACAATATTGCATAATATGCAGCAGTCTTACTTTAACAACGAAAATACTACATTCAAGCTTTAAAGATATTTGAAGGTCCAAAGCATTATGGTGAAAAATAAACAAAGATGGGATGCTTTAAACGAAATAAGGTTTATTACAAGCCATAGCAAAGTTTGATCTTGTTAACGACATGTGGTACACTTATTATTCCCCAAAATATATCCAAAGTAGTTATTGCTGTATAGCTACAATTTTGGTCCAAAACCCCCTACTTGTAGACTATTGTGATTTGTGATACCATATTTGTCATCCAATAATTAAATAAATATTAAATATTTCAAACAGCTTGATATTTATTGCATGCCAAGCAACAGATAAGTTTCATCTTTACAATGAGGTATACTTATAGAATAATAATCAGGAAAGTTAAGGTACAGCTGGAAAATAACATTTTGGGAAAAAATTGCTATACCTGCGCATGTTATTTTCTGGTACAAAATTAAGTATGAAGGCATGTGTGTATTTCCTTGCTTTTTTCAGGAAAGTATCATATAAGTATATGCCATATTTGTTACCTGATAACTAAAAAGTTGATACTTTATCAAATTGAGGTTTATTGCATAAAACATCCAGCACAGTTAAAGCTCTTACATTGTACTTGTCAGTGGTCCAAATTTATCAAAAAAGTTTGAATTGCAGTTTTGGCAAATTTGTGAAGTATATCCTTCTTTCCTTCATCATTATACACAGATAACATTGTTTGTGCAGGTACTATGAAACAGGATATACTGATTATAATGCCAGTGCTACATAACCAATAATAACATTCTGGTATGCCAGAGCTGGCCTTCTTATCTGCCAGCTACTCAGCTCTGATGTGTAAAAATATCAGAGTAGGGTCAACATCTACATGTATGTTAGATTTTTAAGAGACTGTACATCTACAGTACAGGTGCATCCATGCACCTATTCAATCGAGTGAAACAAAAAGTTGTGACTTACCTTATATTCAACATTTCCCTCCTCAATCTGGAATTATAAAAAAATATTTTAATTGAATTATTGGAACAATATAAGAAACCATGAATGCCCTGTAGTCTCATCAAGCCCTACTGACAACAGACCCCCGCCCCAAATCTATCATGGGGATTCTCCAGAGTCTAATGTCTTTAGATCCTCTTGCTCCAGAGTCTAACAGCTTTTCCGGAGTAAAGTGTTTTTTCCAGAGTCTAATTTTACATTTTTGTCACATTATTTATGGTAAAACCCTTGAGAAAATAAATAAAACTTGATACAAACAAGGAATAAGAAGCCAGAAACCTGTTGGAAATGTATGTTGTGATTAAAATAGGACGATAATCTTAAGTGGTATTTTGAAAAGTATGCAAATAGGATATCTCTGATCCCATGAGGAGGAGTAGTCGCAATACCACGAAAAATCTGGGATCTAAAAATTTCCTCACAACGGTCCTGTTGAGAACCCTGGTCCTTGTCCGGAGACAGCTTTTGCCAAGGAGCTAGCGTTTTGACAGTTTTGACTAAAAATAATGTGAAAAGTGTGAATTATGAAAAACTGCATGCTTTATGAAAGAATTACTGGCTTCCCACCTGCCCAGGGCTTGAAGTCCAATCAAATAACTACGAGATCAGGTGAAAATCATGATGGGGACAATTATATTTCTAATAAGAGAGATGCATTTGTCAATGAAATGTGTACAATTTGACGAATACATGTAGATCTACATGTAGAGGCTCTAGAGTCCTTATCGAATTCTACGACCTCTTTAGATTGTGGTCGTACGCGCATATAATTGGTCAGTCAATGTTTTTACAAAGTTGGAGAAAATACTACGCATTGCACACCTAAATGACCTACCTCGATACATTCCTTAGTATTTAAGAATTCTTTTTATGTATTTGAGTCGCCAATTGTATGGGTTTATCGGCAGAACGAAGAGGTTTTCGTTTTTTGATAGCAATATTTGCGTGTAATATTTAACTTATTTCAACCGTCAAATTCCTCCATTCAGTTCCCGGCATGCACCAGTCATAAGGGAAATCTTTGGGGAATTCCCCTACCGACATTTTGAAAATTGCTGATATATTCCGATGTAAAAACTAAAATCTCCGTTCTGCCGATAAACCCATACAATTGGCGATCTAACAACATTAAAGAATTCTAAAATACTAAGGAATGTATCGAGGTAGGTCATTTAGATGTGCAATGCGTAGTATTTTCTCCCAACTTTGTAAAAACATTGACTGACCAATTATACGCGCGTACGACCACAATCTAAAGGGGTCGTAGGATGCGATAATAGAGTCCTTGATAAATGAATATAACAGCTATGCATTTGTCTATTTCTAGTTAAATTTATAAGTCAGTTTATGTGCCAATATAGAGATAACCTAGTTTGTTTCCAAAAACATCAAGCTCAATGGTCAGTACCAGAAAGGTTATTATTAGAAACAGCTGTCAAGCTGCAAGTCAAAAACAAAACAAACAAACCTCTGGTGGCAATATTTCTGGCAATATTTTGGTATCATCTTCCATTTCCCCGAACAATCCAACTATTGGATCCATATTATTAGATTGTTTACTTTCGTATATGTTGCTTTGTCATCTCGATCTTAGTGCAAACAGTCGCTAAATCACTTGAAATGGCTAGAACATTTTGAAAGTCTGTATTTCACTAGCTTTCATCATAAAAGTACCCGGATAATCACAAATGTCAAGGGAGCTATTCGTATACGCTTTCATTGTGATATCATATTTTTCTTTTATTTGTTTCATATATGTAATGCGATATAAGATCATTAAACTATCACACTTGGTCAAAGAAAGTGATCAAATCATCATTTGAATTGAATTATATTTTTTTGTTTTTCTTCTTGGAGCATGACATACCTAAATTTCCAACATGGCCGCCATTAAAAACATGTGTATTTTGAAAAATTTACAATTTTTCAGGACGTTGCCTAAATTAACGCTTTATCCTCAATGTGCATCATTCTCAACTAAACCGGATATTCCTAGAATACTCAGGATACGACAAATATGCATGGGATGTAGGAATTATTCTGGAACAAAGTCACAAAGTGGAAGCCTTACTGATGACATTTTGAAACAAAAATTTACACAGGAAAGTTCCAAAGACTCACCAGAAAATGATGAAAAACAGTCTAAAAAGGGCTCAAAGGGAAAGCGATTTGAAAATTGGACTGGTAAAAATGCCTGGAAGCTAGGTCTGGTGTTTATGAGTGGTTGGAGTATAATGACAGGCGGATATATGTTTTATCTTTGGGGTAAGCAATTCACGACTTTCGAATTCACAATGGTATCAAATTTGGATTGCTATGAAGTAATTATCTGTGGCTGTGAATTTGTACACTCCTGGAATCATGCTTGGTGATCGGAAGAAATGAACGGAGGGGGAGTAGCTGATTTTCATTAGAAAATTCAACAAACCTGGAAGATTTATTTTTTCAAGAGAGAGTTAACAATTGAATTGCTAAATGAATAGGCGCAAGACACAGGGAAATATGTTGGGTCTTCTAGGATTTTTTTGAACCAATAGGCTTCTAAGATATAAGATCTATTAGCAGCGTCACAAACGTGCGAAAGTCAATGTTTTTGCTATAAATCAAGCAACAGTGGTCTACACGACGCCACCTGTATAACGTTTTCATGACAAAATGAATGTCATTGCTGTTTTTTTAAATAAATTTCCAAACGTTAGATAAAAAATAATCAAAAATAATCAAAATTGAATGGAGGGGGGAGTAATATGTCTGAAGGTGGAAGAAATTTCCGCAAATTTGTGGATGGAAAACCTTACTCAGTAACAACTGGATGTTACAACTATGAAGAGTGAAAAATAAGGACATTTGGAGTTATTGGAAATAAAGTCAAGTTACATCTTTTATCGTATATCTTATAGACACATTATTCCCCCCTCCATTCACTCCCCCCTCCGTTCAATTTTATAGACCCCTGTTGCTTGATTCATAGTCAAAACATTGGCATTTGCACGTTTGTGACGCTGCGCCTTTTTAATAGATTTTATATCTTAGAAGTCAATCAGTTCAAAAAAATCCTAGAACATATTTCCCTGTAACATGTGCCTATTCATCTAGCAATTCAATTGTAAACTTTGTCTTGAAAAATAAATCTTCCTGACTTGCTGAAAAATCAGATACTCCCCCTCTTTTCATTTCTTTCGATCATCGGTTATCACCGATTATATTATCATGATTTAAAGATTTTAAGGCGAATTCTAGAAGTTTACGTACAGTAGTTATTTTTTAACATTGGGAGAAGACTGATAGGTTAGATTGGGGGAAAGGCTTTCATGGTCTGTTGAATTTCCAAATCAACTCTACATCTACTTCCCGGGATCTACTTGTGCATTGAAATCTTGCAGTTGAAAAATGACATTATCTGGTCAGTATTTGAAACAAAGCTGAATGTTATCTTTGAGGACATGGAGGCAATGTCTTCCATGTAGGAAATTGTCGGACAAATGACTGCATACACTCATATGTAACTGAATGTCAGACAATTACTTACGTGGACAACATTGCCTCCCTGTACTCTAATAACCACTAATCCAACTGATTTTCAACCCCAAGATTTCAATACACAAGTTAGTTGTATCTTCCCTTTGACTGGTAAAACGCTTGATTAATGTAATCACAGGAATTCAATATGCACACACTTTTTTTAATCTTGAAACAATAACTGTTCCAAGTTACTTCCCTTCTGAACAACATTGTTGTTCCTTTTATCGTATTGAGTCCCTGTGTAATAAATGTTGGAAATAGTCGGAGCATAATGTCATTAGTTGCACCTTTATTCATTAAGAATGTTGAGTAAAACAGTAGCACTTCTTTATGTAAATATCATTAAGTATAACCTTTATCTTTCAGGTTCACCAAAGAGAGATGAAAATGGCCAAATTGTAAGTCATATTATATTGATTCAAGAAATATTCATTTTATACACTTCAGGTCTATATCTTGAGCTTCATGTATAATAGAACCTGCATTTGTCAACAGGGCACGCCTTGAGCCAAATTTCCCTGCTGGTCATCATGACCAGCAGTATTAAAATTTGAGGTGGTCAACTATAAAATCAGCTGGTCACAATGACCAGCAGCAGTCCAAAACCTGCTGGTCATTGAAAGATTTAGCTGGTCAATGAAAAAACATCACATCGTAGTAAAAATTATTTGATCGTAGTAAAACTCATTCATAGTCATCATGGCGCATGGATATATATAATGAGTGATGAACTCATAACCTAAGCACTCATTACGAAACTTTTTCAACCGCCATTTTTAAAAATTGAACTGGAAATTATCATTTTGCGGCAATTTATGGCTTAAAAGGGACATAAATTATAGTTCTAGATGATCTAGGATTACTGAGTAATCTTTCCAGCTATTCTACATACCTTCAGAACCCCGCTTGGCGCCAGGTTTGGCCGGAATGGTCCAACCCGCAAATTTTGCAAATGGATGCATCGAACTTGACCGGAAATAGAAATAGTTCCTGAATTAGGGTAAAATTAGCATTCGCTACTTTCCGTTACCTATATTTGGATATATTCGTATATTCACGTGATACTGATTAATTATGTATACAGTGATGTAAGGGTTGATTAATTATGTATGCAGTGACGTAAGGGCTGATCTATTAATGACACTGACCCCTGTGGATCATCGTCGAACAGTTAACAAACGTAGGCTACATTAATTAATATTAAATTAAATATTAGGGGCGTGTAAAGTTGAATGAACAGCCACACTCCCAGCTAAGTTTAGGGGTCGTGTCAAGGTATCGGACAAAATATCCAGGCCATATTTCCAGTTGACTCGTATGTATCAGTCAGTATGTCCGACAGTTTTTAATTTTTAACCGGTCCCATCAATATTCTACCGGACAAGTCCGACAGTCCGACGCTTAAGGCGTGCCCTGTTTGTCAATGCCTATAACACTGAACATAATATGAACAAGTTTCCATGAACTCCTAAGATGTCAGAACCTTTTGATCTCTATGTTAGCCTTTGCTGCATGATTGCTGTGAAAAATGATGTTCATAAATCAACCAATTGGTTATTATGACAATAAAATGTAACTTTGATCTAATATGGCAAATTTTGGGTACTTTGCCAATACAAAAATCCAGCTACCCAATTAGATTTGCACTAACTGAATGAAAATGAAAATTTATATGTTTTCAGACCATGGCATTTATTCCATGTTCAAACTTCTATTAAATGCCATGACAATTACTGTGGGGCTCTTTACATCTTATCATCAAAACTGTATTTGTTCTATTGAGAGCACCCTAAGATATGCTGTAACAGCTACAACCATGCCAGGATTTAATTTTGTGTTTTGCTTTTCAGATTCAAGATGAGTTTATGAAATGTAAGTTCTATATTTTATATCAGTGTCTAAACTTGAAAAAGTACTTCTTAACTTGGAATCAACCTTTACTTCTTGTAGCCTTATAGTAATAAACACTGGGATAAATCATCAGGCATTTTTATTACCCCTCATGACCTTTATGGACCAAGGTAGGTATTTAGTACTATTATATGGATAGCTTTGTTTTCAATTAATTTAGGATTGCCCTCTTTTACAGTACCTACAATGGAGCAGTATTTTAGGAGGGCTATCAATGAGTTTGAATTTTTCAAAAAAGTGAGTAAATCTTCAGTTTTTTGTAGCAATACATGTTAGAACTACAGGTTCGTTAACTGTATGTATCTGTATGAAATAATGACAAAATCACACCTAAAAGTATATCATTCAAATCGCGTGCGCTTGACCATGCGTCATCACTTGAAATTCTGTTCAACAGTGCCGATTTTCTGTCTCTCCCATTCAAAAATAAGCCATGCAGCTAGCATAGCAACTGCTACAGTATGTGGCAATGGAAATGCTTCATAGGCCTCATAATTACTATTGGCCGTAGAAAGGCCATTGTAAAAAATGTGACTAAGGGATTAACCAATATATTTGCTTCAGATGATCAAAGAACCAACAAGTGAAAAATTGCTTCCTGACCCCCTGAAGGAGCCATATTACCAACCACCTTATACACTAGTCCTAGAGATGACAGGGGTTCTCGTTCACCCTGACTGGACTGTGAGTAACAATATTAAGTGTGTTTGTCATCTCTATGGCTGATTCCAAAATACACCAAAAATGGAAATTATGACTGCTGTGATTATGATTGAAAATTAATTTGAGACTGATCAATTTTAAGTCTTAAATTTTGACCATTTATTTGTATTAAAAATGAGAATCAATGTTGACTTAAAGTTACTTTGACTATCAAGTCTAGGGGAAAAATCTACAATTTGCAAATCAACCTAACCTAAAATGATCATCAATTCTGATCTCATAAGAAAAGCAGCATTAGACACCAATCAGCCAATAGTAATCAAGACAATTTTAAAATAAATATGATTTGATACAATGCAGTACAATACAATATAATACAATACAATACAATATAGTACAATGCCTTGTATTGTAGATTGTCAAGTCATGTACCATATACAATATGAATATCTTTTGTAGTTGAACACTGGGTGGAGATTCCAGAAAAGACCAGGAGTTGCCTATTTCCTGCAACAAGTTGGTCCTCCACTCTTCGAAGTGGTGATATACACAGCCGAGAATGGATTTGTAAGTATTCTTATATTCTGTACACATAATAGTTCAATATGCTCACACTGCAGGTTAAGTCTTTTACAATATTTTTTACATTTCTTTATTTTGTTACTGGTTATTAAATAAATTTAGGAACAGAGAGAGTAACTTTCAAGCGATTATTTTAATATTGAAATATTTTCACTAAAAAGCATTCTTTGTGTGATGTCTTATTTTCTTAAAACTTCCCAATGGTCTCTCTCCCTTTGTGTTTATATGGAGGCAATGACATGATAGGCCTATACCATCACTGTTCAAACCAAGATTTTAGTTTGCCTAATACTATGTTGCTGATGTTCTATATGTTCCTCTCATTATATTGTTTCAGACTGCTTTTCCTATCATAGATGGCCTAGACCAAGAGGGCTACATAATGTATAGGCTGTTTAGGGATGCCACAAGATACATGGATGGACACCATGTTAAGGTACAGAAAGCATGCTTGCAATTAAGACAGTGTTTTATAATAATTATGTCGCCACCAGAATATTATTATAGTCTTATTGTCCAATTTTTATGGATGGTGGTGTTCGGTGTTCGATGTCTGGTGGTGACATTTTGCAAATTTGATTTAGTACAACGAAATAGAAATGAGCTACTCCATTTGGCTATTCCTCTCTTAACTTTCCTGGGTTTTTTCTCATTGTACCAATTGATGAACCCTCAGTTTTTTACAAAGTTGAAATGATGAATTCTGTGAAACAGCCAATTCCATAGTACTCACAGTATTTTTTGCGTGTGATTAAGTTTCACGTCGTTGACTAAGATGACACAGTAGTAGGTGCACTTAGTGAAATTTGCGAAATTTAATTGCCCCGAAATCGTGTTTTCTCAAAATTCTCAAAATAAAAACTCGTGAAATTAACCGAGAGTACAGTAGATCAGCATTTTTAAACTTTAACAAAATGAATATGATTGGAATTTTACTAAACCATCGCGATAGTCATGATTATTCGATTTTGTATTATTATGCTGTCATCTAGTGCCGATAACATATTGGGGGTGGATTGGGAAATGGAAAAGTGTATTTGTCATCAAGTATCACCCCTAGTTGGTCAATTTGGAACAAATATTAACCTTTAAAAGCTCAACAAAATTTCAACTTTCTAATTTTGTTTGTCTCCGTGATGGCAATTTATCATCTTCATAATATGACTTGTTTTATTACAGGACCTTTCTTGCCTGAACAGAGACCTTAAAAAGGTGATATTTGTGGATTGTAACCCCAAGTCATATGAGTTACAACCAAGAAATGCCATTGGTTTGAAGAAATGGACTGGTGATAATGAAGACAGAACACTTATTGATTTAGCCACTATGTTACGCAGTAAGTCATTGTGCATTTTCCATCAACATAAAGTGGCAATTGTTAAAGCAATTGTAAAAGTTTTCACCAGTGTCAGCCTTGACATTGGGCATCTGTAATAATTTATTTAGGACATTAAACATACCTATAATTAGTGTGGAAGGTACTGATATCTCATTTATGAAAAGTGATGTAAGACTAGGTTAGATGATGTTGAATGAAATTTAGATTCTGATTGACTAACACATTGTAAATGTTTTCTGTATTGCAGTGATAGGCACCAGTGGTGTGGAGGATGTGAGAACAGTACTTGACTATTACAACCAGTTTGATGATCCAGTTGCTGCTTTCAAAATAAACCAGGAAAAACTAAAGGTAAACTTTGAACTCACAGGAACTCAGAGTAAACATTATGTTAATTGTACAAAGTACACTCACCAAACACATTGATGCAAATACTATCGTCCTGAAAGGTATTACATAATAGGGCTCCATATGGAGCCTATCGTCGTGAAAGGGTTAAGAGTATGTTTCATCAACTACTATTTTTGGCAATAATAATCATTGATAAAACATCAGTGTTCGCGTTGACGCTGTTTTTTGCCATTTTTACGGAAATTTCAGAAGGTTGGACGTAAAAATCAAAATCAACTTACGTCCCTAGGACGCAAAAATTATAAACTGCTTCAAGATAACTTTTACTGCAGCACAGTAGCGGTGAAACATGATTTTCATCAAGATTTTCAAACTCACTACCTTGATATACGAGCAATGATCCAGGTATATTTATATCAACAAATCTGATTCGCTATCATGACTACCGAAGATTAACAGGGTTTCCAGTATGAGACATGGATTTTGATTGGTTCCGATATATTCCGGAAAATGACGCAATCGAAATGGAAGATCAAAACATACAATATTGCAGAAATCCCCTGTGGTTCCCCACAAATTGAAATGATTGTTTTTCACGATTATCTTTATTATTTCCACTAGAAACCATTATATATTGATCTAATGTTATACATCAAGATAATTATTTAATGATAGATCGAGGTTTTTTCTCTAAAAGTCTTCAGAATAAGGAGAAATGTTGATAAAAAGAAGCAAAAGTTCACGACCTTGACATGACCTTCAAGATCGCAAGTTTTAAAATGTGAAAACAAAACTCTTAATTTGAGCATTTCCTTTATTCATTTCGGACTATTTTGGTATAACATTACTTAAGAATTGTGTGAAAAGGACCCAGTGATAGATATTTATTGGGAGGATGCATCAAATTACAATATATGTCATTTTTATCCCATTCTAGTGTAAGCACTCTATTATCGCCCACTTTATTTTCACTTTCACAATATTTTTTGAACTTTGTGAAGAAACAAGAGGGACGCAAAAAAATTATATGGGGACTCAAATTTTTCAAATGGGTTGTGTCCCTGGGACTCAGAAATTTTAATGGCTAGCGCGAACACTGAACATAAAAAAGCATTTATTTTAAATATTAGACTTGAACAAAACATACCTTGCATTTTAATTTCCAGGAGGAACAAAACAAGAAGCTTCAAGAGTTACAGGATCAGAAAAGCAAACAGACACAACTTGGTGGACTTTCTAAAGGACTGTTTGGTAGCAGGAGGTGAGAAGGAATGCAGAGGATATACTAGCATTCAGATTGGAAGGGGTATAAACAATAACAATGTTGGAGGCTTAGCTGGGCATGAGGCATGGGAGACAAATTTATGAATTTGTATTATTTCCTGAATTTTTCATGCCTGTTTTTCTGTCCTGACTATGATGCTGCATTTGTCAAGCATGTAAACAACGCCTGCTCATGAGAGCAAAATGAACATTATAATAATTTTGATCATCCACAAACCACATATATTAAAATTGAAATAATTAAATATTTGAAATAAACAAACATTGCCATCAGCTGATAATATACTAATAACAACAGACATTAAAGCATTAACCTGATTAAATCTTCGTTTACGGTCAAAAAGGATCCTAAAGGAGGTACTCCGGTATAAATAATATCCTTGGGCTTCTGGGAATTAACAAGGTGAGCCCAAATCTAAACATTCATTAAAAAAATGCTGTAATTTTTCAACCTGATGGATCATATGGAAACATTGATATGTGCAACAATTTTAAATAAAATTAATATGAAGAAAAAAGTGTTTGAATGTTAAGTTGTGTATTTGTAAATGTAGAAATATTGCTATATTATAAATTCCTCTTGTGCTGCTTTGATCTGAATTTGAATAGAAAATTGTTCTTGTTCAAAATTGATCTTGAAAAGGTTTGAAATGTGACAATTGAATCAAGTTGAACAATTTTGAAAATTAACTTATTTTTATTACTTTTTAAAAGTCAACAAAATAAAATCTGATTTCAAGGTTGGATATAAAAACCTGGCATGTTGTAGACAAAATGAATTTAAAAAATTGTTTAATTTGAAGCAATCTAAAAATTGACTTGGAAAATTACCTTTTGAACTTAAGTACAGAATCAGAGTCAAACATTTTGAGCAGTAGTCCTGAGGTTTAAGAAACTTAGATAATACCATTTGTGACTTTGAACTTTAAAAAATCTAGAATCAAAGGTAAGATATGAAATCCCTAGCTTGAATTTCAAATATATTCATGTCATGAGATTCCCAAAAGGGCAAAATTAGACTTGTTATAGATATAACACCTTTTATGTTATGTTATGTTATGAATTATGAATTATGAATTTTGTTGTACCAAATAAACTACAGTATATTAGCCAGTTTCTAGGCAGTAATTATGTCACCACCACAAGTGGTGACATAAATTATAATCTCTTGTGGATGGGAGTCGGTATTCAGCAGTCGGCATCTGTAACAAATGGTGGTGACATTTTGCATGTTATTATGCCTTGTGTTTGTATTTAAAATTAAAATAAGTTTTTGAAAGTAGCAATAAGTTAAAACCACTTCTGTGCTGAGACTGCAACAACCATTCTCAACAATTGGTGGCATGAGTAAATGGATTGGTCTATTAAACTGTGGCTTATTTCCCGGGGAAAATTGATGGTCGTTAAATGCATTCCTGACCGGCAATATGGACCACCACTATGACGTCACATATTGCTCAGGTCGATATAGTAAAATTAATGCCTTCTTAACTAGCAGTAAAACCCCTAGAACTGGCCCGGCAAGGTGGTAATAATATGCAAAATGACATCATCTGCCATTTGTTAGACACCAACCACTGAACACCATCCACAAAAAAGGGAGACCATATTTTATTGCAGATATGAAAAGTAGTTATGTTTATGCTGGACTTTTTCTTGTACACAGAAAAACAGAATAATAAACTGTTTTCATTATTTTATTTAACAATAACACATCATTAACGACATTGAATGTTAACAACATTAAGTAGCACTGCATTCCTATATAGTTATACTACACATGTATGTGTACATTTCATTTACTATATAATTTCTAGTGTTGGTTTTTTTATTTCTCAGTCCTTCCTATATAATAGTACTTACGGTATGTTGATATAATCTAGGCCTAGCTATTAGTTTAGGTGTGCTAAAAGTGATTTCATCAAGGTTCTAATTTTTACACATTGTTTTGTACTCCATGCAAAATGTTTTCTGTTACATATAAACATGTTAAGTTAATGATTTAAGATTGATGATTAGATGTTTTGACTACCAAACATTTCTCAACAATAGTCAGTTAAAATATTTGGGTCTCGTAAGTTGATGGTTAAATACATACTAGTATATCAATTTATTTTTGTTTTGGGTGGCCAACCAAAGGTAACAAGAGAAGTGTATATGAATATTTGTAAATAATATGTTTGTACACATTAAAATAATCGTAATAAATACCCGATGTGTATACATAATATGTATAAAAATTACAAAATAAAAATCAATACTGTTACTTTGCATAAAATGGAATGTCTACAAACATTGTACCGATTTAATATTACATAGCATCAAATATGATGTCGAGATTCAAGATGTATTGACTAGAGAATGTTGGTGTAAATATATATGCAACATACTTATATGTGAAATTACTTTTTTTATCTTTTATAAGATTGTTTAAAACATACATTTTCATCAAATGGTCAAATTATCAATATTTTAATTCGCAAAAATAACATATATTATTGGAGACCAGTTAGGTCACCAGTTAGGTGACATATTAGGGAAACTCAGAATACCATTGAAATTAACAGGTTGTGTATTAGGTTAACTCAGTATACTATTGAAATTAACAAAGGTGACATAGGTTAAATCAGTAAACCATTGAAATAACAAAGGTGACATATTAGGTTAAATTAGTAAACCATTGAAATAACAAAGGTGAAGTGTCTGCAAGCTTTTGCAAAGACCGTGATTTAATCCTTCCTTATCTTATGTGAAAAAAAACATTGAATAAAATTTTGGGCCAATTGCACATCATTAAACTTATACTAGATAGCTGGAATATGACATGAAAACATATCAAAAATTATGACCTTATTGCTATTGGTGGATACATACGTAAATGTATAAAACACACTTGCATCTCTGGTTCAGATACTGAACCACTAAATGAATTCTTACATATGAACTACATTCAATAAGACTATTATTGACCACAATGGTTTTATACACTATTTCCACATGTCATCGATGGTGTATCACTATTATATACAACATTTGTTCTACAAAGTTTTCTACATTGAACTTATAATTCAACTGCATAGTGTCTACTGCTATGTCTTCAAAATGAGCTAGATTTCAGAATTCTACAGAATAAACTCATTAGAATTGTTACAATGAGCTGCACAAAAAGAGCTGTTTACAATGGTGTTCACATTGGCAACACAAAATACAAAAATTGTCACAAAGAGCGAGCCGTATCCACTAAGCTGCACCAATTGTCACAAAGAGCTGCACCAAATGTCACAATAAGCTACACCTATTGTCAAAATAAGATGCTCCAATTGTCACTATGAGCTCCATCATTGTCATAATGAGCTCCATCATTGTCACAATGAGCTACATCTACTGTCACAATGAACTGCACCAAATGTCACAATAAGCTGCACCTATTGTCACAATATAAAGCTGTACCAATTGTCAAAATAAGCTACACATATTGTCACAATAAGATGCACCTATTGTCACACTAAGCTGTACCAATTGTCACAATAAGCTACACATATTGTCACAATAAGATGCACCTATTGTCACACTAAGCTGTACCAATTGTCACAATAGGCTGCACATATTATTATACTAAGCTGTACCAATTGTCACAATAGGCTGCACATATTGTCACAATAAGCTGCACCATTTGTCACAATAGGCTGCACATATTGTTACACTAAGCTGTACCAATTGTCACAATAGGCTGCACATATTGTCACACTAAGCTGTACCAATTGTCATAATAGGCTGCACATATTGTCACATTAAACTGTACCAATTGTCACAATAGGCTGCACATATTGTCACACTAAGCTGTACCAATTGTCACAATAGGCTGCACATATTGTCACACTAAGCTGTACCAATTGTCACAATAGGCTGCACATATTGTCACAATAAGCTGCACCAATTGTCATAATAGGCTGCACATATTGTCACATTAAACTGTACCAATTGTCACAATAGGCTGCACATATTGTCACACTAAGCTGTACCAATTGTCACAATAGGCTGCACATATTGTCACACTAAGCTGTACCAATTGTCACAATAGGCTGCACATATTGTCACAATAAGCCATCTATTATCACAATGACCTTCACTTACTGTGCCAATGAGATACAGACTTTATTACAAGTCTTCCTATCATCAAAAACAAGCTGCACATATCATCCAAATAAATCTAAGATCATTAAATCAAAATACTTTTCATACACAAAGGCATTCATATCCTGAGATTATAATAATTTTTAAGATGTATCTCAACATACTTCTACCCAACTATTTAGTACATGTATGTACATGTATTTCGTAATGAAATCATTCTCACGACCACATTTCAGATTTTTAAATACAACGGAGTATATCATTTTTCTCACAAAACAGACATTTGATAATAACATTTCATTTGGTAATATGAGACATCATTTCTATGGTTTTGGGTCACCATTTGAAAGGATATTTCCAGAATACATCAGAATATTCAGTTATTTGACTAGATATAGATATACATATTGCACTGTTGGCTCACTAGATATTTACATTTCTACAATTTTACAGATGAAGAGCACCTTTTATATAATATCTCACAAGGTATTACACTGGAATCATTCATCCATGCTCTACATTACATAACACTGACATCTATTGAACTATGCCATTATTGTTTTAATACTACTGAAGTGCCACCTTTCAATCATGACCAGAACTTTGAGAACCATAGGATTGCAATCTGGCTGTTATGGTGCCTCCTTTTACTTCCACTAGACCCAGTATTGTCTCATTAGTCATGTTTGTATTGTAGTATGCAAATTCCACCAGGACTATATGTACTTTCTTCTTCAGAGTTCAGAATTCTGGGTTTCCTATTCCTTTTACATCCATGAGAACTACTGTACATACATCATTGCAATTGCATTCTAGATATCATAGTTCTTCATTTGATTTCTATTAAAGCTGCTGAGTTGAAATTCAACCAGGACTATATGTACTTTCTTCATCAGAGTTCTGGATACCCTATTATCTCCCTTTCATCTATGACTACATGTACATATACCATTGCAATTGCATTCTGGGTATCATAGTCCTTCCTTTAATCTTCATCAGAGCTACTAGAATCATCAGGCTCATCAGGGTTGTATTCTGGGTATTCAGGTACCTCCTTTTTCTCAGTGGGAGATGTAGGTGTTATTGCATATGCAGGGACATCTTCTGGAGTGTCCCCAGTCTTAAACTCAATCTCTACCTTGTATTCATATTTAGATAAATAGTTGACCCACTTCTCTGGGGGATCATCTGGGCCTTCTACTGCTATGGAGCGCACAGCACATTTAGATACTGTAGTGTTTGGCATGGTGAACTCCACCTCTGCGTATTGCTCATAAGTCTCAGGCATTATATCATGAGGACCTAGGTCTAGGCGTAGTATAAATATATGCTCCTTGTAGGCTCCTGGAATCATAGAAATATGTTTATTATAATTATGGTAAAATGTTTTGTAATTCTCTCACTTCAAGTTGCACCAATCAAAAAGATGTCGCCACTAAGGTTGTTACACGTGGTTTATAGTAAATCCTATAATTACTGCTTTTGCTTACCACTTTCATTTCATTACTAATTTCCACCATCTATTATCTGAAAACTACACACTGTTGTGATGTTTTAATTGCTAAAATAACCATATGATATCATATATATTTTCATATTGTTTATCAGTTACAGCAGAAAGTGACATTATTTTGTTCAAAGCATGTTTACAAAATTGAATTGTCTATTTTGTTTCTGTTAGCAAACATGATTAACAAATGTGTGTTTGAACAATCAGTGATGATATGACATGATTGATGTCAGTCATTGACGTTTAACAGGCCCGTAGCCAGGATTTGCCAAGGGGGGTTTGCTTTTTGAAAAATTCCAGGAGGATTCACTTGTGACAATTTTGGTCCAAAAATGGCCAAAATCACTTAAAAAGTGCTCAGAATGGTGAAAAACTGCATGAATTTTGGCCAGGGGGGTTCGCTCATCAAACCTTAAAATAGAAGTTCATCTTAAAATGAAGAAAGGGCTACAGTACATGTATGGCATAAGGTTAATACGTCCAAGAGACAAGTTTAACTTTCAATGATGCAATTGCAAAATCTGTTTGACTGGTAAAAACGATTCATTTCACCAATATGATGATTTGGACTTGATATTGTGTTGATAAAAATCAATAAAGTAATATAAGAGGCATAGTACTAAAGTTTAAATAATTTGTGAAATGATCATTTAGCATTTCCAGATACTCTGGAGGTTGGTAACTAACAAAGGTTACATTAGGTTAGATTATGGAGTATGTGCCTGTAAATCTGGTTAGTATATAAATAATGGAGGAGATGTTAGATAATTCAATTACTTCAACTAGTCTAAGACAAGACAGTATTGATCTGAAGTCTGCTATAGGGGTGAGATCAAAATATAAATATTTTCCCTAAAGTTAATTTCAATTAGGGGCAAAACAAAGCCCAGTAATACACTAATGTTCAAGATGTCATATGAATACTCAATATTTTACATCAAGAATGTGCATTATGCTTTGTGAAATACTTTACTTCAAAATCTAGGTATACTGAGCTGACCCCTTGGGCAGATTGAATTATGATTGAATTGATATCCTGCTTTTAAGCTGGGAAATCAAAGTAAAAGTAGCAATGTTTCATTCTATGTCAATGTCAAGTCACCACACAAAGAGGCATATAAATAACATGCGTGTAGCCAGGACAATAAATAGGCGAGACAAATTAAAATAGGTGAGGCAATGTAAAAATGATAAATGCTACTATTGAACATCATTTTCACAGTTTCAGTTGAATAAATATATTGGTGAGGCTTGTGAGGTTTCTGCCTCACCTGTCTCACATCTGTCAATAGGTGCCCATAAACAAACATATCACTAATTCAAGATTGAAATATATATCATGTATAAAATGAAACAATCGCTTGATTGTTCACAACCGAATGATGCTCCCTCATCTACTTAGCCAAGCAGTGTAATAAGCAAAGTCTTACTTAAGTGCTATCTTGGGGATAATAATTTCTAGATATCTAAATGTCATGTGCTATTTAGTTATTAGCTGCGGTGTGAGAAAAACAAATACAAAATAGATGATAGTTGGGAGGTATATAGCCAGATGTTTGGAATTGGATTTCATTGAGGTTTTTACACATACCTTGATTTAGCTCAGGAAGACGACTGATCCTCCAGACAATAGACCTATAGATGTGTTCATACTTGGCCTGCCCTGTAGACACTTCCATAATACTCCCATAGTTGAACAGCCCCTGGGCCATTTGAGCCAGACGATCTAGTCCCTTTATTTTCCCAGGTTTCTTTCGGATTGATTTCACTGTGCCGTATCGGAAATGTTTCTCTGTGCGGAATAGGTAGATCCAAGCTTCTGGAAGTGGGAAACGTATCATAATGTCCTCACAGGGAACCTGGCTGTGTTTACGCTTCATGTTAAAATACCCAGGGACTATGACATCAGAGCGGATCTCAACATGACGTTCTTTGACGACCATTTGTACACGCACTTGAAGTGGAAGTTGGAAGTTTTGTTTTGGTCTAACACGGAATCTCATGAGTTCTGATTCTATGGCATCAAGGGGAGTGAATATAATCATTTGATTCTCATTCCATTCTTTCATGTCAACGCAATTATGAAACTCGGGGGTTTCAATACGTATCCACTCATCTGTCTTAACAGGAACAATATCCTTACGCCGGACTACTTCTTTTCCTCGACGTCGTTTATCATTAATTCCAAGCTCCACCTTGGGATGATCATTTATGAAAGCCTTATAGAAGATTCTTACACGGCCTTTCTGATTTTCAATGTGACCTGATTTATCCACAGTTCCCTCATACTCATCCCAGATTTCAGCATTGCACTCATCCTTTATATAAGTCTGAGGGCTGCCACGTGTCGCAACAACCTTCATTAGGGCATCTTCAATCTCTTGCACTAAGCTACATATCATTGGTCTATCTTTGCAGCCAAATTTAAACAGTTCAGTTTTAACCTTTGAGTGATCAATCAAATCTGTTGTTTTTGGGTGTCTCATCACAGCCTTTTTAAATGTCTGAAAATTGGCTTTAATTTGAGAAGGGGCTAGTCGCTCAGCCTTGAATCCCACTCTTTCTTTATATGTTACAGAATAGAGTTTGAATATATGGATTTTACCATAGTCGTCATAGTATTGTAGCTTCACATCTGACATGTTAAAATTTGGAGCTAACTGAACTTCATGTAGTGGATGTTTCTCTTCTTCAGTGTTGAAAACTCTTAGTGTGAAGCGACCTTGGTTTTCTATGAGCCTCACAAAACATGGCCTCCATGCCCTCTCTTTTGTCATCTTCTTCTTCCCAATTCTCATCAATAGTGACCAGCCTTCACCTTCAAACTTAGGATGGTATGGAGGAAGTGGTTCAAGTTTTTCCAGCTCGTCATAATCATCTTCATATGTTTCAGAGTTGCGTCGTTCTTTTACGGGTTTTGCTTTATCAATTTCTTCAATCTCTTTCGCAATTGCTTCATACTCCAGGTTGGGCGTGCCATCAAATGAACATGACTTTTTGGGGGATTTTTCAGGTGATGAGTCATCACTGGTACTGTACTCTTCAATAATAGGAGTAGGAGGAGGTGGAAGAGCAGGGGCAATTGGGAGAGCCTCAGCTGTGGTGGTGTCAAGTGGTTTGATGGTTACTTCCTTTGGAGCAGTGATATCAATGTCCTTTGCCCTTTTCCTAGGAACTGGTATAATTTCAGGTTTGATTATTTTAGGACTAGGAGGTGCTACAGTTCTACGACGTGGTATTATATGTTCTTTTTTGACTTCATATTTATTATCCTGTTTTTCTACACTTTGAACTTCCTTTTTAGGTTCTTCTTGTTTAGCTTCTTCTTTTTTAGAATGTGGTTTATTATCAACTTTGGGAATGGTTGTTGGAGATGGTTCAGCTGATTTTGGAGTGTCCTTTACAACAGGGGCTAAGCCAGGAATGTCTATGAGATTGTCAACAGGTGCAACATTATCACTGACTGGAGCAGTAACATTGTCAGATTTGTTCTTATCGGTGTCTTTGCTTGTATCATTCATACCAAGGTCAAATGAATCAGCATTGAATGAGCTGAATCCTGGCATATGTGGCTCACCATCATCTGTGATAGTTTGGAATGGATCAAATGCATCATCTCCCTCTGCAACTGAAAGTACATTGTGTAAAAAGAGGTTATACCTGGACAAAAACATATATTTTCTTTCAATGAAGGCTTGTTGATAAAACATTCTTGTATCGACTCATTTTTCCTCTTTTTGTTGTATTTCTTTTTTTAATCCTTTAATTAATGTCTGACACAGGGACATTACACTGGACAAGTTTATAAAATCCAGGGATGGAATTGTATGGGATATATGGCAAAAACCAGAGTATCATTTTTATCAATGTGCTACATACACTAATATCAGAGTAATAATGGTGATATCTAATCATAAGAGAAAAAAGTAAGAATAGAAGTACACTGACAATCTTTATATAACATGGTTGCTAACTACCTTCCCAATCCCCTTGAGGGGGAAATAGGTATTGTGGATTGGGTGGAGGCTAGTGGAGACTTGATATAACACATAGATTATCTCTCCCCTCCCTTTCTCTCTTAACCTCTTTATTAGCACAGAATGACAAAATTTCTCGTCACCTAAGAAATGACCTTGAAACTTTGAGTGACATTACATGCAACATTTATATCCTCTATCAAATCACATATTTAAAAAAACTATAGAGAGATATAAAATAGAATGGGGGGGGGGAGAGACTTAATGCGTCACTAGATAATCATATACTTCTCTACTAACTTGTTTCAAAATCTGCTGCAGGTTTTGAAGTGTCGTTATTCCCCATGAGACAGAGAAAGGGATCCACCTCACCAGTGGTTGGCTCTTTAGCCTTGGACACACTTGCATTGAAGCCAGAGTCAGGGAACATACTCTCCATGTCTGTATTAGCTATAAAATGTTACACAAGAATTTAAAGTTGAATTGTGAGATTACAATCAATGGCAGGTTTGTCCAGCTCATAATAATAATATAATACATGAACAAGGCAATAACATGCAAAATGTCAACACCTACTTGTTGTTACACATTTGGCAGATTGCCAAACACTAGCAACCAAATGCCAAACACCAACGAATGCCAAACACCAACGAATGCCAAACACCAACGAATGCCAAACACCATCAAAAAAAGGTTGGAGACTATAACAATATGTCATTACTTCTGGTGGGGATATAACAATAAAGCTCTCAATAGAATTAAGTATATAAGGCAAAAATAACACATTTACAATTAGTTTGTGTCTCTTGGGTTGATTTTCGTTCAACTATAACTTGTAATTCCTAGAAAACTATTAACTATTAACTATTATTATGAGCTTTGAGATTAACAATTAAATTACGACAATTCCAAAAAAACATACCGGTTGTTAATTGTATGATACCTACCAGAGAAAGGATTACTAGATGAGAATCCGCTGTCTTCCGAAAGGAAGGGATTCCTCTTTGGTTGCTCTAGCAACGCCCCTGCCTCTTCAGCAGCTTGCTGTGCCTGTTCCATCGCTTTCTCAGATTCTGCAAGTATGAATAACATTAACATGACCATGATTACAATGACTCACAAGGCATGTACATGCAAAACATCACCACCTGTCATTTGTTACAGATGCTGAATGCTGAACACCAATCGCTGACTTCTGAACACCATCAACATGAAAGTTGGAGACTATAACAAAATGTCACCACTTGTGGTACGTAGTGACATAAATGTCACCACTTGGTTGCAATTAACAAACAAGGCACAGACGTGAACAATATCGTACCTAAAACACAGCATTGTGGTCTTGTTGACCAAGAAAGCAAGATGGCCGCAGAAAAGTTAATCAGCTCTAGAACTTATCACTGTGTAACATATGTAACAAGTCTTGAAAGTGAAGACTTTAGGACGGAAAGTCCAAAATGGCCACCTTAAAATTAACCCAGAATGCCCAAAAACTAATCAGTTCTTGACGTTGATATGTAGAAACATCCCTGAAAATTTCAGATGAATCCCTCAAATGGTTTGGCTGGAAACCTGTAGACAAGTCTTGGAAGTAAAGATTTTAGGACGGAAAATCCAAAATGGCCACCTTAAAATTTACCCAGAATGCCCAAAAACTAATCAGTTCTTGACGTTGATATGTAGAAACATCCCTGAAAATTTCAGATGAATCCCTCAAATGGTTTGGGTGAAAACCAGTAGACAAGTCTTGAAAGTGAAGATTTTAGGACGGAAAATCCAAAAAGGCCACCTTAAAATTTACCAAGAATGCCCCAAAAACTAATCAGTTCTTGACGTTGATATGTAGAAACATCCCTGAAAATTTCAGATGAATCCCTCAAATGGTTTGGCTGGAAACCTGTAGACAAGTCTTGAAAGTAAAGATTTTAGGACGGAAAATCCAAAATGGCCACCTTAAAATTTACCCAGAATGCCCAAAAACTAATCAGTTCTTGACGTTGATATGTAGAAACATCCCTGAAAATTTCAGATGAATCCCTCAAATGGTTTGGCTGAAAACCTGTAGACAAGTCTTGAAAGTGAAGATTTTAGGACGGAAAATCCAAAATGGCCACCTTAAAATTTACCCAGAATGCCCAAAAACTAATCAGTTCTTGATGTTGATATGTAAAAACATCCCTGAAAATTTCAGATGAATCCCTCAAATGGTTTGGCTGGAAACCTGTAGACAAGTCTTGAAAGTGAGACGCCGCCCGCCCGCCGCCCGTTAAGCTGACTACAATATCGTACCTCTTGTTAGGTACGATAAAAATATACAACCCTTGTTTAATGTTTATACAGATTTCAAAAGCCAACACAGATATTGAACACTAGTCACTTATTTGTAGTTCAACATTGTCCCAGAGGTTATGGTAGATTAATCTAACAATGTTTTATGTTAACAGGCAAAATATGCCTATAAATCGCAATCACCTTATAAACCTATAAACATAGTTCATAAATAATTTAACTACCCCAATAGAGAGGCATAAAACTTATAGACATATACCTGTACATCTTTATAATAATTCATTCCTTATCAAATTGGTAACATGTGAAAACAAAACAAACCCCTATATATAATACAAACAACATAAACCAATATAAAATGTAAAAGCTTACCTAATAAATGTGCCTTGAACTCTCCAGGTTCTTCGGATGCTGAGTCTCCCCATACAGCCTCGGTGGGTTTGGTAGACACTGCCAGGTCTTTGGGAAGATCCTTCTCACTTCTTGGGTCAAAGTCCAACTCGTCATCATCATCCAGAGCTCTAGGGTCAAAATCATCCTCAACCTTCTGCTCTTGTTCCTTCTGTATCTTATCCAGATTAACTGTGAAGGGGTCTACCGTGGATTCCACTTTTGTTGGTTCTAAAGGTTCCCCAAATAGATCTCCTGGTTCTGCTGCTTTCTGGGTGGCATCACTGGCGCTACTGAATATATCCCCTGGGTCTGCTACATGAATAGGGGATGCCAGAATAGGGTTGATGACAGCTGGTTGGGGGAGAAGAGCAGGGGTAAGAGCTGTTTCTTGAAGATCAGCTTCCACCTTTTCTTTATGAGAGAGGCCAAACAGATCATCCCCTATGATTGGTTTTGAGGGTTGTAGGGGTTGTGTGGTACTTGAAATACCAAGGAAGTCATCAACAATTGAATCAACTGTTGACTTTGCAGTCCCAGAATTATCTGCCACTGGTTCCTCAACTGATAATCCTAGGAGTTCCTTCTCAAGACTGGTCATTGTTTTCACAGGGGCATGGACACCTGGGAGATCAGTACCTCCCCCACTGCCACTGAGACTGAATGCATCTTTATTGCCCTCATCTGGAACAGACCGTTGAGATAAGTTTAGGAACTCATCATCAAAAGGATCTTCCTCTTTGACCTTTTCTTCTTCATCACCACTTTCAACAATGCGTAGCTCCAGGTTCAACTCTTCATCCCCCTGGATATCAGCCGGGACTACTTTTGGAATTACTTTAGGTGGTGCAGGTTTCTTTGGTGGCATAGCTTTCGGAGGATCAGGTTTTTTAGGTGGCATTTTCTTGGTTGGTTCCACCTTCATCTGTTGACCTCTAGGCTGCTCTGGGATTGTTTTAATCATGGGGAGAGGGGCAATAGGGGGCAGTTCTGGTATTTTAATATCCTCCACTTCCCCTTTGTTCTCACGTTTCTCTCTATCAAAGTCTTCCCAGGATGGCACAACGTAATCTTGAGTTTTTTCGACAGCTTCTTTTATTTCACTCTCAGTTGATTTGAGAACCTCAACCTTTTCTTTAGCTAGCTGAACAGAGCCAGAGATTCTGTTCTGCATTTCCTGGAAGGCTTTCCATTCTTCAGATTCTTCATCCGGCTTCTCTGAGGTGATCTGGCCTGCAGGAAGATAAAAGTTCATATATGAGATCAACAATTTAATATAGAGTAAAACATTTCTAATCTGAATGCCACTGAGACTGGGTATAAGTGTTCAGACTGGCAGTTGTTTACATTTCAAGGTTTCTTACTATGTGAGTCAATGTGAGATCGAACAAAAGTGGTCACATTGAGAGGTGTTCAGATTAGAGAGGTGTTTCAATAAACAGACTTTACTAAATATACAGTTTTCATATATATTATGTACATGTAGGATATTTATTGACAATATGGTATTGACAAAAGTGTAATATTACATCGACAGAGGGAGAATAACGAGTGTTGATATCATATTAACCAAGCTTAATATAACTCTAAAACCAAAATATCCTGTTTATTCCATAAATAACATATCTGAAATGGTATAACGGGCAACGAACCAGGGAACACAGTCAAATATGATTTTCCCCACTCAATGTGATATTCTCTGCTCAATACGAATGAAGGAGAAACAGCATTACATATATCTTAGTAGGAAAAGAAATAAACCTCCTAAACACATAAACCCATAACCAGAGATAAATAGTGGAGTTCATTATAGCAATGAACACAACTCTTTATTTAATTGGCATTTCTCAATTTCTGAAGTCACAGACAATAATGAACTTTTTATGTCTCTGCGTACTTAGGATTATGAGATCAGCGTGTCTCGTAAAGGGTTTAGTATTGTTAGGTGATACTCACGGAAAACAAGGCACAAGCAGTAAATCGCAAGAATCACTATGTTATAATTATTCCTTTCAAAAGTATTCAGTAGAAAAATGTCACGGTTGTTTTAAAGGTACAAGTTGCATTATGCTACTTATTATATTTTTCTTGAGTAGCAGATGTGATCAAATCTAAATGGATTAGGGATCTAATTTACCCTCAGAAGGGGGAGGGGGTATTATATCGCATAATAAAGTTGGGTCCTTTTTGAAAATAAAGGCCTTTTTAATAAAAAAGACCTACTTTCTATCTTAATGACGACTATTTTGGGAAATGAGAACTTTGGCTCGAATCCTTTTGAATATCACATTAAATAAACTACTTTGGGGTAATCTTAGAGGAGGGAAGCATGTCTATCAGCAGGTCTGAGCAGTTTCATTAGCTTACCTAAAGTTGTGGCAATATTCTTCAGCTCCTCATCTGGATCGACTTTCTTCTTTTTCTTCTTAAAGATGTGTTTCTTGAGAACTCCTTTAGACTTTGTAGGTTCTCTATGTTCTATAAACTTCGGCTTTTTCTCCTCAGCTTTCCCGGCAAGTGGCTCTAGGTCTGAAACACATATAAGAATCATCAGTAATCAAGACTGTATTTTGATACGACGGCCTCTCCTGATTGATTGCCTTATTTAATTGATGTCAAGGGGTCTCAAGCATATTGCGAGTGTAGAAAAGCTCATTTCCATTTCAGCGTTTCTTGTCCTGTTCACGAATATATAAATCCTGTAAAAAAATATTTAACGTCAGCTAATGCCTCAATATGCGTCTATCACTCAGCTTTTAATATGTTAAGGTGTCAGTATATTGCTATCCAGAAATGAATACCTGAAAACATTTTTTCATATGCCTATAGCTGTACATGTGCTGTAGTTGTATATACATGTAACAATGAAGATTTTATTGATTAAATGTATCTTATCATTTACAGTTTATATAGGCATACAAAACACATGCTGAACTAAATAAATAGAAAATATGTCAGAAATTAGCAATAACTTTATGCTGGTATATGCAGTTAATTTAATGTTTCATATTCATGTCATCAACAGAAGTGGTGAAATATTTTTGCTGTAGCCTCCAACTTATTGTGACTGGTGTTTTGTGATTGGTGTTTGACATTCAGCAGTTGGTATCTGTAACAAATGGCAGGTGGTGACATTTTGCATGTTAATGCCTTGTTATTTATTAAGCAAAAAATGGTCCTGTCTGGTCATTGGGCTGGTGACAACAAAGCTAAGAAAAACAACTTGACAAACTTGGTCTATTTAAAAATGGTACTTTAGAAAATGCTTATTCAAAACTAGGCATATCTGCATATAAGGGCAAAATGTACCCTTTGAATTAATACATTTCAATCCATCTGATTAGCCCATCTCATCAGATATTCAAGAAAAGTGATCCAAAATATATTTTTACAGCCTGCATCCACTATTTACTATTTCATCAATTCTACAATAGTGTAAAAAGAAAAATTGGAAATTTTACCAGACCTGTCTGATTCAATTTCAATCTTTGGTGACCAGAAACATGAATATCTTCTCTAAGGAAGAGAGATAAGGCTGAATAGGTATCTTTGGTACTTTCATTTCTGGAAGTATCAACTTCACCTGCTGCACCTTTATCAACTTTAAATGATCATTTATTTAGTTTCTATCCGAGAAGACTTTATATTGAATATAAATTGTTTTCAGGAATATTTTGGAAAAGGCCACATGCTTCGTAGGATTGGTGAAGGTGCAGAAGTAGCAGCAGCAGTAGCATTCCTCTGCAGTAAAGATGCTTCATTCATCACAGCAACAGATTTGTGTGTAGATGGAGGATTCACTTCACTGTCATCAGCGGGATTTGGGGAGGGAACATGCAAATAGCTGAATCAGATGGGGAAAGTTGGACACAATTTGCCCCAGGGTTTGAGTGTACCATAATATGTTTTATAATCTTACTTAGATGGAGGATTCACTTCACTGTCATCAGCGGGATTTGGGGAGGGAACATGCAAATAGCTGAATCAGATGGGGAAAGTTGGACACAATTTGCCCCAGGGTTTGAGTGTACCATAATATGTTTTATAATCTTACTTAGATGGAGGATTCACTTCACTGTCATCAGCGGGATTTGGGGAGGGAACATGCAAATAGCTGAATCAGATGGGGAAAGTTGGATACAATTTGCCCCAGGGTTTGAGTGTACCATAATATGTTTTATAATCTTACTTAGATGGAGGATTCACTTCACTGTCATCAGCGGGATTTGGGGAGGGAACATGCAAATAGCTGAATCAGATGGGGAAAGTTGGACACAATTTGCCCCAGGGTTTGAGTGTACCATAATATGTTTTATAATCTTACTTAGATGGAGGATTCACTTCACTGTCATCAGCGGGATTTGGGGAGGGAACATGCAAATAGCTGAATCAGATGGGGAAAGTTGGACACAATTTGCCCCAGGGTTTGAGTGTACCATAATATGTTTTATAATCTTACTTAGATGGAGGATTCACTTCACTGTCATCAGCGGGATTTGGGGAGGGAACATGCAAATAGCTGAATCAGATGGGGAAAGTTGGACACAATTTGCCCCAGGGTTTGAGTGTACCATAATATGTTTTATAATCTTACTTAGATGGAGGATTCACTTCACTGTCATCTACGGGATTTGGGGAGGGAACATGCAAATAGCTGAATCAGAGTTATAAGGGGTGAGCAAGCAACATGTAGAATTGACTCTTTATTGACGTTTACCATCTCAAAAATAAAATATCCCATTAGTTCTGTGGTAAGTTATCAATAATGCAGATGCGAGTAGGTAGTTACCAGATTCACCACCAGGTGCCTCGTTCTGGTCAGATAGCATGGCGGGTATAGTAGAAAGTTCCCTTTAACTTAAATTACATCTATTTGTGTGGTTCAATTTTCATATAACCCTTATGTATCTCATAGTTATGCAAATTAAAATGTGTCCAGTAAAAGAAAATGTTATCTGTCCAATACAAGCGAAGATAGTACACTTTTTGTGATTTTGTAACATGGGGTCTGTGGGGAATCAACCCGAACAAGAAGTCACATTTTCAAAAAAAAATTAAATTTTCAAAGTTGATAGACAATTTTCGAAACCATATTTCTAGATTAACTTTTACATGCAAATTTCAAATATGAGATCATTTTGACTGGATTTTAAATATTTAATGACGTAAATAAAGATTATTTACTCGCATCTAGTCAATTGTATTGTATTAAATAAAACATGATAAATAAAAAAAATAAAAATAAATCTAGTCAATTGGTGGAGTAATTTATGATTCAAAGTGCCACAAATGTGTAGTTTCTTCAAAATAATAAATGTGGTAACACATGTATGGAGAAATGAATACATTATTGTGAAACTAGTTTTTGTCAAAGAAAGTATGCACTATTGGGATTTTCAAAAAAAGACATGGCAATGCATGAATCAAAAAGACCTGAAAACAGCTCTAACCTGCTGATAAAACAGATGAAATTCAATTGTTGGTATTGTGAAATATCAAAGGATTGGTATCGATATGGAGAACTGAATTCAACAATGTTTTTCTCTTAAACCAATCATTGAAAACATTCTGTAAAAAAACATGGTATTTTATGTAATGTTGACTGATTGACAACAATTTTAGAATGAAATAAATGTCTTTCCGAACCTTGTTGGAACAAAATAACATATACAACATGTTTTTAGACCTCTTAATATTATAGTTATACAAAGTAATTTTTGGTTGATTTTAAAAAAGTATTCAAAAAATTAAAACAAAATCCCCCCAAAATAGATAAAAATCAAGATAAACCTTTTATTTCATTAACAAGATACTTTTTTAAAATCAACCAAAATTTCCTTTGTATTATTACAATATTGAGAGACCTAAACATGTTTTGTTCCAATGAGGTTCGGAAAGATGTTTCATTTCACTCTGGAAACATGATACCAAGAACAAAACAAGTGTTTGATGTGTTTTCTAAAACAATATAGATGAAAGTATATATATATTTCAAATTATATTGTTACCATTCAAAAGATGACCATTAAATTGACGATGTGTTTAATTTTTAGATTTTTTTAATGACTGGTTTAAGAGAAGCGTGTGTTCAAAAAGTTCTCCATATCGATACCACTCCTTTAGTTCAAAATAAATGTTATACAGTAATTCTAATATAAACTAACATGATTTCATAAAAAACAAAAAATGGGAAAGATCAATATGACATTACATCAAGGGGTATATTGAAGCAAAGTAGTACCAGTGACACATGAAGTCAACTATGACTTCCTCATACATCAATCAACAAATTGTGCACCAGACATTACGTGCCAAGTTGAACTAGACAACAGCAACGCCAAAGCGTAGCAAATCCCATCGAACAGCCATGGCTGGCATTTTTACAAACAAAGTATACAAGTATAGCAAAAATGGCGGCCATTTTTCAAAATGGCCACCTTCTACCAAAAGCGTCATTAGACAGTGTGCCATGCTTTTTATAGTGTTCACATACCAAATGCTACCAAATGCTCCAAATGGTCACCTTCTACCAAAAGTGTCATTAGACAGTGTGCCATGCTTATAGTATTCACATACCAAATATGAACAAAATCGCTTCAGTACTTTTCCAGTTATAGTAAAATATGTTAAAATGGCGGCCATTTTTCAAAATGGCCGCCTTCTACCAAAAGTGTCATTATACAGTGTGCCATGCTTATAGTATTCACATACCAAATATGAACAAAATCACTCAACTACTTTTCGAGTTATAGGAAAATACGTTTAAACGGCAGCTATTTTTCAAAATGGTGGCCATTTTTCAAAATGGCCACCTTCTACCAAAAGTGTCATTAGACAGCGTGCCATGCTTATAGTATTAACATACCAAATATGAACAAATTCGCTCCACTACTTTTTGAGTTACAGCAAAAATCGTAAAATAGCGAGTAAAGGGCGCCATTTTTCAAGATGGCTGCCATGTGCTTCTTTAATACCTACATTCCTAGCTTTATTAATGTCCTATATAATTTTTTTACATTTAAAACATATTGCTATTACAGTTTTATATATTGTACCTAAATTAATGTAAAATCGGCACTAAAATGGCCGCCATTTTTAAATGAGTGCTTTCGAGCAGAACTTCTACCCCCATAAGGTATAGGTGTACAAAATATAAACAAAATCGGGCCAACGGTATTTAAGTTATTGCCTGGATGGACGGACAGATGGATGGATGGACGTACATAAGGACCTATGTATGGATAGATGGATGGATGGAAGGAGGCGTTCCCTATATCCCTCCGAACTTCATTCGATGGGATAAAAATCACAGTACATATAAAGTATTTCAATGAGACTATAAACAAACACGGCTGAAGAAGGCAGTAGTAAATGAAGAAAATTCTGAACAAACTTCTGAAGTATCAAGTCACCAAAGTTACAAATAAAGGTAAGAGCAATAGAAGCAAAGTGACAATCCTCCAAATAATCACATTATATTTTACTAAGAATGGGAGGTTCATCACACAACCAACTAGCAAGGCCTGTTCTCAGAGTAATAGTACTAGTTTAACAGACTTTGATATTTTACTGGTCTAGGGCAAATAATGAGTCTTCAAAAGGTGGTGATAATAGTAATAACCTCATTTCTGTGGGCAACATAGTGGAATCTTGGCCCTCAGGTCAAACTTTGAAATAAGGTTATTGATATGTCATAATACATAGTTAATACACACATCCTAAATATTCCTTTTAATTTTATTGAGGTTTTTTTTATTATCAATTTGTTAAAGGATTATTTATAAATTCATAATGGCTGTCTCAGATTGCCAAAATCTAATCAGTTTTAGGTTTTTATAGAAAGAAACATCCCTGATTTCAGTCCATGAAATCTGATTGGCTAAAATTGTGTAATAAGAATTTACAGACAAGATTTTAATACAGAATTTTTTGTGATAACAAGGCTGTGATAAAATATACTAAAAGTCAAAGATTTCACCATGTCTGCAAAGGATCTATTCATACAGCCAGCTTTGGATGAATCATTCACAAAAGACAGATTTAAAGGTAAGCATTTGGAATTATTCTCTTCGTTTATATATTAAGACATATCTAAAAATATTTAGATACCTTACCAATCAAATACAGACATGTCCTTATTAAATATAAGATGTGGAATACAAAGCCTCTATGGTTTTGTAAAAATGTTAAATACTTAAAATTTGAAACAATTACTAATACTGATAGTGATGTATTAATTAGTCTAAGTAATGTAAATTTCTATGAGATAGGGAAGCAATTGGAAATATGGTATTGTATAAATATGTTTTTGTATTGTCGCATTTAATACCCAATGATTGGTTAATGGTTTAATAAATAAATTGAAACTGAAATTGAATTGTACAAATTCCCCCAAAATTAAAAAAATACAAGTTAATCAACCATACTACAAAATCTAGCCTACATGTGAGACATATACCAATAAAAGTTGTACATATTTTTTGTAATTAAACATTATTCTTCAAAATAATATATTTTAGGAAAAGTTGTAATAGTGACAGGCGGTGCTTCTGGAATAGGAAAAGAAACAGCAAGACGGTTCTTGAATGACGGTGCCACTGTTGCTATATTTGACATAAATGATGATGCCATTCGAAACACAGAACTTGAATTTAAACAAGCAGGTTTTTCGCCAATGTTCTACAGTGTTGATGTTTCTAACAAAGCAGAGTGTCTCTCAGGAGTGGGGAAGGTGGCTGATGCAAATGGGGGAGTTGTGCACTTTCTTGTTAATTGTGCAGCCTACTTTTGCTATGAAGGTAGCATAAATGTTATTTCTTGAAATAGAACTGTTTTTAACATGATTCATATTTGAGTGGTTCATACAAATGGGACACCCACCTTGTATCATTCAAAATCATTTAGGTGCACATATTTAGGTGGACCATATTTTATATTATAAAAGATGTGGAATTAAATTTAGCTTTTATAACAAATGAATATTAATGTTGTAAAAGTCAATGCAATTTTTAATTGTGGTGTCACAATTCACGAAAAACAGATTTTACTTGTTATATTAGCAATGAGGAAATCTGTGTAAAAAGGTGTTCAAAATGTTATGGGATAAGAGGTCTAAATCTAGGAAAGTACATATTTTAGATTATTTATGACTCTCTTAGAAATTTGTTACTATTCATTTTTTACAGGTTATGTTTCATTTATTTATACTATCATTATACATCATTATGTTCGACATTGGGCCAAGGCCATTGACATTAGTGCCCCTTGTTGATTTTCACATATACAGGGTGTTCAGGAAATAAAGACAATAATGTCACACCTCCTCCACCTGTTCATGAATTCCAATGAAACTTGCAGGGATCACAGTTTCAACATATTTACTATTCATGGGTTATAACTATTCTTGTTTTGGCATGCTGATGTATAATCAGTCAGTCTTCAAAACTGTACTGCATGTGATATTGCAGGTCTTCAAACTGAGCATGAACATTGGGCTAAAACAATGGCAGTGAATGTGGAAGGTGTGGCCAATATGGTGCAATCATGCTCTCCTTATATGGTCAAAGGTGGGTTGATTGGTATTGCATCATTTCTGTCTCAAAACATTACTGATACAATTATAGATTTCTTAACTCATCGATAATTTGACTTTTTATAAATTGTTTGATATGTGAATTTCTTTTCCTGGAATTATAGATGTTGTATCTCCAAACAAATAAAAAATGCACTTTTCAAAGCTATATATAATATGTATATGCATATCATGTTTAATTTTAAAAGTAGAACATATTATGTATGTTAAAACATTTACTTAACAAATTATATATGATATTAATATGTTAAAAACTGAATAACGATAAACTTATTTTTTTTTGTATACAATTTAACATAATGATTATAAATTGTTTATATATTTTTAAAATCATAATGAAAAAATGTAACAAATAACATTATAACGTCCATAGAGGTTTTGAGATGGAAAGTAAACAATACATTGGTAATACCATGGTGCATGTGTGAGCCAAAATCAGGCTATCACTTATAATCACTAATATCTAAAGTATATCAAAAAATTGGGATAAGAATCAAGTGTTATCTATTTAATTTCATTTTAGCCGGTGGGAAAGAGTGTGGAATTGTCAACATTGCCAGTGTCATTGCTTATCGAGCAATGACAAACTTTTGGACATATCTTTCTTCCAAGGGAGCGATCATTTCATTAACAAAATGCATGGCACTTGACCTGTCAGAACAGGGCATTCGGGTCAACTCGATCAGTCCAGGTGTAATTTGGACTCCTGAGGTATTTAGTAAACATGTTAAAGATTCATATTAGGCAGAATCTATATTTTACATTATCTTACAGAATAATGATTTACAGTGTACGGAAGGGATTGGAAAAGAGGCTGTTGTGTATTCTAAATCCTCTCCTATGAAAATTCATGTAATTTGATTTTTTTAGTTTTAAAGGCAAAATGTCACCACCTGCCATTTGTCAATATTTCACCATTTTTTCTAGAAAGATGGACATTACATTTGGCAACCAAATTAAATATCTTGAGTAGTAACCTGATTCAATGACAATTATGACTATGTTCTCCATCATATATGAGTGATGAATTCTTCCAATTCAGTAGGGGGCATACTTGGGCTGGGAAGTCATTGTTTGATAATAAAGTCTCTAAACCATAGGAAATCCTTCCAAAGGCTTTCTAAATATGATCCAAGAAACCAAATTCAAATTATGATCCAGACAAATAGCTTCTTTTATACCCCTAATACCTCATAAAGTGAGAAATCCCTTCGAAATATGTACCTTTACAGGTTGTAAAATGTTGTGAATCTAGTGATAAGAAAAAGGCTCAGGAATATTTTGGAAAAGCCCACATGCTTCGTAGGATTGGTGAAGGTGCAGAAGTAGCAGCAGCAGTAGCATTCCTCTGTAGTAAAGATGCCTCATTCATCACAGCAACAGATTTGTGTGTAGATGGAGGATTCACTTCACTGTCACCAGTAGAAGGAACTAAACATCTCTGATGAGCAGATAGCAGAACAACCTGGTGGATGCAATTCATATGCAATTTTATAACATTAAATCAGGTCAATGATGAATTGTATATCATAACAGTGACTAAATAGAAAATGGAAAAGATAATGTGAGATGAATACAAAAAGCTTAACTTGATGAAGTCTGATGAAACACAGTGACCCCAAAAAAATGGAAAACCAAAAAATCACTTATCCCATGGTAGTCAATTTTTTAGATATAGGATTTATTTCCATAGAAAAATATAAATGTTACATATTTTGTGGCCCTGTAATAACTTAATTAATAAAGCATTGCAAAATCAATTAGACAAACTAACAATAAAAATGAAATATAGCAACGATGGTGTTCAAAGATTTTTTTTAATTATAACACTATTCAGTAAATAAAAAAGAACAATGTCATCACCATACAGTCACATGTGCAGTTTCATAAATGATATCACCATTCCAATGACTAACATACCCAGTTCTTTGAATGACCCATATTCTTGGGGTTATGTGTCAGACTGAAGAAACCAAACAGCCCATAAAAATAAATGGAAGGTTGACGAATTCCTTAAAGATATATACAAGTATAAGCCTGTGTCCAAAATCCTGGCAAATATCGTAGATTAAAAATCCTGCATTTCAATTTTTATAATGTAACAATGTCAATATCATGAAGACAAACCACTTTTAATGAACATGTTTCCCAATATATTTGAGACTTGTGTTCCTTTCATCTATGACTTCCAATCACATTCAGTTGAAATGACTGAATCCTTTAAGGTCAACTGATGTTAACATACACTCAACAGAACAAGCAAATGAAAAGGACAAGATAAGGAACTCAGTACCTTGGGAAATATGAATTACAAACCATCATAGTTGGCTGCAACCGACATGAAAGAACAGATGGATATTAACATTATTTTTACATACAGATCTTCGGGTCAGATAGCATGGCGGGTATAGTAGAAAGTTCCCTATAACTTAAATTACATCTGTTTTAGTGGTTTAATTTTCATATCACCCTGATGTATCTAATACTTATGCAAATTAAAATATATCCAATAAAATAAAATATTACCTGTCTAATACAAGAAAAGATATTTCACTTTTTGTGATTTTATAACATGTGGTCTATGGGGAATCTCCCTGAATTAGAAATCACATTTTCAAAACAAAATTAAATTTTCAAAGTTGATAAACAGTTTTAGAAATCATATTTCTAAATGTACTTTTACATGCAGATTTCAAATATGACATCACTTTGTCTGAATTTTGAATATTCATTGACGTAAATCAAGATTATTTCTACTTGCAATAACTTCAATTATTTAATCACCAGGCACTATTCAACACATAGAGAACAACTAATTTGCCTGTACTAAGAGACCTTAGGTAAATATCAGAGGAGGCTAGTTTTTTCAAGAAGAAAAAGGACTCAAAAATAGGAGAACAACCTTTTCTTGAATGAAGCTAATAATCCAGCAACTGACCATGCTTATTGTAATGAGTTAATTGAAAAAACTGATAGATCTTTTTTCTCAGATCAGTTCACTGAACTCCTTGAGCCAATCAGACCATGCCATTGCTCAGCCATTGCAATGTCCATACAAGGCAATGGCACGCTATATGCCACCACCTAACATTTGTTACAGACACCATGTCATTTGTTAAAGACACTGACCACTGAACTCCAAATGCCAATATCAGACGCCTTCCACCAAAAAGTTGGAGACTATAACAATATGTCACCACTTGTGGTGGTTACATACTAGACTAAAATAGGAAAACATAAGTAGAAGTGTGGTAAGCTCTACAGTGCTCTCTGATTGGTTAATCACTAAGTTGGAAAATGATTGATTCTAGTCAGAGGATAATATTACAACATGATGATCTCAGGGTTGAAACAAACAGCATTCAAACATACATTTTGATATATTTGAAACATGGAATCAAATCTTATGAGGGCTGATGTGAAATAGTTACTCCACCTTGGTGGGAATTGAACCCACAACCTCCCAAGAAAATGTTGAGTGCTTTCCAAGTTGAGCTACACAGCGAACCGACCCTCTCACATCAATATTGGATATGTACATTGCAGTTCTTTCTTACATGCCCAGTTTCATGGACCCATCATTAAGTTTGCCTGTCTTTCCAATGCCATATGTATCATTCCCCAAAGGAGAAATTACTGTTCATTGATATAGAATCAAATACAGGTTACAGTATTGGGAAATCTGTCAGATAGAATCAACATTTTAATCAATGTGTAAGTAACAAAGCATGTAATCCCTAAGACTGTCAAGCTTATACCTTATCATCTAATATGTTTCAGAGATGGCCAAGTGAAAGGCATGTATTCCAACCCTATATTATATGTTTTGCTGAGGTTAATATACAAAATTGAGATTTGATTCTTGACAGTGACAATGAGAACCTTTAAGATTAGATCAGCATTGAGATCTGTTGTTTTGCACTAAAGCCACTAAAGTCTACATGATTACATTTTTGTTTAGTATGTGGGTGAGAAAAGGCATTCTGGTATGCCAGAGCCACTCTTATCTGCCGTTTGCGCAAGGATAAAGACAAAGGGGGCGCGGCTATCGCGATGGAGAAAATGCCATTTTGTTGAATAATTAGAAATTACAGCGAAACATTGAAATTCTAAATAACCCTTACTTGGATAATAGATTCAAGATTTTATTGTGTTTCAAACCAAACACTTGGTTTCCTCACAAAATCAATTACAAAACATTTACATTTAATAAATAGTACAGTTATATAGTAAAATGGATTGCTTAAGGCTTAAGGTTGGAAATTTTTTGCAATTTTGAAAAGTAAACCACTGAATATTATAGTTATTCAAACATTCTGAAGAATTATCAACCCTCAATTAATAGTATAGGTACACTAATGTATCTTTTGTACAAGAATGAAAGATGTAGATGATGTGTGGAATGAGTTATGTTTATCTGAAAATAGCCCAAGGTCATGAAATTTCATCAAAGTGAACCCTGACCTTAACAAACGTTTGAATTCATTATGACTATCATAAAATCTAGTTTTTGTCTTTTTCAAATATACCAATTTGTCAAAAGTGAAATTTTTTTCTGACATTTTTATGAGTATAAAAAGTTTAGAGATTACATACCTGTAACGCAAAATCATTTATCAAGTTGGTATTTGACAGAATAGACCAAAATCAATTTTTTATAAATTTTTTACAACATGGTAGCTATTTTTGATCATACTAAATATTTCTTCTCTGAGATGTATTATAATTACTATATAAAAAAAATTACATTCTTAGGAAAATGGTGGTCATTTTGAATTAAGCAGGCAAATTGAAACTTCCCTCTTGAGAGGAGGCAGAGAAGGTATTTGCCTATTAAAGGAATTCTAGGCGATAAAAATAACAAAATATTGCTTCTGGGACAAGATCAAACAACTTTGACATATTCTTTACCCTACCTATTTTGTAATTTAACAATCAACACAAATATACATACCATATTTCGGCAGATATCGAAAAAAATCATAAAAATATGTTTTGATCATCAATATAATCATGGATTATAAAACCAGAAGTGTTTTCTCTGAGGTCCGTGTAGAATATTTCAATTATTTCAAATTTTTCTGTGGATTGGATTGGATTTTAAATGCTTCTTAATGATCTTCAAATACTTAATATGATTACTATTTGTAGTGTTTTGACTTCCACGCTTCATAAAAACAACATTATCACCATTCACTCAACTCGCCTGAAAAAAATTTTGAACCATTTTGTCGGCTGTATGTTATAATGTGCCTTTAATTTAAATCAAACAACCCTCATCCAGAGAGACAAATGGATGAATGGACAGACAGATGGCTTCTCTATATTCATATAAACTTCATTTGGTTGCAGAGCAACTTCACCCTGTTAAAGACATAGAAGTGTACATGTACTAATCAAATAAAATGAGTAAATGAACATGGTGGACAAAATGAAAATCCTTTAAATAGAGATAGGATCCCAAAGTTTAATTAAGACAAAGCCAAAATGTGTACATATGCGCCTTCTGCCTCAAGAGCAGAGATGGATCTGTAGTTGACATGAACACCAATTTTCCCTTTAAATAGAGATAGGATCCCAAAGTTTAATTAAGACAAAGCCAAAATGTGTACATATGCGCCTTCTGCCTCAAGAGCAGAGATGGATCTGTAGTTGACATGAACCCCAATTTTCCCTTAAATAGAGATAGGATCCCAAAGTTTAATTAAGACAAAGCCAAAATGTGTACATATGCGCCTTCTGCCTCAAGAGCAGAGATGGATCTGTAGTTGACATGAACACCAATTTTCCCTTTAAATAGAGATAGGATCCCAAAGTTTAATTAAGACAAAGCCAAAATGTGTACATATGCGCCTTCTGCCTCAAGAGCAGAGATGGATGTAGTTGACATGAACCCCAATTTTCCCTTAAATAGAGATAGGATCCCAAAGTTTAATTAAGACAAAGCCAAAATGTGTACATATGCGCCTTCTGCCTCAAGAGCAGAGATGGATCTGTAGTTGACATGAACACCAATTTTCCCTTAAATAGAGATAGGATCCCAAAGTTTAATTAAGACAAAGCCAAAATGTGTACATGTGCGCCTTCTGCCTCAAGAGCAGAGATGGATCTGTAGTTGACATGAACACCAATTTTCCCTTTAAATAGAGATAGGATCCCAAAGTTTAATTAAGACAAAGCCAAAATGTGTACATATGCGCCTTCTGCCTCAAGAGCAGAGATGGATCTGTAGTTGACATGAACCCCAATTTTCCCTTAAATAGAGATAGGATCCCAAAGTTTAATTAAGACAAAGCCAAAATGTGTACATATGCGCCTTCTGCCTCAAGAGCAGAGATGGATCTGTAGTTGACATGAACACCAATTTTCCCTTTAAATAGAGATAGGATCCCAAAGTTTAATTAAGACAAAGCCAAAATGTGTACATATGCGCCTTCTGCCTCAA